CTCATTTCATCAGTCCATAAAACCTTAGAAAAATCAGTCTTGAGATATTTCTTGGCCCAGTCTTGATGTTTCAGCTTGTGTGTCTTATTCAGTGGTGGTCGTCTTTCAGCCTTTCTTACCTTGGCCATGTCTCTGAGTATTGCACACCTTGTGCTTTTGGGCACTCCAGTGATGTTGCAGCTCTGAAATATGGCCAAACTGGTGGCAAGTGGCATCGTGGCAGCTGCACGCTTGACTTTTCTCAGTTCATGGGCAGTTATTTTGCGCCTTGGTTTTTCCACACGCTTCTTGCGACCCTGTTGACTATTTTGAATGAAACGCTTGATTGTTCGATGATCACGCTTCAGAAGCTTTGCAATTTTAAGAGTGCTGCATCCCTCTGCAAGATATCTCACTATTTTTGACTTTTCTGAGCCTGTCAAGTCCTTCTTTTGACCCATTTTGCCAAAGGAAAGGAAGTTGCCTAATAATTATGCACACCTGATATAGGGTGTTGATGTCATTAGACCACACCCCTTCTCATTACAGAGATGCACATCACCTAATATGCTTAATTGGTAGTAGGCTTTCGAGCCTATACAGCTTGGAGTAAGACAACATGCATAAAGAGGATGATGTGGTCAAAATACTCATTTGCCTAATAATTCTGCACTCCCTGTATATATGAATAGATATTGATTTCTCCAACAGTAATAGAAAATGCAAAATAATACATAACAATGAAAAGTTAAGTTTAAACAATTTAATAATGACACAGTGTTGGAAATTGATGGCCTTTGAAATTAAATACAGTCCATTCAATTTACCCAGTTGTTATCCCTCATCGCCATCTCTAGTTGTCATCCTCCTCAGCGTCGTCTTCTGGTTTGCAGTACAAAGAGCATGTTCTTAACCGAGATTTTATCTCCATATTTGTGTAACATGTTACGAACACAGTAACAGCACAAAAGCACGAAGCCAATCAGTATGCAAGCTCCCGTGGCAATCCATTTAATGATACTTGAAATTGTATTTATAATGAAGTGATCCTCCCAAACATTTTCTGCCTCATTTACCAATACGTCTTCCTCATCTCCAGCACCTTCAAGGCTATCGTTCCTATATACAGGACTGGGCCTCACGCTAAATTCCCATAACATCAACTGGATCAGCACAAGACACTTGAAGTACGTCATTCTCCTTGAATGCAACCTGCTGAATGCCTGGGACAGCATGCGCACTGTATCACACTGATGATCCCACAGCTGTGTTACATCACTGGCCATTATCTCACAGTCATCGTACTGTCCTAGCTCAAGGTTTTCATCTGAGCCAGCAATGGGTCTTTAAAAAAATATTTTAGAAAATCAAACATAATCTGACACTTCCTCATTTAAATTGTATTGAAAACAGAGAACATAGTTTCAACGTTTATCTTTTTGAAGTAGCAGCTAAAAAGCCCATAAAATTGACCTTACATTGTTTTTTTTTTGTGTGTATATTTTTTACAATATATTTAAGTGTTGAATTGGATCATTATTATTATTATTATTATTATTTTGAAAGTAGATTATAAGTGGAGGTAATTATAAAAATATTGATTATATGTAATTTTCTTTGATATTCTCAATTATTTAAAAAAAAGTTCTAGAGGTTCTTAACTGGAAGAAGTTATCACAATGGACTGACTTTCTCACATTTAAAGAGGGAGTAACTGTGATGGGCAATTGTACTATATAATACATATTGCTAAATTGTACTTCTTAAACTGTAACATGTTTCTTTAATGGATTATCCAGTTCATATATCAGCATTCATTTATATTCAATAAACTATTTTATAAAGGCAAAAGGCTATTGCTTCCAACTTTTTCCTATCTTTAATGTATTCTCAATTATTTATATATTTTAAAAAGAGAAACTCTATACCCACTATATAATATTTTAGCTAAGATAGCTGTATGGTTAGCCCTGCTAAATTCTATTTTTTAAGACATTATAGTAGTAAATAAGGGTACTAGCGGTTCCATAACTAACAGAACATTTACAACTGCAATACTGCTCCGACTGTGGCCCCATTGATTTTGGGCAGGTTTTACAGTGTTTGGGACCAGGTGAAAATAAAATACTGGTTGTCTTATTTGGCAAAATATTTTAAGTAGCACTCCACGGAAGAACTTGCCCCTATTTTTAATTCCTTATCTAAACAAAATAAAAAAAAATAAAAAGATTTTTTAAAGAACTTAAAATGAAACTAAAAATGTTAAAAAATAAACATAATACTCACCCAAGTCCATTCTTGGTGCAATGCTGCACCAGATTTGTACATTTTTCAGTTATCTTAACAAGAGGAATTGGCCGAAATCTTCTTATCTATCCTGGTCTTTACAATGCTTACAATCTAAATGCTGACTATGTCTCAGGAACTATTAAATCTTAAGGGTTTAAAGGATATATAAGTCAATATTCTGCAAAAAGTTATGAAGGAATCTACTCCTAAAACAAGAACTCACAAGTTTAATCAATGGATATAAATATGGTAGCGGCAGGGGCTCTGCCATCAAAATCTATGAAGAAACCTCACAGAGAGAGTGGGCACTGATATGGTACATGCACAACAAGTGTGCCTATACCATAAAAATATCTCACAGACAAATCACCTCCATCCCTACAGTCATATCCCCACACATACACACGCACATAAATGGCAAATAAACACACAAATGGACAATCATACAAATAGCCAAAAAACATAGCTGTGTGCTTGGGATACACCAGGTATGCCCAGACTTGCCCCAATGTGCCTACTACATGGGCCGGCAAGGAAATCAAAAGATGTCCATGACCAGTCCTATGCTCTCTCACTGTTAATAGGGACATTTTGGTCAGCATCGCAGTCATGTACAGATTCCTATGTGTGCTCATTCACAGTCCCAGACTGCAAGGAGGTGCAGACCACAAGCTCCTCCCACTGCATCACCAAGGAGCAGGGCCATGATAACAGCCCCACTAGGTCACCATGGAGCAGGGCCATAATCACAGCCTCACTAGGCAACCAAGGAGCAGGGCCATGATCACAGCCTTACTTGGCCACCAAGGAGCAGGGCCATGATTACTGGGCCACCAAGGAGCAGGGCCATGATTACTGGGCAACCAAGGAGCAGGGCCATGATTACTGGGCAACCAAGGAGCAGGGTCATGATCACAGCCTTACTTGGCCACCAAGGAGCAGGGCCATGATTACTGGGCCACCAAGGAGCAGGGCCATGATTACTGGGCCACCAAGGAGCAGGGCCATGATTACAGCCTTACTGGGCCACCAAGGAGCTGAGCCATGATCACAGCCTCACTGGGCCACCAAGGAGCAGGGCCTTGATTACAGCCTTACTGGGCCACCAAGAAGCAGGCCTATGACCATTAGGCAATCAAGATTATAGCCCCCAAGACCAAAATATACACATCACACACGGACAGCTACATACTTAATACATACAGCCACCTCACACACCATGTGAATTCAGTTGTGATTTATTTAAATTAAAAAATCAGCTATTCTTATGAGACAGTCAGTGAGTTATTGATGTTTATTATAATCACATTGCTCTGCAAAATTCTGCAAAACACAAAAAATAATGCGGCAATAAATGAACACGAACAATTACCAAAAGATAAAAAGTAATATGCTGTGAACAACTATTAAGCTCATTTTAATAAATTCACAATAATCACGTCTTCTAATATGAAATCACTTGCATTCTCTGTAAGATAATAAGTATTTTGCAAAATTTAACAAGTGACTTTCATTAGGTTCCTTGTCCAACAACAGTCGCAATGTTCAACATGAATTAAAACACATTTCTCATGTAGAGAAGAAAAACATATTACCATTCCCTCCAAACACAAGTAAACAAAATACATTTCCACCCAATATTCCTTAGATTCCCCTCTGCTGTCCCCCCCAAAAATCTGTCCCATTAATGGCTGGTTCTCTCTGAGGAACACTAAGATAGAGAGTATACATCAAAGCCACTAACAAACATTATGACAATATAGAAGACTAGTGTTGTTCCCCCCTATTACCCCCCCCAAAAAAACCCCAAGAAAGTATTTAACATTTAGTGGAATAATAAGGAAAACAAATTATAAAGCAGAACAATAGATGAAAATGATCCATTTTTAAAAAATGCCATTTTATAATTTTTTTAAAAAGTGACTTTTGGGGACGTGTTTACTTGGAGCTTTTGCAAGAATAAGCATTAAACCTGCCAAAACTATGAATGCTAAGCAGCAAATAGCTCTGAACCAAACACAGACAGCATATTCCACAGAGGAGACGTTAAGAGTTCCGAAATTACCGCTTGTACAAGCATAGTCTGCAGTCTGGCCTTGGGGCTTAGCGGAATAACTGACCTGTAGGCTGGGTGAGGCGGCCAATCTCCCGCCTAGGACCAAGAATCCCAAAATGACCTCCTTGGTGCCCTGTTACACCCCCCTCTGGACCGGTGGGGGATATCCCGGTCCCCACGGGGATCATTATCTATGCATCAGTGGCCACCTTATTCTGCTGTTCCTGAGCCCATGTGGTGACTCAAAGATGGCCACTGTGCCGCCATTTCTGCTCAGTAAACCAGACCCAGAGACCCTGGATTGGGTATAACGCTTTAAGACAAGATTTGACGAAATCTGCCAGGATTTCTGGGCCCATATAGCCTACCACTCAAGCACTGCTAACTTGCCTATCCAAGACTAGCAAAGACCACTGAGTGCTGTTATTGGGGCTTTGCCTCAGTCCGACCCACCGCAACGCAGAGCTAAGCCAAGACTAGATGGGTGAGACCCTGACACAGTGTTGATAGTGGGGAACCAGAGGCAGGTACCACGAACACAGCATCGATCCAGTCGGCACGACCCAGCTCTGAACCACTCCCATCCTGGGCCACAGATCATTAATGGATTCCCCCATACTCGCTGCTTCTATCCTCCAAAGGCTCTTTACCCACGCATGCTACAAAAGCCTTCCACAGGGCACCGAGACCACGACCTGCTTGCAGTTTGACAAGGGTCTTGTATGACCAGTACCTCAGACTGTATTTCGGCTAGGGTCTGGAGGGGTACCGCTTGGTAGGGTCCTTGTTCTTACTCTCATCAGGTCTTTGTCCATTATATGAAGGGTATAGGCTGAACTTACTGATATTAAGATGCAGCTCCTTCTATCCTGAGATGTAGGCTACCTGCACTTTTCTTGTATATTCTGAAGCCCAGTGGTATATATTATTAAGCAAAATATCAGTCGATACTGTCTAAATTATCTATGCTTTCTCTCAGATCCTGTTTATTGACAAGACATACCTGCCTAGCTTGTTTACGTTTGTTTTATCTTTCAAAATAAAAAATAAAAGTGCAGTCTCTCTTGACATTGCCTGTAGTTGCCTGTATTATGTATGTGTCTCACATAACTGTTCATATGTTGATAATATGTCAATCTGAACTCCTGTATTTTTCACTGCACGAAAAACAAAGAATGACAAAAAAATTAACATGTAATCATTTTAATGGGTTTTAGAAATTTTTAGAAAAATGACTTTTTAAAATGGGGAAAAAGCTCAGATTCAGAGAGTATAAAATTTGTTTAAACTTTGCTATTTTGACATAAATTTGAAACCCATCCTTACCCTCAATAGAAATCTTGGAGTTTTTTTCCATTTACGAACAAGCCATTTAGGTATGTATTATAGCTAAGTAAGAGCTTATCGGTCAGTTTCTAAAACCCATTAAAGTCCCATTAAAGTGATTACATGTTTATTTTACCTCCGCGGTGTTGGAAATTACAAAGCAAGTCAATTTGCATTAGAAAATCACAGAGTGGTGAGAAGCACAGCTTTCTGTTGTGGTGCATAACATTAATCAGATTAGTTCCTGCTATTTTCTCTTTCTCCTAAATTTCTGAATAGATAAACGACTCACACTGAGAGTAAGCTTTAATAACCTAATCTCTGATATACGTGGATACCTCCTCAGTGTATGATGGACCCCATTGCGTTTCTCATCTTCAATCCTAAAATGTATTTCAGCACTACGGACAGCACTTCAATCTTAACAAGCAGTTAAGTAAGGTTCTTGGAGTTCGATGGGAACTTAATTCTTAAACAAATCATTTTTTGTTCCCCAGGAAATAAACCACTTATGCTTCCATTAATGATGCAATATTGGCCCCTTACAGCTCAATGACAACTTATGACATCATTGCAATCTGATTCTTAGAACCCTTGTCGGTGAGTTGTTCTAAATATCTTTTCAACCATTAAGCTTCTTAGCTACATCCTTGCTATCAATTAGAACATTTTGTATCCACTCAGTTACATAGCCCAGTCAATGATGTGTATCAGAACATAATCAATATCAATCACTCACTCTGTTATGGTCTCTTCCCTCCTTCTTTCAAATGTAACTATTGATCTTATTATTTAAGATTATTATTAAGATTATCTCTGCCCATCTCCTTAGTCAATTTACATTCTTGTTTCTTTATTTCCTTTCACCTCCGGGCCTCTTGAGTGGCTTGACAAATGTCCTCATTCCAGATCTTTACATCCCACTCTTTAGTTTAGTTTCCATTCCTGATATTGGTAGGATCTAACCACTGCCTAGCGGAAACACCCAACAAGACTTGCCGGTTTGGAGATGTTCTTACCCAGTTGTCTAGCCATCGCTATTTGGCCCTTGTCAAACTCACTCAGACCTTTTCGCTTGATCATATTTCCTGCTTCCAACACAGGAAATTCAAGAACTAACTGTACACTTGCTACCCAATATATCTCACCACTTGACAGGTGCCATTGTAACAATATAATCAGTGTTATTCACTTCACCTGTCGGTGGTTTTAATGTTGTGGCTGATCAGTGTAGATATTGTATGTAATGTTATATTTCCAACGACACAATCTGTATATACCTTTCATAACAGATACATTGCACTTGTTCATTTGTTTACCAGACTTATCTCGGCATTTAAACCAGACTTTTATACTAGACCTTCAGCTCGCCTGGCCCCTGTCACCTCCTGTGTTGATTGCCTAAATTTGTCGTTGTGTGCTTGTTTGTTTTGCCTACCTTTGCACAGTGTCTGGGAATATGCTGGCACTTCATAAATAAAAATAATAATCATGTTTGTGACAAACAATACAGAGATATACTGAGCAAAAGCCTTCAATGAGCCATTGCTTATTTTAAGTAAACAACTGAGTCACAGCTCATACAAAGCTTTCTATCAGGGTTATTTAATACACTGAGAATTAAGTACGGATTTCACACTGAAGGCCAGAGTAGCCAACTGGAAACAGCTGAATTAGAGATTGTTTTCCAATTTGGCTATTTTGAACTTAAATTTGAAATTTACTTTGAATTCTCACTTTAGTGAATAGCCCTGTGTGACATGTACAGAACAGCAGAGACAGATTAACACTGGGCCCTAGCCTGGTTGCTAGTTTGGTATATAAGAATATAGATACAATGTCCCAAATCAGATGCTCATATTGCTGCTAATCCGTTAAAAACATTCTTCTTTATTGTTTTCATTTAAAAAATATTCCATTATTTTGCTTTAAAACAGTATATTGGCACATTGAACTACCATAGGCGATGGCAGCACATTTCATTAGAGTGTGCACACGGGAATATTATTTAGAACGCTGTGTGCAAGAGGTTGCTGTATTGTGTGGAGGTTTGGGGTGGCTGTAAGTGTTGTATCTGACTGTGAGACATATGTATGAGTATCTATGTGTGAGTATATGAAAGTGATATGTCTTGGTAGCTTTTAGTGATGTGTGTGGTGGTAGTGCATAATTTGTGGGTAGCTGTGAGTGAATAGAATTGCCGTGTGTGATGTGTGTTGCTGTCTGTGAGGGCCGTGTGTGCAGATGAGTGTGCTGTGAGTGACTGGGTGATGGGTAGAGAAAGTTAAGTGTGGGAGTGCTAGGAGTTGGAATGGAGGGGATGGTTCTGAGTGATAGGAGGTTATGGAGAAGAAGGGATGAGTTTATGTGAGAGCAGGTTGATAAGAGGGGGAGTGATTAGAGGATGGGGAGAGGGAAGGTCGAAAATGTGTCGAAAATGATAGGAGCATGGGAGAGATGGAGGAATGGCTGGGAGTCATGAGAAGAAGAAGGGAGATATGTTTAGGTGTTATAGGAGGATTAAGAGAGAGGGGGGGATGAGTTTGGAGTGGTATGAAGTTGGTGTGAGATTGATTGAAGAGGGAGCAGAGGATAGGATACAGAGGAAGGAATGGGTGAGAGTGATAGGAGGGATTAGCAAGTTATAGGAGGCTTGGATAGAGAGGAAGGGATGGGTGAGAGTGATAGGAAGGATTAGCAAATTATAGGAGGATAGGATAGAGAGGAAGGGATGGATGAGAGTGATAGGAGGGATTAGCAAATTACAGGAGGATAGGATAGAGAGGAAGGGATGGGTGAGAGTGATAGGAGGGATTAGCAAATTATAGGAGGATAGGATAGAGAGGAAGGGATGGGTGAGAGTGATAGGAGGGATTAGCGAGTTATAGGAGGCTTGGATAGAGAGGAAGGGATGGGTGAGAGTGATAGGAAGGATTAGCAAATTATAGGAGGATAGGATAGAGAGGAAGGGATGGATGAGAGTGATAGGAGGGATTAGCAAGTTACAGGAGGATAGGATAGAGAGGAAGGGATGGGTGAGAGTGATAGGAGGGATCAGCAAATTATAGGAGGAAGGATAGAGAGGAAGGGATGGGTGAGAGTGATAGGAGGGATTAGCAAATTATAGGAGGATAGGATAGAGAGGAAGGGATGGATGAGAGTGATAGGAGGGACTAGCAAGTTATAGGAGGATTGGATAGAGAGGAAGGGATGGATGAGAGTGATAGGAGGGATTAGCAAGTTATAGGAGGAAGGATAGAGAGGAAGGGATGGATGAGAGTGATAGGAGGGATTAGCAAATTATAGGAGGATTGGATAGAGAGGAAGGGATGGATGAGAGTGATAGGAGGGATTAGCAAATTATAGGAGGATTGGATAGAGAGGAAGGGATTGATGAGAGTGATAGGAGGGATTAGCAAATTATAGGAGGATTGGATAGAGAGGAAGGGATTGATGAGAGTGATAAAAGGCTGACTAAAGGCTGATTCCATCTGGTAGCAAAAAGCATGGCCTTTGCATTTTTCATGTTTTTTTTACATCCATGTGACTTTATCACAGAATTTACAATCAATTTACATCGGCAATTAATTTACTTCAGTAAATAACGTGATTTAGATGCAGTTTGCAATATACAGGGGGAAAAAGGTGACTCTTACGTGATAAACTGTAGAATTTGGCTCTGAGCATTTTGAGTGGATTTTGCTCTCAATGTCCATGACTTTTAAGTGAGTGATACGAGTTTACTCACCATGGGAATGTAGCACACAGAATAGCTTTAACATTTACTTGGTGATTGTTTTTGCCTATCAAAAATCCACAGCTCTGGACTGCATGGAGTCTTTATACTTTTTTTTTAATTTTTTTTATAGAGGTACCTATACAGGAAAAATCATGGTGTTCAAGAATTTTGTTCTGAATGGTAACACTGTCTAAATCTTAATGCCATTTGTAACTCAACTTTTACATGCTTTATTTCGCAATTGGAATAAGGGCGATATGTGGGATACCTGTTGGTTATTGTAAATAGACGGAATAGAACGCTGGCAGTAATGGAAGTGATTTAGATACAAAGTTCCTCACATTAAAGTTTTATTATAGTAGATTGGAGAAGTTTCAGCAGACTAAGGGACGTCTTAGTGCGAGTGGTAGAGTGCGCCCTTGGTGAAAAGAGAAGCAGTGGGCAGAGTCTTGGTCAGTGAATAATCCGAGGCCAGGAATGGAGAGATCAACACAGGCACAGGTTTGGCAATACCGAGGCTGGGTCATGCTGACAAAACAAAATGTCTGAGCGATATAAAGTTGCACCCCGTGTCTCTTAATAGAGTGAGGGAGATGCACATCACTTGGGGGAGGGGGGGCATGATTGGCGTGAAGTCAGGAAGACGGCTGTAGAGATCAAGGAAACTGACATGGCACTATTTGTTCGTTGATGCCATTTTACTTCAATGTGTAAGTCTCTTGTTACAATTACCAAAAAAACAAAATGGCCTAAGAGTACAATATTATTTGTCATGCCTAACATGTCATTACTCATAGAGAGTTCAAAGCACTAAAGTGATCCTGTCAGGAAAGGCGTCACAATATAATGGTGACTTACACCAACACGTAACATTAAATTCATGTCTTGCATCTAACCTGCTAACATGTAGTATTTATAGCCCTTTGGACCCATTTCTGTTACCTGTCATAGAATTCCGATATAAACCACTTGGTGCGTCTAATCTAGCTATTGTCATACAGCCATAACAGACACTCTTTTATTGGTTAATCTGTTGGAGTATTTTGACAGATAGATAACTATCCAGCATGACAGTTCTTGGAGTGATAGGAAAGTCTAGAGACTGGCTGTTCAGATATTTCTTTATTTACCGATTATTTATCAGTACAGCTGCCATGACACAAAATCTTCTAAACGTTAAAGGTAAAAGTCACGAACACGATTTATTTTAATTTATTTAGTTTGCTTTGCTTTTTATTAATTATTGCTAATAGCTAATCATGTTTTTTGATTTATCTGTAGACAGTAGAGTATCTTTAGAGATGTACATGTTTGTTAGAAACTCGGATATACAATGATTCTGTATAACAATGCTTCTAAAAGCTAGCAGATATCTCATTTTTAGTTCAATTAAAACTACCGTGGATCTAAGCCAGCCTGTCCTGTAATAGAATAATATTTAAATATATGTTTTCAAATATGATTTAAAAGGGTAGAGTTATACAAATACATATGCTTAAAAAGAGGTATTTTGGAGGGGAGGAGCCTGACCACTGAGCCGTGCAGACGCATCTGGGTAAAAACGACGGCCTTCAAGCCAATACTCACCCGAGGGCACACCACCCACGTTGGGGGTGCCACATCGAACCCAATGACACCACCCCGGGACCTGTCAGAGCCGGAATCACTGAGATCCAACTGCGGCCTTCTAGGGCTGAAGCAGAGAGGAGGCAGCCGCTCTCCTCAGCGCAAAAGCCCATAAGCGACCACACCTTAGCCTACCCCTCCCACCCCCCGACCGGTGGGGGACATCCCGGTCCCCACAGGACATACAGACCTGAAGGAAAAGCAAGCAGACTAGAAGCAGAGCATAGTGGGGCAACAGACCCACAAATACCAGCCAAAATGGCCTACCAGCCTATGCCTGGAAAACGAAGCACCCATATCAAGACACACATGTCCCCTATGGAAACCTTTGACCAGCTTTGTGCAGGCCTCAAGGAGTCTCTACACAGCCGGGGGGCAACCCACCACCAAGCTGAATTAACAGTGGCCTTGTGGATACGTCCAGCAGCGAGGCGCAGCTACTACATGCAGGTACCTCGAGCCTCCAAGATGGCCATTCGGCAAAACAGATACTGCCGGGCCTTGAGGCCAGGGCACCAAACCACTCGGGCACACGCTCCCACCAGCATACAAGCAGCACCAGGATTGCGAACCAAGCGACGCACACACATCTCTCATCCGTCCGAAACCCCGGTGACCAGCGCAACACGAAGCACATCTCCCCACTCAAAACAACATTGCAAGCGGCTACGAGGCTGCACAACATGGGGGGAACTACCTGAGCAGACCGCCAAGGCAGAGACACTGGGCCCTGCGGCCGCAATGACGGGACTAGTAGACACAGGACGGGACTTACCAACGCTGGGTATAGGCTGAAGTGCCCACCACGCTGCTTTACAGGGGTATTTCTAGCCTGGACTGACTCGCTATGATAATGCTGGGTATGATGCAAAGCGCTCCTGTTGGTTCCATGCCCAGTCAATCATCGGCAAAGCATGGCTCAATGTCCAGTTACCCATCAACAAAACAGTTTGCATTCACGATTAGACTGTGTAGTGATGTTACCCTATATTGTAGGCAAGATATAGCATTGTTACCTGTTATTTCACTGCATATTAGCCTATGCAAGAGCAGCGCAACCTGTATACGCATCACACACAAACCAGATATTGTCACACAGCAAATCATACTACCACTCTACAAATACACTAGCAAAGCTAATATAGCACTGTTACTCGTTGACCACCTTACCTTATTCTAACGATTTCACTGTTTAGACAAGCTTGTTGTAACTATATAAAACTGTGCAATTTCTAATGCCACTGTCTAACTTAAGTAGTTCTTTAAACACGCTGTTGTGGCGTTTGTCAATACCATGTAATCACCCGCACGACAAAAAAAAAAAAAGAAGTATTTTATGCAAAAGTTAATTTTTATGTTACTGAAAAAGTTTTTAAATTCTGACAGTGTTTAATGATCGATACAATAATGAGTAAAATAATAAATATGAATAATAAACAATAATAAAGTAATATGTTAGTTCCTATAACTGTTCATGACGAAAACTTGTTAATGTTAGAATGCACTCCCTTTTTAAAAAACTCTTTGACAAAATGGATTAGCTCATTCTTGAATGACTTAAATAGTGTACATGGTGAATAAATGGCGCACATGATGACCCAAACTGTGTACATGGTGACCCAAACTGTGTACATGGCGACCCAAACTGTGCAAATGGAGACCAAAACTGTGTACATGGAGACTCAAACTATGTAAATGGCGACCAAAACTGTGTGCATGGCGAATAAATGGCATGCATGGTGACCAAAACGGTGTACATGGCGAATAAATGGCATGCATGGTTAATAAATGGCATGCATGGTTAATAAATGGCATGCATGGTGACCAAAATGGTGTACATGGAGACCCAAACTGTGTACATGGAGACCAAAACTGTGTACATGGCGAATAAATGGCACGCATGGTGACCCAAACTGTGTACAATGGCGACAAACTGTGTACATGGCAATTCAAGCTGTGTACACGGTGACCCAAATTGTGTACATGGCATTAGCTTGGCACCCCATTCTTTAACTTTGTGACTCATGTTTCAATTGTAATATAATATATAATAAAATTAATTCTGCAAACGGTTGATCTACAAGAATACATAATGTATTGTTAGCAACTAATGCTGAACTTTGAAGATTTGCTTAAGGACACAGTTTTGGGTCTTGAACCAAAAGTTAAGAGCCACTGGATTGCAGTTAAAGTATTTGGGCTATTCAATAAAAAAGGAAATATTTAATAAAGAATCCTACAAAAATGACAGTTTGAATTAAAAAATCTCATATTCTACTTTTTCCCCCCCAAGGTTGATCATTTAATTGTACAAGTTGCATTAATTTCAGGGCTAATTCAAAGATCTCAGATTTTTCTGAATTTATTTTTGCAAACAGGGCTTAAATAATCCTCCCAATATTCTCATTTTACTTGTTTTATAAAGTTATTCTAATAAGGCACCATAAAACGTCAAATTATAATAATAGAGTAAGTGGGTCTCACCTTCACAACGAGTTGCAAAGCTAGAACTGGGCACAGTATGCAACTCTTTAAAAATAATAAGTGTCTGATGCTACATGGGGATGTTGTTTTAGCGATGAAATGAAAATCAGTGACTCAACCTTTCTTCCATGCTGTGAATCCTGTTGCAGCATTATGCTTTATTTCAATGAAAGTGACAGATATTCAGGCAGTCCCTCTGTGAACTCGGAAATTTTAATTATAGTAACATGGAGAAAATCTTAGTCATGGCTTATCTGGTGCTTTGTTGCTTTGTATCTCATTAACCTTTAGAATACCACATCAGTTGGGGCACAGTGCTAACAAATGAGACATATTTTTGCATTTTACGGGGTGGATGCTCCTTATTTAGCACAATGTAAAATAAATTAAGTGATAAAGCAGACATCATGCAAAAATAAGTTATTCACTAGTTTATTGCTCTTCAGTATCATCTCCAAAACACCCTTAAAGGAACACTCAAAACACCATAACCACTGCCAGGCCCGGACTGGCCATTGTGCAAACCACGCAAATGCTGAGCAAATCAAAGGATCTCCCTTTCCAGCCAATGCCGCTTCCCTCCATGGGCTGGGATTGAGATCAAAGCTCTTCCTCACTGGCCCACACGCACTTTACTGCGGCTGAGTGAGGGGAGGACCGGGAAGCTGAAAGATCCTCCTGAGAGCTGGGCAATTCGAAGCGTGGCCACAGGTTACCATGGCAACACTGAAAGGAGCTTGCGAGAGGAGTGAGCCAATGGACTAAGTCGCTCATCTCCACTGGACCAACAAGGCTTGCAATCTCCCCCCTACCTGAGAAAAAGGTAAGAAGAAGGAAGAGGGGGCAGTAAAGGGTTTTTTTTGTTTGTTTTTTAAAATAATTTTTTAAAATACCTATTTGCTCCCATTCCGCACCATATATAGGTCCTATACCAACCAACACAGTCACACACTGCACCCACACACACATTACCTCTACATACACTGCACCTGTCATGCACACTGCTTCACCTGTTAGACACTACATCCCTTATACACACTCTCTGGACTGCTATAAACTCTCCCCTAATCACACATTATATTTTCTGTACACAAAAACAAACACTATGTTCCCTAAGCACACACACTCTACATTCACTGCATACACTACATTACCTATACACACATACACTATAGCTCCTGTGCACACACTTGATAGAAAATCAGCGCTGAGTGACCAAACAGAGAGTATATTTTGATAAACAAAAGCAGCAAACTTAAGCATGGGGCTCCTTCGTAAACTCCAAAAAAATATAGAAAACAGAACAAAAATTAAGTTGCGCCTAAAATTATGAAAATAGTAATTCTAATAATAAAAATGCAATGGGTTGCCCTGGAAGAGGATCAAACCAACATGCTCACTTTAAAGGGGTGTGCTTGTCATTGGCGATGACACAACAGCCACCCCTCCCCCCATGCAGCTATTATTAAAAAATGCTTGGGTCAAATAGTTTTTCCAGTCCAGTCCGGCACCCCTTCCCACACTATAAACACTCTCTTTTACAATGGTTTGACTTCTTACCTGTGATTTGCCAGGTGCTGTTCCTGCCAACATTCCACAAAGTGCCAGATGCTCTCTGTCTGAGCTAAGCCCAACAACACATGGCTTTGTTTATTGACTGAGAGTGATCAGATGATGTTCTAACCTAAAGAGGTAGCTCCAGAGAGCCAACATAAGCTCCTATGCAGGAGCTTCCAGCTGTTAGATAGATGGATAGACAGACAGAGAGACAGACAGATTTGTAAGTTTGTTAGAGCAGGAATTGTAAGCACGTTTGAGCACGACCTTCTTTACCTGTGAATATTCAGTTTCTATAATTGCAAAGCAATTATATATTAATGCTACGTAAATGCTAATAATAATATGTAGGGGAAGGAAGGAGTCAAGGCAAGTTCTAAAACCATTTGACTACTTACAATGGGGGGCACCAGGGCACCCCTGGAAAAAGAAATGTAATGTTTCGTCTCTCCTGGCATTTGTCAAACCTATTACTTCAAAGCCAGGCATTGAAAGAGAAATATTGATATGATTTAGGAAGAGAAATCCTTCGGGAAGTCTTCCAGTATTAAGTTTATCATCCAAGTTGGATCTCACAGAGGTCAAGCAGCACATATTTCTGCCATAAGAAGATGGATTGCTATCAACATCAGCAGAATCAACAAAGAACAAGGTCCTCGGCCATCAAGGAGGGTAAAACCTCCATCAATCAGAGTGATTTCAGCTTCCTGGACAGCCCGGGCATGAGGTCCATCTTAGGGATCCACCAATATTGATTTTATAGAGCCGATACCGATACCAATAATCTGTGAACTTTCAGGCTGATAGCCGATAACCTACCGATACCGATATTCTGTACATTTACCATTTTGAAAAAAATAAACAATTTCTACACAAATCTACTGTTAACTGAACATGCTTATTATTTATTTATTTTTATGCAAATCTTTTTTTTATTAAGATAAATGCACAAAATATACATGCCAGTCAGAATTATTTATGCTTTATGCTTTCATGAATATATGTGTGTGTAGTGAATGCAGTGAGAGAATTTAATTAGTGAATGCAATATGTGTGTGTTTGTGTAGTGTGTGTATAGTGGATGCATTGTCTGTGTAGTGTGTATATAGAATGCAGAGTGCGTGTTTACTGTACTGTGTGTATAGTGAATGCAGTGTCTTTGTGTAGTGTGTGTATAGTGAATGCAGTGTGTTTGTGTTTGTGTGTACAGTGAATGCAGTGTGTGTTTGTGTAGTGTGAGTATAGTGAATGCAGTGTTTGTGTAGGGCGTGTGTTTGTGTAGCGTGTGTATAGTGAATGCAGTGTGTTTGTGTGTACAGTGAATGCAGTGTGTTTGTGTAGTGTGTGTGTTTGTGTAGCGTGTGTATAGTGAATGCAATGTGTTTGTGTAGTGTGTATATAATGAATGCAGAGTGTGTGTTTGTGTAGTGTGTATATAATGAATGCAGAGTGTGTGTTTGTGTAGTGTGTATATAATGAAGGCAGAGTGTGTTTGTGTAGTGTGTGTATAGTGAATGCAGTGAGTGTTTGTGTAGTGTGTATATAATGAATGCAGTGTGTTTGTGTAGTGTGTGTACAGTGAATGCAGTGTGTGTATAGTGGATGCAGTGTGTGTTTCTGTGTAATGTGTATATAGTGAATGCAGTGTGTTTGTGTAGTGTTTGTATATAATGAATGTAGTGTGTGTTTGTGCATTGAGTGTTTGTGTAGGTATGTAATCTGTGTAAAATAGGTGGGGCATTTGTATTTTTGAAACTTTTTTTTTTAATATAAAATTTTTTAACACTTTGTTTTAGTCCTCCCTCCCTACTTCTTACCTGGCCAGCGAGTGGGTATATGGCGGCTCGCAGTGGTCCTGGGGGGCCCAGTACACTCTTACTTACCTTCCCAGCATTTCCCCTGTCTAACTCTCGCGGCCTGAGTGCCGCGCGGAGCGTTGCCATAGTAACCCATGGCAACACTCTGACGGCCACGGGACTCGTGAGATTTAGACAGGGGAGCTGAAGGGAGCTACTGGGAAGGTAAGTAAGAGTGTGCTGGGCACCCCAGGACTGCCACAGGCTCCCCAGGACCCTGATGGCGGCCCTGGTCTGCATTATCAGCAATATCTGTATTTTTGTTGGCCGATACCGATATTGCTGAAAATACAGAATATCGACCGATAATATCGGCCAGACCGATAATCGGTCGATCCCTAGTCCATCTTTCTGATATTTGTACAGCGACAATCTGAGCTGGGCAGCCTGGGCTCAGGTCCATCTTTCTGATATTTGTAAAGCAGCAATCTGACCTCCTTCTTTTACATTTGTTAACTAAGATTTGAACATGTCCTCAAGGTCAGATTTGGGCAAGCTGTTTTGTATTCTGCTAATACTCCTAAATAAATTACTTAAGTGGTGTATTATGCTTCTCAGTATTATTTTCTCCCACTTCAATTTGCTTGTATATTGTCCATTAGGAATGATGCCATGGCTATAAATGACAAGAGAACATTTCTTCTTACTTATTGTTATTTTTCTGGCTTTTTCCCAGTGCAGCAGTTTACCAACCCCTTTTATCTATTTGTATTTCCCTTGTAATAACTGTGTTATGTTTGGTAATTAGACAGAGGAATACAGAATATGGCCAATGGCAGCACTAAAGGATTGCTAGAGGATGCTTTGCATCTCCAATCTCTAATCTATCACCCCAGTTTATTTGGCATTTAGTCAGTGGACCACAAGGTTGGGCCAGCACTGCAAGAGATAATTACTTATAAACTAACCATCATAGCTGGACATCCCACAATGGCAATCAGTCTAGTCTGGTGCAGTGTGGTGTATATAATAAACTAAGCAGTCTTATTCTTGGGCAATTCCCAGGCTATAAAAAAAAAATATCTTGCTTTCTGCAACGGGGAGAGAGGGGGTAAGATTGCAGAAGATGACAGATATACACCTGTGCCTTATGGTGAAACATCTGCAAGAGGGTAGTTGTTTAATTGCAACAATCAATAAAGTCAGACTGTTCTCCAATTATAGATGGACTAGATTTGTTGGCCTTCAAAAGTTTAAGTTTCATAGGAGCCTCTGTATAAGATGGAAGGTGCATATTACAATCTTTGCTCTACTCAAATTATGTGAAATATCCAGCCTGACAGAGGAACTACTATTAGCGATGCTGCCAGGGAATGCATTATTTAAAAATAATCAGTCAGGTCCATGAAATATATATGGGACACGTACAGAGCAATAAGGAGGGAAGGCAACACAGAGGAAAAATTACATCAATTTTGATTAGAAAAGAGAGCATTTGCTATTCTTGGGGTGGTTACATTGAACTACCGTTATATTTTGTAGAAGTCGAAAAGCTCAGGTCCCTCTGAAACTGTTGTGCTTTATCTTCAAAGATAAGGTAGTTAAGAAAAGCAGTAGGTTTTGTTCTAAAATGAGCTCCAACACTCCATGTTCAATAAATATTCAACTCACACAGTCTGAACATCAGCCATAGGCAACTACTGCCAGAGCATATTCAGAATCTGGACACATCGGTTTGGAACACATGGGGTCTCCTGCAAAGATAGAAACAGACATCAATACAGTGGCAACTTAAAATCTCACTATTATAATAATAAAAAGAAAATGGATCATATATATCAGCATTTTATAATAGCTGAATTGGTTATGAATGCAATCTATCTGCCTGGCTACTATTATCTAGATTATTATTACGGTGGTAGTGCATGTCTGAGAGTATCGAGAGTGATTCAATTATAATACTATGTGTCCTATGTATATAATCCAAAACTGGGTCATGGATTGCAGGGAAAAATTTACCATGAAAGGATCTTAACATGTATAGGTCGAGGAAAGACGAGACGGGGGGATATGATAGAAACATTTAAATACATAAAGGGAAATTTGATCTTTGGTCAGAATCATGCACTTGCCCGACCACAGATCATTCTGCTTTCCCTTGGAGTGCATATGTAAAAATAGTAGCAGTCATCACCTGACAAAGGGATATTAGTTAAGTAAGAACATGTTCTTGACTGTCGATTACGTTAAAGACAGCACTCAGGGAGAGAATGCCAAGGGACTGAATAGGTATCGTATAAAGACTAGATTGTGATACATATAAGGGTTTATTCAGTAATTTCAATTCCAATTTCTAATCAATTAAAAATCAAAATGTTAATTAAAATAGCTGATTGGAAGACAATTCTACAACACAGCTGTAACCACAGCTCGGCTATTTTTGTGATGGATGTATGGGGAATTCCAAGCAAGCAAAATAAATATAACAAAAAACAGAGCGATTTCAGTACAATTCTGCTAGACCCACAGCTTCAATATCCTGCATGCTACAAAGAATTAGCCCCAAGCACTTACACACACACTGTACACATAGTGTATCTGTGTATGTCTATTTAAAAGAAGAAAAACTACCACAACAAGAGGACATAGTCTTAAATTAGAGGGACAAAGGTTTAAAAATAATATCAGGAAGTATTCCTTTACTGAGAGGGTAGTGGATGCATGGAATAACCTTCCGGCTGAAGTGGTAGAGGTTAACACAGTAAAGGAGTTTAAGCATGCGTGGGATAGGCACAAGGCTATCCTAACTATAAGATAAGGCCAGGGACTAATGAAAGTATTTAGAAAATTGGGCAGACTAGATGGGCCGAATGGTTCTTATCTGCCGTCACATTCTATGTTTCTATGTGACCATGAATGTGCCTATGTGTGTCTGGCAGTGTGTATTTACAGTATGTGCATTGTGGAACAATGTATTTGTATGGTAACAGTACTTATGTGTGTATTTTAAAGGAACACTATAGGGTCAGGAACACAAACATGTATTTCTGACCCAATAGTGCTAAACCCACCATTTAGGTGGCTTGCCCCCATTTAAAAGTTAATTAAACTTATTTCCAGTGCCATGCGTGTCTGCCGGCATTAGCCCTGCCCCCTTGGTGACATCATCATAATTGCTGATTTTTAGCCAATCCAATGCTTTCCCATGGGCTAAAATCAGCAAGGGGACAGGGCCAAATGCCATTTTGGTCAATCAGCACCTCCTCATAGAGATGCATACATTAAGCTGTCTGGTGACTACAGTTTCCCTTTAAGAGGCCACAAGACTTCTGAGTTCTGACAGCAGTTCTGTGTGAGAATATGTATGTATGTGGCAGAATGGTTTTAAGCACTCCTGGAACGTTTTAAAAAATATATATATACAGTATCTCACAAAAAGTGAGTACACCCCTCACATTTTTGTAAATATTTTATTATATCTTTTCATGTGACAACACTGAAGAAATTACACTCTGCTACAATGTAAAGTAGTAAGTGTACAGCCTGTATAACAGTGTAAATTTGCTGTCCCCTCAAAATAACTCAACACACAGCCATTAATGTCTAAACCATTGGCAGCAAAAGTGAGTACACCCCTAAGTGGGAATGTCCAAATTGGGACCAATTGTCAATATTTTGTGGCCACCATTATTTTCCAGCACTGCCTTAACCCTCATGGGCATGGGGTTCACCAGAGCTTCATAGGTTGCCCCTTAAGTCCTCTTCCACTCCTCCATGACGACATCATAGAGCTGGTGGATGTCAGAGACCTTGCGCTCCCCCACCTTCCGTTTGAAGATGCCCCACAGATGCTCAATAGGGTTCAGGTCTGGAGACATGCTTGGCCACTTCACCTTTACTTTCAGCTTCTTTAGCACGGCAGTGGTCATCTTGGACGTGTGTTTGGGGTCGTTATCATACTGGAATACTGCCCTGCGGCCCAGTCTCCGAAGGGAGGGGATCACGCTCTGCTTCAGTATGTCACAGTACATGTTGGCATTCATGGTTCCCTCAATGAACTGTAGCTCCCCAGTGCTGGCAGCATTCATGCAGGCCCAGACCACGACACTCCCATCACCATGCTTGACTGTAGGCAAGACACACTTGTCTTTGTACTCCTCACCTGGTTGCCGCCACACACGCTTGACTTCATCTGAACCAAATAAGTGTATCTTGGTCTCATCGGACCACAGGACATGGTTCCAGTTATCCATGTCCTTAGTCTGCTTGTCTTCAGCATACTGTTTGCGGACTTTCTTGTGCATCATCTTTAGAAGAGGCTTCCTTCTGGGATGACATCAATGCAGACCAACTTGATGCAGTGTGCGGCGTATGGTCTGAGCATTGGCAGGCTGATCCTCCACCCCTTCAACCTCTTTAGCAATGCTTGAGCACTCATACGTCTATTTCCTAAAGACAACCTCTGGTTATGACGCTGAGCACGTGCACTCAACTTCTTTGGTCGACCATGGCAAGGCCTGTTCTGAGTGGAACCTGTACTGTGAAATCGCTGTATGGTCTTGCCTACGGTGCTGCAGCTCAGTTTCAGGGTCTTGGCAATCTTCTTATAGCCTAGGCCATCTTTATGTAGAGCAACAATTCTTTTTTTCAGATCCTCAGAGAGTGCAGTTGAGTTCCCCAAATGTTTTCCTGATGAAACACCTCTCAACGTTTACCTATGGGGGACCCTAAAGGATATCGTGCATCATAGAAAACTGGGTACACAGGCAGCTCTTTAGGAAGAAATTGAAACGGCATGTGCAGCAATCCCACTGGAAACTTTAGCCAACTTTGCCCGAGCAGCAGTTCTCTCTTCTAGCAATGGCAACCACTAATGGCAACCACTTTGAGCACCTCTAGTTATTGTAGAGGTCAAAGGTAACTTGAATTCGTGTATACATTTTTCTGACTAACTCTGTATATCCGCACACAATCACACACATGCAATGTGAATTTTCTATTCTATTCTATCAGCATTTTGTAGATTTACTACCAATATCATCACATTCCATTTTCCTGTACTCTGCACAAATTATACACACACTTCATTCTAGTCATCATATCATCGGGTCACTCAGTATTACATCACAACTTCCTTTGTCTTAGCATTTCCAACCTCTTGTCATCCCCAAAAATATCCTGCACCACGTGTCATCATCCCATAATCTCATTTATGCTTTACTTTAATGACACAAACACAGTCTCATATTTTACCCAATGATATACGTTTCTCTAGTTACTACGTAGTCATAACAATGATAGGAAAAATAGTGTTAATAAATTTCATGGTAGATAAGATTTCAAACTGGGATCCTAAAAGGTGCCGAGTTAAATTCAGTAAAGGTTATCTCATTACTCTTACCAGCTGCTGTCCTCAGATTATCCGTTTGTTTTCAATCTACTTGTGAATTTTACATGAGAATTGGCAAGGTGCTCCAATTTTTTGGAGATGAGTTGGAGTTTAGAATGTTTTTTCCAACAAAATAAAATATATCATGCTGCCATAATTAGTCTTTTTTTTTTTCCCATCAAACAATTAAAAAAAAAAAAAAATCACATTATGTTGGTGTCAGTATCCTAGGGAAAGATGAAACATATTATGATAATTACACGTTTGTCACAAATTATTAGTTTATTTTAAGCATATAGTAAACAGGAAGATCGACATTGTATCAAGTAAATTATACTTCACTAAGTGACAAGAAGGATTGATTTCAAGCTCTGGCACCATAGCAACTATGTACCAGTTAAAAGCTCGGAGAACATGCTAGTTATTTGTAATAAGAAGTAGAAACTGCAGACTCATTATTTTGATGACTTCTTTTGACACTTTTTACATTAACTGTGCACACTACCTCTATGTGTCGTTTATAAATTTGTTATGCTTGTTAATGTGGGCCTCTGTATTTTTTATAGTTTGTATTTATGTATGTTTGCCAAAATGTCTTTATATGTGCTAGCATTAAATGTGTGGATTATTGTGCATCTATGATTGTTTGTTAGTGTATCTATGTATGAATATTAATGTATATTTATCAGTGTGTTAGTGTCTATGTATGTACATTAGGGTGTGTCGATGTATTTGTTAATGTATGTTTATGTACATACTTTAGTGTGTTTCTATTTATGTGTGTTCTTTTGCATCAATCTTTGCGTTAACGTGTGTGGAGGATCGCATGGCACCCCAACTGGGTGCCTCCGCCAATCGATGCTCCTAGTGCTTACCGAGGACTCCAAGCACTCTACCAGACACCATCAGCACTGTAGTTCCCCAAAACACATGGAAACCCCAGTATAGTCATATCTCCTGATAGCCCAGATATGGGGGACCAACATATATAAAAATCACCCAGTTCAGTTGAGGGGTTCAGAATTACCATGGAAGCCTTAGTTTGACAGAACGCACGAATGGTCCCATGCCCAAAACAGTTCCAGAGAATCAGGGCTTGCGGTCGGTCTAGTTCGGTAGTTTACAATATAACAAACACAAATTCAAACAGTTCGTATGTATACTTAGTCTGTGTCTCTTGTTCGGGAGTGTGTTTCCACCGAACACTGCTCTTCTCAAGTGAATCCAGTCGAACAAACGAAGAGATGGAAGTCCCAGCGGTGTTCGCGCCATCGAGTGTCCGATTATAGTTCCATGCACTCGACGACCAAACACAGCTGTATGTGTTCGCGGCTAAAGATGGCCGCCACCACGTGTTCGTACATCCGAACGACAGCCACCCAGCTAAGCACTTAGAATGTTGCAGTTAGCGAGGTCAATAAGCAGCACACGACTGTTCTGGGTGGTCGGTCCGTTCGACAGTTTATTCGGTATACCAACAGCATTAGTCTAATCTGTTCGGTAAGCCCCATATACCGAACCATAGACAGGAAAAGGCACGAACAAAGTCTTTCCACAGTTCTGAACCAATGTTTAATACTTGGGCCATAGTCCTGGGGCAAGAGGCTGGCAAGCAGGCCCCTCCAAGAACCAGTGGTGAGGTTACTTTCGCCACAACGTGTATCTGCGTGTTTGGATTACAGTGTATATGTGTATATGTATTTGTATATGTGTTTGTCAAGATATGAAAGGTTCAAAGTTGCAGTAAATACTTGGTTTCAAGCACTACCAGGCTGATGAAACCGAGATGAAGGCTGAGCTGCCTAGTTAATACAAATGGCTTACTCAAGTTCCTGGTAAATAATAAGGGTGGTCTTGTCATGAACACTAAGTTATGTCCCATTAAGCCACCATGTATCGGGGGAGTGGAAGGTGCAGACAGTGCTGAGAACACAGTAAGTGGATCCAATACATCCTCCATCCCTCCAGATAAAAAGCTTTCTGCCTGTATGACAAATAACCTTATCAACATGAATTCACCTTAGCTTGACAGACACTAACAAGCTGCATTGCACAAAGAACCGGTTCTCTGTGCACAATACACAAGTCATGTTCTTTTCTGTCCAACTTAACTTAAATGGAAAGTAACTTAAAACCCTTTTAGTTGTACGGGTGGTACACGTGATGGATTGCAATAGAAACAGACGGAAGCATCTTGTGTGATTCTATCATTTATTGATTCCCAAAGGCCTTTCACTGAGCACAAATGGCTGATTTCAAGTCTTTCCAAATTGTCAGTGAAAAGAGGAGGCAGTTTACCTATTTATGTGGAACTTCAAGCAACTCAACTTTTAATAATAATACAAATGGACAATCCAACAATGATCCGGCTCATCTGTGTCTTTTTCTGAAAGAAGCTTCTGCCAGTCTAGAACTACATTAAAAACCCCTGTCAGGCAGTTATTTATAGGTTATACTCTACTCTCCCATTGTAGAGAACGGCAGAGCTATGATTTGCTAAATACTGATCAGCTATTTTCTACTCCGTTACCTGAACTCAACATGAGTTCTGGGTAATTTCAAAAATCAGCATCTTGTTTTCTTTTGTATATATTTTATATTTTTTAAAAGAACATTCCATGCACCTTAACCACTCCACTACGCTGCAGTGGTTTTGGTGCCCGGAGTGCCCTTGCACCTCCCCACACAATGTAAGTAGTCAAACTGTCTGCTGGGTTCTGCTCACTGTCTCTCCTATTCTGCTCATTGCTCTCAGATACTGCAGTGTTGGGCTTAGTCTGTCCTTGGTCCCCTATTGTTCTTAATCTACACTGCCTCCTTTGGTAAACTCATCAGCTCCTTCGGCTTCCAGTATCATTTCTATGCGTATAACACGCAAATGTATCTGTCTGCCCCTGATTTCTCTCCACCCCTCTTGCTTCGCATCTCTGACTTACTCTCTGCTATTTCCAACTGGATGGCTACTCATTTCCTTAAACTGAACCTGTCCAAAACAGAACTTCTGGTCTTTCCTCCCTCAAGTGTTGCTACTCCCTTGTCTGTGTCACTGCAAGTCAATGGTGCTACCATCCACTCTACCTCTAAGGCTCGCTGCTTAGGTGTTCTCTTTGACTCCAACCTCTCCTTCACCCCTCATGTCCAATCAATCGCCAAATCCTGCTGCTTCCTTCTCAAAAATATTGTGTGCATCCTCCCCTATTTAACTTCAGATGCAGCTAAGGTGCTGATCCATGCCAGTGTACTCTCTCGCCTTGACTACTGCAATCCGCTTCTTAGTGGTCTTAAATGTTCCCAACTTGCCTCATTACATTGTATAATGAATGCGGCGGGGAGGCTCATCTTCCTGTCCTCCCGCACCTCTCCCCTTTGTCAATCCCTACATTGGCTTCCCGTAGGATACATGTCTCAATTTAAGATCCTGATACTTGCTTACAAATCTCTACAGAATGGTGCTCCCACCTGCTTAATCTCACTAGTACAGAAATATGTCCCATCTAGGCCCCTACACTCTGCTGGAGACCTACGCTTAACCTCTGTTCGTACTCCTACCTCTGATGCTCACCTTAAAGACTTCTCTAGGGCTGCACTGTTCCTATGGAACACTCTTCCCCTCTGTTAGACTTTCATGCAATCTCCACTCCTTCAAAAAATCTTTAAAAAATTACTTCTTAAGGAAAGCTTATCAATTAAACTGTGAACAGCTTTCCCTCCCCTCACCCTGATTCCCTCCTGAAACTGTCATCAAAACTAAACACTAAGTCATCAATGAACACTATCCTGGCAACCTACATTTCTACCCTAGCCTTAGGTTTTCTGTCACATTACCTCACTCTCTCTAGCATGTAAACTAATTGAGCATGGCCCTCAATCCCTCTGTTCCTGTGTGTCCAACTCGTCTGGTTATAAATACTTGTCGGTTAGTTAGCACTACGAGACTTGTTGGCGCTTTATAAATAATAATTATAATTCTAGGTGGGTAATATGAATATCCACTAAGAAGGTTATGTTGAAGGCCATGCAGGGCCAAAGTATATTTAAGTAAACCTCTAATGTTAAACCCATTGGGGCACTAAAGGGGCAGATGATGAAAGCTGCACAATACACGCTCATTTTATCAGAAACTGATATGTTACAGATCGAGTGGACATTATACTAATGATCAGTATGAAATGCCAAAGATAAAACTCAGATCTGTTATCACTATTAAAAATGAAAGGGGAAGAGAAGTCATCAACGTTAGTGTAATTGTTTCCCTGCAGAGCAGATCTCTTTAGTTGTATCTTTTCTCCATGGCAACTATGGTAATGCAACTTTTAAGACGGAACTGCAAATTATTTCTCTGTATAAATGTCACTGTACATGTGCCGAATCCTCATTAGGAGAAAGGTGCACACACAAAAAAAAAAAAAAGGAGAACCAGCCACTGCACTTCACTTTGGCGGTGAAAGTCCACGGACGGGTTGAACAAAGCAGGAGCAGCTTGAAGGTTTTAATAACCTGAAGCAGGAACATATCAAGGGGCCCATCTATAATAGAAGTAGTAATGAATTTGTTCACAGCACACACAGGCCAAGAAAGACGAAGTACTAATAAGTATTAAAGCATAGTGCCATTTTCATCGGTGCCACATTTTATAGACTGAAGTTTATTATTAATTATCTCCAAATATCTTCCAACATCAGTGTTTTAATTTTAAATGAAGGTGTCTTTCTATGTACCAACAGGTTCTGCTGCTATAAGATAAATGATATAGTGAGCAATAGAAACAGAAAGATGATGTGAGATAGCTCAGTGGATAGTACTCCAGCAATATTCATGAATTCAGGATTTCATCCTTCTGAATTCCATAAAATGAGAACGAGTCAGATGGTTTATACTCACATCCTGTCTTATCGCACTTTATCAACACAAATTAATTGTAACCTTTCACTTGAACTAAGTAGATACTATTAAAATATACTGACTTTGAAGGATTAGGAAAGACAAGATGTGAGGAAAATGAGATCAGAAGCTGCAAGAGGAAGACATGGAGTAAGGAAGTAGGCATAGACATATTGTGAAAATAGAGTGGTGCAATATAAGATCGAGTTTAATACAACTAGTCCCTTAAACATATTGAACTGGGGTCCCTTGTTGGATGCCCACACACCAACTTGCAAGGATCACCTAAGTGACCAGGCAAAACCTAAGCCCATGTGAACATATTAAGAACACCAGGATGGAGCTTTGTGATGTACTGTCCCATAGCATAATAAACGTCCAGTATAATAAAAACAATGGGTCACCCTTCCCCTAATCATGTGCAACCCTTCATAGATACATTGACTAGCTGATGAGGTGTGGGGAAGGGGGGAGAGGGGTAATGTTATCATTTGCCAGCCAACTTTTCTTTATGTAGAACCAGCAGACTGACAAAAGTTGACAAAGGGTGGAGAACTATAACTGACCTCAAAGAACATCCCTTTTGTTTTTTTACTGACATAATGTACCTATATATAAGAACAATATAGAATTCTGACTGCAAAACCAATAAAATGCTCTTGTTAATTCTAGATTCATTTTCCCCTGAGGAAGTCCGGTTTAGGACGAAACGCGTAGGGCGGAGGGGCTACGACATCACTTTATTGACTTTTTATTTTCGTTATTTGATTTGTTCTTTTTCATTGATTGTCTTATGTGGTTTTATCCATTTTTTTTCTTATTACTCGCTACGGGAGGAAGGATGTCGGCACTGTGAACCCCTGAGTGTTTGATATGCTGGATTTCAACCATTTTCTTGTGAGTGCAATTTAATAAATAATATTGTTTTACATCATACTGGTGCACTATGCCCTGTGTGACTCTCCCTCTTCAATAAGGTCAAAAAGAAGATTATAGATGTCCGTCAAGTCCAAAAGATCGCTACATGCCTGTACTGCTCTTTTATCCTGTAAGTAGAATTTGAATCAGCGCACTTCTGGTGTTTTAATATATTACACTATGTTTTTCTATGTTTATTTATTTTTGTAGATTGTATTGTTTATATTTTTAAGAAGATTAGAGGGTTCTTCTTACATCATACAACTGGTAAATTTATTTTATAAACTTTTACCTATTGGGGAGCAAGTGTGTTACATATATATATATATATATCTTTTGTATAGTTCTCATTGTAGCCTGTTGATGTTTACATCTGAGAGCACAGGGCTACTTGTAAATGTATCATTTTAGCAAAAGCCCTGCAGCAAATGTAGCACCCTTTACAGCAACAACATGGTCAATAATCAAGCTAAATTGTGTACCAAATGTTAGTGACCTCAGCTTGTCACAAAACCAATAACTGTTAAACACTTTAAGCAAGTATGTGTTTCTCTGCTCACTCTGGGAAAAAGGCTTCTCCAGGCATTTCGATTAACCAAAAATAATAAACAGAATCAATAGAACTTTAGAGCTTTATGTTTGTTCTAATAAAACTTTCAAATGTTCTCCATTTTGCCTCAAAATTTGAGAGCCATCGTAGCGAATTTCCTTGTTAATAAACTTAATGAAAACAATCGTTTACACCATTTATTTATTTTAATGAAAAGTCAACTGTTATCTTTGCCCTTCTCCAGCAGCTTCGGTTGGTTTGTTTTGATTACTTAACAGCCATTTAATCCCTGCCCCACGCACTATAAAACTCTGCTACACCTTGTAAATACTGACTGTAACATTATATGTACTTGTTTAGCATATATCATGCATCCACCTATTCACTCTATATTCCAATTTCTGTTTCACTGCTTATTTGTCTTCAGGCTGGCATGACTTTATAACATGTCATTAACATGGCTGTTTCCTGCACTGGGAATAAATGCTTTTTCTCTGTTATCCTTATACTTAGACCGTAATTTTTTATTTTTTTTTATCAGTAAATTTTCTCTCTTATTAGTACATACTCCCATAATCCCAGATCTCTGATTGATACTTTTTAACTCCCTTTTTAGCCCTGTTGTCGCCTCCCCCCCCCGCCAAACCTAACCTGATACTAACCTTTCAGCTGATAGCTTTGCATGCGATTTTACGGACAAGATTAATTGGGTAAGAAATGGATTCTCCCCATTGCTTCTCTCTCTCTTTTTAAAACACACTTGGGCAGTGCCCTTCCAACCTCCTAGGCCAGGGATAGGCAACCTTCGGCACTCCAGATATTTTGGCCTACATCCCCTACAATGCTCTTACACCGGTAATGCTGGCAAAGCATCATAGGAGGTGTAGTCCAAAACATCTGGAGTGCCAAAGGTTGCCTATGCCTGTCCTAGGCCTTCTCCCCGGCTACTGAACAGGAGGTGGCTACACTTCTCATTTTCGCTCGCGCCACTACTTCTCCGCTTGATTTCCATCTCACCTTATCAGATTTCTCTCCTCTTATCTTGCACCATCCTTAGCACATAACTGCTCTTTTTCTTCTGGCATTGTCCCTGCCCCCCTTAAGCATGTTACCTATCCTAAAAAAAGCCATCTCTTAACTAGTCTTCCCCATCTAACTACAGTCCTATATCTCTGCTCCCTTTCTCCTCAAAGTTTCTGGAACAACTCACATTACTAGCCATGCATGTTTTCTCAACTCCAACTCTCTTCATCTTCTTCAACCCGCCCCTCCATTTTACTGAGACTGCTCAGATTAAAGTAACTAACGATCTAATCGTGGCTAAATGCATAGGCCACGACTCTATACGGATTCTAAAAACTCTTCTCTCCTGCGGTCTCTGTGACACTGTCATTTTGTGGTTCTCGTTCTCTCTCTTCCAACGTTCAATCAGTTTTTCCTTTTTAATTACACCTCCTCCCCTTGTCCTGTCTCGGTTGGAGTGCCCCAAGGCTCTGTTCTTAGTCCCCTTTTGATTTATCTTTATGCTCTCTCTCTTGGAAAACGACACTCCTTTGGTTTCCGCTATCACCTATATGCCCATGACACCCAGATAAATCTCTTTTAGAACGTGTCAACAGTTGCCTCTCTTCCATTGCTAATTGGATGTCCTTCCGCTTTCTAAAACTCAATCTCTCTAAAACTGAGCTTCTCATCTTTCCTTCTCATAATAGTAATCCTCCTCATTCCCTCTCTCTGCAAGATGATGGTATGAATAAAAACTCCTGCAAGGGTTACTTTAACATAGTAAAGGAGTTTAAGCATGTGTGGGATAGGCATAAGGCTATCCTAACTATAAGATAAGATTAGGGACTAATGAAAGTATTTAGAAAATTGGGCAGACTAGATGGGCCGAATGGTTCTTATCTGCCGTCACATTCTATGTTTCTATGTTTCTAAGGGTAAGCTAGCTCTCCCCTCCCACCTTGTTGGCGCTCCCTCCTGCCTACATCCATTGACGGCAGTTTTTACATTTTTATTTTTTAAAATCCTCCTTCTACCTCTCCATTGCCAGCCCAGTGTGCAACCGTCAATTTAGCCAATCATAGGCTTCTCTGAGAGGCCTGTAATTGGACCGTGCATGTGCATTAATGTCAGGAGGGGGCACGAAGGTCAGCATCGGGAGCTTTAACCTGAGCTAAAATCCAGGTCAGTAAAAAAACAAATGAAAAAACACCAACTTTTTTTCAGGTTTTAGAGCAATCGGAGCAGAAAGAACTCCTCTAATTGACAATACCCACAATGCATCAGTATAGTGAATCCCTCAGAAGGGCAAAGAGCAGACATCATGAGACGAGGAGAATACAATGGCTGCACACAGGTATGGAGATCTGGCACAAGGAAGAAAAGTAAATAAATCAGTTTAAAGGCAAATGGCACTGGGGTGAGGAGAGTATAACCATTAAGATACAGGGGGCATATAGAAGAAAAAAACAAAAAAAACGACAAGGCTGCTTTAACCAAGCTGGCATAAATGTTGGCAGATACAGAATAGATCCCTTTACATTTGACTAACCGTGTTCAACGAAGCTTACAAAACGATGCCATTAAAAATAAATCATCTGGTTCCTCGCTGCCTAGGGAATATGCAGTGTAAACACAAACTTGCCCTCTTTCTGTTCTATTCATCATTACATTTTACATTTGAACAACTTATGATTTGCATGCCCCCCCAGGGCTGGAATAATGTAATCTAAATGATAAAACAACTTCCCTAACAGCACCTGAGACTCTGCAAGGTAGTGATTTGGTTTCGGTGGCCTGCGGCACAGAGCGTGCACAAGGAAAATGTAAATATCCAACACACAATTAAATCAGAAATAAGTATATATAAAAGCAGCTTTCTGTTTTTTTCTTTTGTACTGTAAAAGAGAGCTGCAACTAGCCTTCTAATGCTGAGTGTATAATACAATAATATATAATGTTTAACCATAACAATGCGATTTATTTTACTCTTTCTACATAATTTGCTGTTAAGGCAATGATCCAACTAAGACAATTATGCTAAGTGAACAATTGTGTGTGGCATTCGTTTTATTAAACACCTTCTGGAAGTGGTTTTAAAAAAATTATCTGATCAATACAAAGGTTCAGCTACATTTGAAAGCACAGACAGTTTTTATTCCACTTTTCACTGTAACCGTTTGTAAATGAGCAAGGATCATGTGTCGGGCTAGCCAGAGGGGCTTGTAGCTAGTCCTATTTTGCTTCTCTAATTTCTACATACTGTGTAAACCAGATCGTATAGATCAGTTTGTAAAGAGCTACCTACAGTGTGTCTTTTGGTACTGAAGAGAATTGGAATGCTGTTACCCAGGAACTGTTCAAGCTAACCGTCAAAGAGCAGCTCAAAATGATGGGTAAAAGCAGTAAAGGATCTATGAAGACATGTACGTTAATACTTAAAAAGAGGACAAGTCAGCTTCTCCAAAGTACTTCTTTTTATTAAATAGTTCTGCAGTGATATCTTACAATCCAGCGCCTTATTAATTGCTAGATGGTGGAGGTGGTACCCACTCGTGAATCTTCTTCCGTGTAGTGGGATATGGAACATATTGCTCAGGAGTGGCACTCACATTGAATTTGTGGTTCTCCCAGACAAATTTATGTGCAACAGGAGGGTGTGTTGTTGGAGGTTCTTCTGTCATGCAGTGAAGCCAGCGATGCCTGAAAAAGATGATTAACGTGAATTTAGAGAAACAAGGAATTGCACCACATCTAACTAAGTAGGACAGGTTAAAAACAAAGTATCTTATCCTGCTGTCTCCAAAGCCAATTATCTCTTTCTGTAAGTTCCTTTGTAGCCCTGTGTGTTAGGCTTGCTGCCACAACATCCTTCATTTATATTAAAAGGAGACTTCAAGCACCTTAACCACTACAGTACTTACATCAGACGTTGGGGAGGGGGGGGGAGCCATTACAGTGTGTGGTAGTAGTTATGGTGCTTGGAATGTTCCTTTAAAAGAAGGAATATCTCCTTATTTGGATATCGCAACATGAATATAGCCTATAAACCACCAAGATGTGACTGTATCCCCACTTGGAGACTCCTTATTCCTTTAATGTCCTGCTTACTCTGATAACAGGTACTGATAAAACAGTGATTCCTGCACCCAGCAAACTTTCTTACCCAAGTGTAAATCATTTTTGCAAATGGACATGTGGATATTAAGCATTTACCAAATGCATGTGTGTCACACCGTGGAATGTCTTATTCACATAAAAGGGACACTATAGTCACCAGAACAACTACAGCTTATTGAATTTGTTCTGGTGAGTAGAATCATTACCTTCCGTTTTTTTGCTGTAAACACTGTCTTTTCAGAGAAAATTTAGTGTTTACATTACAGCCTAGTGATATTTCCACTGGCCACTCCTCAGATGGCTGCTAGAGGTGCTTCCTGGGGCAGTGCTGCAGAGTGAGCAGCACTGTAATTCAGTGTCTAAATGCAGAGACTGAACCTTCCTCATAGAAATGCATTGTTTCAATTCATCTCCATGAGGAGATGCTGATTGGCCATTGCTGTGTTTGAGTTGTGTTGGCTCTACCCCTGGTCTGCCTCCTTGACAGTCTCAGCCAATCCTATGGGGAAATATTGTGATTGGCTTAGACCACCACTTCTGATGATGTGAGCAGACAGCAGGCAAATCTGAGGCAGACAGGGGCAGAGCCAGCAGCTCCAGACTTGAATACAAGCAAGATTTTACTATATTTAAAGAGGCAAGAGGAGACCAGGGGGGCTAGATGGTGGTTTTAACACCACAGGGTCAGGAATAAATGTTTTTGTTACTGACACTATAGTGTTCCTTTAAAGCTCTCAAAAGATACGAACAGAACACTGTCTAGAAACCAGCAAACCATAGGTAAAAAAATAAAAAGATATCTACACAAATAAATACATTTATAAAAGTATTAACTCCAAAACTAGCAAGCGTCACAGTTATAACCTTTATTTACTCAGTGCTCAGTACTTATTTAGTCAACAGGTACAGAGAGAAAAGTATAAAAAAAACTGCTAAGATACTCTAAAAATATTGAATTCCTACAGCTCAGATACCAGTCGTATTTTCATACAGAAATAATTTATTTTAAAAAAGCATAAAAACAACTCTCTCAAAACAACCAAGCCACTACTTTGTTCTGTATAAAAATACTAATGGTGTCTGAATCCCTGCTGCTGTTTCTATCCAATGCTATTGTTATAGAGCTTGTACATGGCTCTATACCGCGTGAGTGGCTTTAAGCCATTCTGCATTTATTACATGGTTTTTCAAAAATGTTTCTTTTTTGTTAGATAAAAATTCTGGATATTAGTATTTCCAGAGCTGTATAAAAGGGAGCACTTTCATCAGAAATTTCTGCTACTAAATTGATGCTGAACAATAATGCTTCTAGCGTTATATAAAGGGGTGTATTTCCATTTGAAACGTGGTTATTTGTGGGGATGATTGACCACTTATTTTTCCAGGTACATTAAGAAAGCTTAGTTTAAAAGCCAGCAAACATTTCTATCTAAATGTAAACTACATGTGCAATGTTTATCAGGAAAATATTTTCGCCACAATGTAAAGATATCAAACATCAACTGTGAAAATGTGAAGCCAGACCAGCTCTGATCTATATTACATAAAATGAATGTAAAATACAAAATGTAATTGCTAATCGGTAACGATAAGTGCTTTAGTATAAAGACACTAATGAGCATTTTCCAATCAGAAGAAAATACATGGTGGTAGTCAAATCTTTGTGCTTTAATGTAATCTCTAAACACTTCCGCTAAGAGAAATTATTTTCATTAAAGGGACACTAGTCACCAAAACAACTTTAACTTAACTAAGCGTTTTGGTGTATAGATCATTCTCTGCCATTTAGGAGTTAAATCACTTTGTTTATAAACCCTAGTCACACCTCCCTGCATGTGACTTGCGCAGCCTTCCTAAACACTTCCTGTAAAGAGTCATCTACAATTTATCCTTCCTTTATTGCAAGTTCTGTTTAATTTAGATTTTCTTATGCCCTGCTATGTTAATAGCTTGCAAGTGCCTCCTGTATGTGATTAAAGTTCAATTTACAGAGAAAGAGGTACAACTGTTTAAGGTAAATTACATCTGATTGAAAGTGAAACCAGTTTTCTTTTTCATGCAGACTGTGTCAATCAGAGTCAGGGGAGGTGTGGCAAGGGCTGCATAAACAGAAACAACGTGATTTAACTCCTAAATGGCAGTGAATTGAGCAGTAAAACCTGAGAGGCATGATCTATACACCAAAACTGCTTCATTAAGCTAAGGTTGTTTAGGTGACTATAGTTTTCCTTTAAATATTAACATATGGGTACAGAAAGGGGATGTTTAATCATTAGGTAGCAAAGTTGTGAAGTATATTTCCAAGGGAAGTGACAAAGTGTTTTTCTTTTCTTTCAGGAGAGGGGGGAGCCGCAATATGCATTTATTGGGTCTAAAATAACTTATATTTTCTAAAGGGAATTACTGAATTGCAATATTGAGGTGGACACGTTTTAGCACTTTTCCCTTTTCATGCTACTATCCAACCTTTTTCATTTCTTAAAAAATCTTTGTGAGAGCTAATATTGTTACTGTTAGAAATTACCAGTAACTGGCTATGGTGCATAGACTGCCAATGGAATCACCGTGGGGCACTGAATTATATTGAAAAGAAAAAGAAATTGCAAAATTCAGCCTCAAAGAGCCAAGCTGTGACTAGAGCTAAATTGGAGAATTTTTCAATATCGGTTCTTTTTATTAGAATTTTGCAATTTCTCTTCTAGTTCAAAACAATTTGGTGTTACTGAACAAACCTCTGTGTAGTTCTGCAAAAGAATAAGTCAGGAAAAATAAGTTTCCCGATTTCAATCTGACCAACAAAGAGTTGATTGTGAATTCTGATTATGTTTTTTTTTTTTTTTTTTTGAAGTGGGAAATGCACTGTACACCTCAGAGGAACATTAGTTGATTATTTCAATAAGGGTGCATTTCTTCATTTCCACATTTAATCAGGTTTCAGTCTGTATCTCAGTAGGGCTTTGCCTTAATGGGATAATGACAATGATACAGTCTGCTTCCTTACAGAACCAAAGACTGAGTCATGGCAACAGAATGATAACTTTAGCAGACGTTCAGTAAAAGGCAGCGTAAACATCCATCCCAAATTTCCTTGGGGCTGCCTGCTAGGAACATTTCACAGCCGAGCTGCTGACGCAGAGCTATTTACATCATTATAAATGACGACAATGCACATCTAAACACCAACACAGACCCCATGTGTGTCCTTTAAAAAGTCAGTAAGTGTGTAGGGCTTCATACAAATACCCCTTTCTTTCTGAATTGTCAGTGTAGGACCTAAGAGCTTTTGCCTTGACAGTGATACAAACAAATACAAAAAACTCCTGTTACTTATTGTAGTTGTTCTGGTGTGTATAATATGTCTCTGCAGGCATTTCAATGTAAACACTGCATTTAGTGAGAAAATGCAGTGTTTGCATTACTGCCTAGGAACACCTCTAGTGGCAGTCACTCAGACAGCCGTTAGAGGTGCTTCCTGGATCAGTGCTGCATATTTGATTCAATGCATCTCTATGAGGAGACGCTGAATGGCACGGACCAGTGGTTTTACACACATGCTTATTAGCCGCCCAATGCTTTCTTATGGGAAAGCATTGGTTTGGCTGAGATTGTCAAGTTTGATAATCTCAGCCTAGGAGACTGGGCCATCCGTGACAAGACTTGTGTGGCGTGGGGGAAAAGTAGGTAAATTACCTTTTTCACAGGGGGATGGGGGAAAGGGAGGGCGAGGGGGCACAGACACCTAAACGGTGTTTTCACACCTATAGTGTCAGGAATACACATTTGAATTCCTGACACTATATAGTGTTCCTTAAATGTGCATAGAAATTTGAAATAGCGCGCAGGGATCTTTCTTTATGTAGTTTGGCTTATGAATAATGTAGAATGGGTGATTACAGCACGCCAGGGGCCTGGGTTTGTGACCAACTGACTATTTTCAGTAAAGCTTTCCACAAATAAGTATTGAGTATTTCATAATATATTCCAGAGCAATTAATGTTCCTTTAAAGAAGATGGAATGTTCCATGGGATGTTAAATGGAAAAAGAAGAAATAACTTATAAACCATTTTCATCTTCTACCTGAAGCCTGGTATAAGTATCACAGCAACAGCAAACATTTTAACAAAGAAAATACATGTAGACACATGACTTAGCAGTTCAGGAGGGAGTTGGCCCCCATTTATTTTAAGGCATTATACATTGTGCAAAAACAAAATAAGGTGTGAAAAATATAAAAGATATTTCTTTAAAATATTTGTTGTTTCTGGGTTTCTTATAAATTCCTGTGATTTGTTGTTTTCAGGGAATGTCCGCCATGGAGTTTTCCAGCTACCTGAGAGGAGTTAAAATGCTTTGTCTATGGAGGCTTCTGTGGTCTTATCCATAGACATCAGTCTGTACTCTCTGGCATGCGTGAAAGTACAGCTCCTGCCAAATGGAGCCCCACAAGATGAAGAGGATGGATGCCAGAGGTTACGACGGACAGGTTCAAGGAAGTAAAACCTACCTCCCCCAGAAACCCACAGCCAACGCACTGCAAGAGGAGCAAAATATAAAAAAAAACCCAGAGCTGACAGAGCCGCTTTAATTGCAAAACTTTAGCAAGCCTTTTCCATTGAAGTCTATTAGATATGACTAGTCATGTGTAGGGATGCACCGAAATTTTGGCCAAAAATGAGCCTGTCCCATTTTGGCCGAAAATGGGTAAAATCTGCTGAAAATAGGGAAGAGTGAATTGTCAGGTCCTCGGTCCATGACCGAGCTCTGCAGCTCTGGCTTGTGTGAGCTGCAGACTGTGCTGTATCTCGCAATCTCTTGCCAGTCAGAGAGTTGCTGCGGGTTACCACAGCAACACTGACTTCTAAATATCACGAGATACAGCACAGTCTGCGGCTCACACTGGGCAGAGCTGCAGACTGGAGAGACAGACCACCGGGGAGCCAGGACACTGGACCACCAAATAAAAAATAAAAAATAAAGTATTTCTAACCCCCTCCCTCAGTCACTGTCACCAGTCACTCGGTCACCAGTCGCCACCTCCCTCCATTACTCTGTCACCAGTCGCCACCTCCCTCCTTTACTCTGTCACCAGTCGCCACCTCCCTCCATTACTCTGTCACCAGTCGCCACCTCCCTCCTTTACTCTGTCACCAGTCGCCACCTCCCTCCATTACTCTGTCACCAGTCGCCACCTCCCTCCATTACTCTGTCACCAGTCGCCACCTCCCTCCTTTACTCTGTCACCAGTCGCCACCTCCCTCCATTACTCTGTCACCAGTCGCCACCTCCCTCCTTTACTCTGTCACCAGTCGCCACCTCCCTCCATTACTCTGTCACCAGTCGCCACCTCCCTCCATTACTCTGTCACCAGTCGCCACCTCCCTCCTTTACTCTGTCACCAGTCGCCACCTCCCTCCATTACTCTGTCAAGAGTCGCCTCCTCCTTACTCTGTCACCCAGTAGCCCCTCCCTTACTCTGTCACAAGTCGCCCCCTCCCTTACTCTGTCACAAGTCGCCCCCTCCCTTACTCTGTCACAAGTCGCCCCCGTCCTTTACTCTGTCACCAGTCGCCCCCTCCCTTACTCTGTCACCATCTCACTCTGCCACCTGTCACCCCCTCTCTCCCACCCCACACTATGTGTCCTACCCATACTACAACTCTATCACCCCACACTATGTGCCTTACACACTCTACATAACCTACAAACATACAAACTACATCCCTAGCCCACACCACGTAACCTACACACTACATCTCTATACTGCACCACACCATGTTCCCTCACACACTATATAATCTACACACATACACACTAAATCCCTTTCCTACACCTCACTATATTCCATAACACACTACATGACCTACACAAATCATTTGGGGGCAAGTGTCATTTTTCGGTTTCAGGACAGAATTTTCATTTCAGTGCATCCCTAGTTATGTGCATGCTCTTAGTAATTTTACCATAGCAATTAATGGGAAACAAGAATTAATATCAGGTTGTATAGAATATCACTGGAGGAGAAACAGACAAAGATTTGTGGCAAATGAGAGAAATTTGGATGAGCATTATATTTTTATTATTATGCATCCTGTGGATTGTCTCTTTAATTTATGGATTACTGGAGGAAATTATAGGGCCACTAAAGTCACCCAGACCATTACATTCAATAAAATGGTTTGGGTGTAGTGGTCATTTTAACACTTCCATGTAGGAACATCAACCTTGCTTGTAGAAACAGCTTTAGTGGGGTTATATGCACCTCTAGTGGCTTCCAACTCTACAGCAGAGTTAAACTCAGCTATTCAATATTCAATCAGATGGTTTCATAGAGGCCATTGAAATGCATGCACACTCGCCTCCCAATGGATTGACTGAGATTATCAAATCTTGATCATCTCAACCAACGAGGTGGAACAACCACGGTGAGACCAGCTCATGGAGGGAATAAAGTTACCTCACCTTTTAAACCCATACCCTGAAAAAAGGAGTATCTCGCCTTTTAACCCCTCACAGCAGGAGGGGGCAGCCACCTAAAGGAAGGGGAACACTATAGAGTTAGGAATGCATGTTTGTATTCCTAATGCCTTAATATTCCTAAAAGTTTTCCACTGTATATTGGAGATTATTATTTAGAGTTTGATCGTGTGTTATCTTCCAAACTGCAACGAAAACGCATTGTTCTACATAATAGAATAACTAAGCACTCTTATACAGAAATAATGTAAACCAACATCTTGACATACTGCCCAAAATAAATAAAAAGACGTTCTGTCGTAAATCAAGGCTGTGCTTTACAGTTACTTTACAGATAAATGAATTGTGTGAATACCTGTATTGTACATCATATCTCATCCAGCTCTTAAAGAAACCCGTCTCTATGACATATAGTTCTACCAAACAATCATTTTGGTAATAGAAAACTGTTCATCAACCTAAATGTGTAAACACTGTGTATTTGCAGATTAAATGTAGACGAAGAAGGTTTTCAGTATCTGGCAATAATTCAAAGAGCAGTTACATAAACTTTAGTTCTGTTCTGCAGGCATTGTCTTTGTACAGAAACGCCCGTTTCCTACAAGTTCTTTTTAAACTGTGTAACAGACGGATTAAAAAAAATAAAAAATACTTGGCTTAAAAACGTTTTTTAAATTGTTTAACGCTCTGCCCATTAGACAGAAAAGCATTTTAAGAGAAGATGGATAAAGTATTTAAAAACAGCACAACGTTGAGATTTTATAGCTCATTACATTAATAACTCCGGAGTTAATTTCATTAATGCTTGCAGATATAATTCTCCACGCAGCCCTTGTATACTGGGCCCCTATTTATGGTGGTTAGACTGAACAATAAATCAACACAAAGCAAACGCAGAGACTTCTGGAACGATCACATCTTACAGCCTAGGTAGATGAAGGATGCTATTTTAAGCGTTAAAGCTGTGAAGTTGGCAAAAACAAACCTGGCTGTCAAGCGCTGTGCTGAAAATAACCAGGAGAAAGCATTGTATTCAGCTGTCAGCATAAATTCATACAAGACTCCGGCAGAACAATGACAATCTCACAGTCATATTGCCTACTGCGGTATTTGACTTGCACAGAGAGAAAAAAAATGAAACAGAATAAAAATGACTTAATCCCTAAATAAAGATACAAGTCAGGGTAGGCAGCAGTACCACCTGCTGAGTTATGTAAACACAAATTTGTTTCCTTAGGTATGTTCTGTGGTGCTGTAAGATAGGTACACAAAAAACTTAAAGGTAAACAATGACAAGTTTCTGTAAACATTAAACAATGGCACAGTCGTTTAAACTGTACTTACTTCAACACAGAGCCAGGGGAACGTCAAGCCCAGCAACAATTTATGGACACAAACCCAAGAAAAGTGATGTTTTTGAAGAGGTTCTCATTTTGGAAAAACCTTCTTTGAAGTAGTGCTAATTCATACAAAAGGGCCCCAATTAAAATTTCCATATTATAAAGACCAATGCACCCAGCAGCTAAAATTTGAATTTGGATTGGATTGGGTTTATTCAGGATACAGTTGGGTTCAAATACCTAATCATTGAACTTATAACCTATTTTTAGAATGGGTTATACTGTATTACTTAAAGGGACACTATAGTCACCCAGACCACTTCAGCTGAATGAAGTGGTCTGGGTGCCAGGTCCCTCTAGGGTTAACCCTGCAGATGCAAACATAGCAGTTTCAGAGAAACTGCTGTGTTTACATTTGGGGTTAATCTAGCCTCTAGTGGCAGTCTTCAGGACAGCCACTAGAGGCGCATCTGCGACGCTGGAGGCATATTATGCCTCCATCACGCAGAGCGTCCATAGGAAAGCATTGAGAAATACTTTCCTACGGACACTTTGAATGCGCGCGCGGCACTGCCGTGCATGCACATTCCGCTCCGCTGACATCGGCGGGGGAGGAGAGGTAAGGGAGCCCGGCGGTGGAATGAGGTGAGTAACTGAAGGGGTTTTAACTTGACTTGAGTTAAAGAACCTGAGCACGGCTACTAATTCCACATGTTACAATTTTTAGTCTAAGAAGCAACTTTTGCCACGGGTAAGAATCCTAATGCATTTCTCTACTCTAGACTATTACTCAGCTAATGGTCTAGATCGCAGCATGTCATGTCAAATATAGAATTTAAAACTAAAGGACCACTATAGGCACCCAGACCACTTCAGCTCAATGAAGTGGTCTGGGTGCCAGGTACCACTAATTTTAACCCTGCAGCTGAAAACATAGCAGTTTCAGAGGGTTAAGCCAGCCTCTAGTGCTATGTTTCACTGCTATGTTTGACTGAGGGTTAATCCAGCTTCTAGTAGCTGTCTCCCTGACAGCCGCTAGAGGCGCTTCCGCGATTCTCACTATGAAAATCACAGTGAGAAGACGCTGGACATCCATAGGAAAGCATCGAGTAATGCTTTCATATGGGCTGTTTGAATCTGACGTCGGCAGGGGGTGGAGAGATCCCCAGCACAGAGGGAGCCCGGCACTGGAGAAAGGTAAGTGGCGGAAGGGGTTTTAAACCATTCAGCCCAGCGGGAGGGGGGCCCTGATGGTGGGGGGGACCTAATGACCCTATAGTGCCATGAAAACGAGTTTGTTTTCCTGGCACTATAGTGCTCCTTTAACTGCACTGATAAAAAAATAAGCCACAAAGGGACTACTCACCTTGCTGCCAAAACCATTGTCACTTTAATATCATAGCTCATTTGTTTTGCTCCTGTCTGGGTTTCACCTACTGTGTTTTTTATGTTGCTAAACACCCTTGGGATCAATGTTTAGGCTACGAGTCAAGTTCCAACTTGTAGATATAAAAACTGAAAATGTAAACTGGCAAAATACCATCCTAGCTTTCAAACATTGAAAGAATAAAAGTAAACCACATCTAGAAACTAATCACAGAACACATTAGTGCACCTCTATGGTTACTTTATACATATTATGATGGGTAAATTAGAATTATAAATAAGCTACCATTACCGATATAATATGTACATTCTCCAAACATCGCCTTTTCTGTTGTATGCAGTTAAAATCTTCTGAAACATATCAGTAAAGATTCTGGAAGCAGCCATATTTTTTTTTATCTGGAAGGAGGGCTCAATGCTACCAGGTTGTCTAGTACTTGTATCCTGGAACATATTGTGGGTGCTCACATTGTTTTAGCCCCACATGTTGATGACTATGATCCCAATACCAGATGTGAAGTGAACAACAATTTGATATATACAGAATGATGGCTGAAGTGTAGACCGTCTGTCAGTGTATGCTGGAGGAAGACAGGAGTACACGGAGAATGTCCATTTTAATATTGCATTAGCAATGATTCAGTAATGTGTGTTTGATAACTCCCTATTGTGATGTGAATGCGGTTAATGGATGTTACAGTATATTGTGATACATGTGCCACAGGGAAGATGCAAAGTGTGTATTGCACTTCGAAGAACGGCCAAAACAATAATTTAGGGACAACGATAAGAAAATGCTTGTAGCTGCCATCCCTCATTCACAACACCCACTGGTCAGTCTATTTAACTTTGATACCCTGTGATAATACACAGTACCCAAACTTACATTCAGCTCACATCTACACAGAATTAGCCACTCCGCATTCACATCACTCCAACCGTCCCATTCTTCTTCCATGATTTTGTTTGCTTTCAATATCACACTACATTTCTAAATGTCAAACCAACCCCATATTTCATTCAATGTTTGCCGATTGTCCAAGTGAACACAGGTTCTGGGTATTAACCATTTAGTAATGTGAGATACACAAAATAAAAAGAAAAACCACAACAAATTCTCTTGTATAAGATAGCATCTGCCTACAGGAAAGTGCTCCACGACTAGTGGCATAATGTTAAAAAAAGATCACAGTTCAGCAAAAACTAACAATTAACTTTAGGGCACCCAACACCTCTATATGTCCTTGCATGGGTTTGTAGACAGAGACAACACATAGGGACGTGTACTACGCATTATACCAATGCCATGTACTGTACAGCTGTACTGTAACACACAGCTCCTGGGCATGCATAATTTTCTGTAAATATATCATATTTAGGGCTGAACAATAAAACAGTGCTCCTGGACATGCACCACTAAATGTGACATGCAGAAAGTGGTGAACCATAAAATGTAACTTTGTAAGCAAAACATATAAGAAATAAAATTATATATTTTATAGAGTACCTGAGTAATAATAAGACAAAACCTAAAAGCATCTATCTCAGTTTGTAGAACAGCAAGGTGAGAGCAAGGTCTGTAAGATATATCTGCTTCTTTTAAGTGCTACCTCAAAAGTATGGTAGTAGAATAAAAAAATATCTGTGAATAAAAATAAATAAAAAAAAGAAACTGTACATTTTCTAAAGTTGTTTGGAGAGAAACAGGGCATTTTATTAAAAAAGTCTTCTACATTTTGATGTTTGCTTGCCATCATAGATATACCTTCAGGTAAAATTCCAAATCACTTGAGCTTTGTCCAAAAGTACTGGCGGCGACAAGGAAATTTATTCTGAATCAATAGATATACACTGACAAACCTACCCTGACTTCGTTTCATATCAGTTTCGGGTAGTTTGGCTGGAGGCTTTCACTATTGAGAATGCCAGGTAAACAAGTTTTTCAGATACTGAGAATCTTTACACCATTTGCTCAGGTCCTAAATAAAAGAAAAACTACAACCACAAAAAACTAAGAACGAAAACTTTTTCAGATCCAAGACTGGTATGCCATGCATGTTCTTAAAGGACCACTATAGTGCCAGGAAAACATACTCATTTTCCTGGCACTATAGTGCCCTGAGGGTGCCCCCACCCTCAGGGTCCCCCTCCCGCCAGGTTCTAGGGTGAGGAAGGGGTTAAACTTACCTCTTTCTCAAGCGCCCAGCGGGGAGCTCTCCTCCTCCTCCACAATGCTTTCCTATGGACGCTGGCGTCTTCTCACTGTGAAAATCACAGTGAGAAGCGCGGAAGCGCCTCTAGCGGCTGTCAATGAGACAGCCACTAGAGGCTGGATTAACGCTAATGTAAACATAGCAGTTTCTCTGAAACTGCTATGTTTATAGAAAAAAGGTTTAACCCTAGCTGGACCTGGCACCCAGACCACTTCATTGAAGTGGTCTGGGTGCCTATAGTGGTCCTTTAAAGGGAAACCCCCCCATGGCACTTGATTCTATAAGGAAGGCTAGACCATAAATGTTATGAGCCAAATGACACCCAGCTGACCCATTAAAGCCTGAAAGCTCATGGAACTGGTGTTGCGGGTGGTGTTGGGTGTATAGGAGTGGGGTATAAATGCCACTATCGGTATTGTTAAACCAGACAGTATCCATTTTATACAAAACAATATTGCAAACCCTTCACCTCTCACTCTCAACATTGTAAAGTAAAAAGGGTAACCGATAACTTGTAATAAAAATGCAGATTCCCAAGGTTACTTCCTAGTAGGTAACCAATTAGCCAAGATATAGGTGTATGCACAAAATATGGGATACAGTAGTAAGATCGAAAAGGAAGCTTACAAAAATATAGCGTAACACAGTCATAAAATAAACAGATGACACTTTTATTGGATGCACTCACAGAATGTGTACCATTTAATAACCCTCAAGGTACCTCCCTCGATGGTAATGGGGAAGAAAGAGTCATCCTCCTAGCAATCGCCACAGTGCAGGAACCTGGAGAACCGTGTGATAAATAAATTCTATTGACAAAGATGATCAATAAAAAATAAAACTATAGCTTCCATGATGCTTTGTCATTCTAAAGCCATGCAAAGCATCATGGAAATTGCAGTTCTACAACAACTGGGGATCTACCATTTGGGAACCCCGGTTCTACAGTATGTATAAATCAGATGGCAAATTAAAACTCAGGCTCATAAAAAATAGAAACAACCGATGGTAAATCTAAATGTTTTGTATCAATATAAAATTTCATTATTAAAATTATATGAAATGTGTAGTTTCACCTGCAGCCCTCTATTTGAAACAAAATTTCTCATTATTATTAGTATTTATATAGCGCCAACTAATTCCGCAGCGCTTTACAATGTTATGAAAGGGAGGGAAATTTACAATAAATGAGACAATTACACAGTGACACAGGAACAATAGGTAGATGAGGGCCCTGCTCAAACCTTACTTCGTTTACGTTAATACTTGGGGTAGACCTTGATGCTGTCAGGAGTAGTCGGGTGTCTGGGTAGCATAAGACACTTATAAGAGACTTATAGGGTTAGTTACTGAAATGAGAATGCAACGTGTATTTCAAATTTAAAGCAAAAACCTATATTAAGTCAGCTATATTTCCAGCTCGGCTACAGTGGCCTTAAATTTGAAATTCAGTTTCCATTCTCAATTATCACCAATTCCTACTTTTAAAAGCCGATTATAGTTTGCGCTGATGTACCTTGACCATGTGTGATTATGTTATTGTAAAATACATGTTATTGTATTTTATTTGGGGAGGGGGAGGAAATGGGGTGAAGCTATCAGAAATGTAACACTGGCACTTGCTGGTTATCTTGGCCCATACTACACTTTAAGGTTTACCTAAAATTGTTAAATGGAAGCTCATTTGACTTTATGCCGAGCACAGCTATGAAAACATTACTCTGCAATCCAGCTCAAAACTCCAGAATTAAAAAAAAAAAAAAATTCTAAAGTCCCAACAATATCTAGGATTGTGTCAGTGTGAGACTTTCTTCTAATATTGTTAATATTGCCTCACAGGAAGACGCATGCAATCACATGCGTATATTGCACAAGATTGGATTTGAGTTCAAACTCCGTAAAACAACCTTTGCCACAAAACGTTTAGCAGTGATTACTGGGCCCTCTAGTGGTATAATAAGAGTGCCTAACCACAACTCTGGGAAATAACTGCAACAAAATATAATAAACTTTGGAGTGTTTGTTTTTGTTTAGTTTCTATATGCCAGGGGTTCCCAATTAATGTTTCCTGTGGAACCCTTCAACATAGTGTATCAACATCGTAGAATCGTGGAATCATTGCCCACTGCTCCCTCGCTGCCCGCAGCCATTTTGTTTTTATAGATTTTGGCGGATCCCCAATTGTGGGATTTTGGCGGAACACCAATTGGGAAACGCCGCTATATGTATTCATATATTGTAAACATCTCATTTAGTATTGTTTAAAAAAAAAAAAACTACAAATATTTTCAGATAAAAAAAAAGCCTAACCAGTCCCAGAGACATTATAGGATGTAAAGTACTTAATTGTCATTATGGGAAGTGAGCTGAGGGCAAAGTTAGGGTTCCGTGGCCACTAAGGTGACATGGGATGATTGTAAACTAAGTGTTTTATTGTCACCACGTGAAATGGGTTAAAAGTAAAGGGATTTTCTGAATAGTCACATAACCAAATGCATTCAGATAATGTGATTTCTGGTCATGATGGGAAGCAGGATGAGAAAACGAAGGAGTTTCATGAGCATGATGGATGCGAGTTGGTGTATACTGGTCATATTTGGAAGTGTTTTATTGGCATGATGGGATGTGGGCTGACGGGTTTTATGCTTACAAAGCCTGCTGCTTCCATTAGCTCTGTGGAACTAAAAGAAATTAAAAGAAAGTCTCCCTGGCTGTCTGAGTGACAGTGTTTATACCACAACTCTAAAAGGGTCGAACTCTATTGAAATTGGCAGTTTTATAAAGTGTCAAAAAAAATGACAGACTTCAGACACATAGCAAGCTGAAGTTCTTTAAAGTGGCACTGCCATGCCGAACTTTCTTTAATCGATTCCTCTTCTCTCCCTCAGTCAGCATCTGTTTTTCATTTCTTCCTGTCTGCTCTAGTTTTCTTTAAAACATAAGACAAAGTTTGTCTTCTTTGTCTTTTGAAGGTTTCCTAAGCTTGACCAGCGGAGGAGCAAAGTGTGCTTCGTTTCCGGTGATCAAAGCAATTTTCCCACAATTCTCACCTTTGATCCCAGATCTCGAGATGTTTCCTGTCAATATTCCCCAACGTCCTGTCACTTAGACAGAACGTCGGCGAAAATATCGAATTGCGTCCTAACAGAATGAGTACAGTTTCTCCATTAGTGTTAGGACGCAATTTGGGACTTTGTTCCTATGGGAATGAATGAAACTCCAATCCTATTTGTGTCGCTTAGTAGATAGCTCCCTAATTCCCACGGTATCGGGGAGCGATCTACCAAAAGACTGAAAGACCTAAATTGGTCTTTCAGCCAAGTCTACTAATACTAAGTAAAGATTGGCTGCTCACTGTTAAAAAAACAAAACAAAAAAAACACAACCCCTAGTGTCTCCCCTCCCGAGCTACGTGAGTGGGGGCTAGTAAACTGAACGGGGGACCTATTGCTCCTAAATAACAAGGGGGGACCTATTGTGCCCTAAATGAAAATGTAGGGGGGACGGGTCCTATTATCCTCCCATCCAGCCCCCACCCCTGTGTGGAGAGTGGGGTCCCTAAAAAAAAATTTTTTTTAATTGTGGGGGAGACCTACTGTCCCTCGCCCCCCCCCCCGGCCTTCACCCATGAACAGCGGGTTGGGGCCCCAAATTAAAACGTTAACCACCCCCCTCCCATAGGTGTCCCCAAGCCTCTAGTTACCCCCCCCCCCACCCAAAAAAAAACAAAAAACCCTAACTAACCACCCCCTCTTTAACCATAAAAATAGTGAGGAGGGGAACAAGAGTGCTCAGACAAGTAAAACTGTTCTCATTCTGTTAGGACGCAATTCGGTAGTTTCGCTGACGTTCTGTCTAAATGACAGGACGTTCGGGAATACTGACAGGAAGCAACGCAAGATTACGGATCAAAGGTGAGAACTCTAGGAAAATTGCTTTGATCACCGGAAATTAAGCACACTTTGCTCCTCCGCTGGTCCCTACTTTGTCTTATGTTTTAAAGAAAACTAGAGCAGACTGGAAGAAATGAAGAACAGATCCTGAGAGAGGGAGAGAAGAGGAATCGATTAAAGAAAGGTAAGTTTGGCATGACAGTGCCACTTTAAGTGTCACGAGTGTTCTTTTAATAATGTGTGACCTGTAAGTGCCAAAACAGTTGAAAACCCAAGTCACATGCTCCAAAGACAAGCAAATAAATTAATCTATTTCGGAATCATATTTCTCATTATGTGCATTAATTTAGTGCAAGTTATTACAGGCAAAACAGTGTTAAAATACGTTCTTTTTTTTCCCGAATTCTTACTGCATTATAAATTAAAAATCGTAAATGGTATTAAATGGAAGCCCAGTGGGGCCTTTACAAAGTTATGTGTACACAAGTTTCTTAGGTTAATCTATGCTGTAATTATAGCAATGTGACTTATATTGAGAGAAAGCAAAATGCTCACGATTAACCTTTCCAGATTCTGCAAACAAAACCAAACCCTGTCCAGGCACGCAAACGGTTAAACAGTCACTGACCCCCTATTGTTCTCCAAAGTATATAAACTAGGAAAGTCTGCCCAATACGTACCACTGAACTCGATGAGAATTTATAGAACATAGAGCAAATATGTCTTTCCAAGAACAACAGGAAATAGCACCAGATTGTGTAGTGGTCAAAGTAGCAGATCCCTGATCCAGAAAATAATGAAATGCCGCAAACACCTTCTCACAATCTTAGTGGAACAATCCCAAGCCAGGAAATTTTGGCTTGCTCAGATATCTGAATTTTCTTGCATCAATTAACAAGTAAACAGGGACTTCCTACTGTTTATGAACAGCCAGTACTTGTCCTCAAAAGACAAAAACCAATATACTTTTGTACGTGCATGTGTCGCATTTCCTACTCTTAAAACACATCCCATAAATGGTCACATACGTTCACTGGCCCAGTCCCTCTTACAGGCAAATGATATATGAGACTGATCAATTAGTGATAATTAAAGTGCATCTGTTATGACATTATGAAAAATTATATTATATATGTAAATCGGCTCACCAACCAGTTTTAAGTATTCAAGCGGTGGTGGAATTTGAGAGAAATTCAACATATTCAAAAGATTAAAAAAAAAAAAAAAAAACACACTACTTTGTCTTGTGGGCAAAGCCCAAGCTGACAAAACGTTACAAAATGTGATGTATTCCCCATCAAGTTTTGCAAGGTAATCCCTACTCCATAATACTGATATGCTAACTTCTTTGGTGACATTAAGACTCAATTCCTATACTCCTCTAGCGAGCATGAGATACTCTTGCTAGATAATTAGTCATAGCAACTGCAGCAAAGAGATTTTTAAATAAGATCAGATTTTTAAATAGGATTTTATAAAACTATATATTTGCAAGTAATTCTGCTACCACAATACAGAAATGGAACTTTAAAAATAACATTTTGTGTACTATAAGATGTACACTTTAAATTGATATTTGTAAAAAAAAAATAGCTTTTGATATATTGTACTTTATGCTGAAGCATGCTACTTTTTGATGGTCACAGCCAAGTCATTTATTAGGGATCAGAATATTTGATTTTTGGTACTGGCCAAAGTTTATGTAAATACCAGTAGCAGAGACAAAGACCTAATTCTGGGTAAAACAATGCAGCGTTTTCTTGGCTCTAATGAATTTGCCTAAAGCTATTGTAGTGCCTGGACCTCATCTCTGTTACTGGTATTGACTTTTGTTGGGCTGGTACTGGCCCATGGTCTATGTCAGCACCCTTTGCCTTATGTGGATGGAGTGCAGTTTCTATCTCTATATTGTAAAATTAATGTAAAAACTTTTTTAGCCTCCAATATTTTTCTTAAGAATGAATGAGTAATGATGGCTAAATTCATAGTTACATAGTTACATAGTTACATAGCTGAAAAGAGACTTGCGTCCATCAAATTCAGCCTTCCTCACATTTGTTTTTTGCTGTTGATCCAAAAGAAGGCAAAAAAAAACAGTTTGAAGCACAATTTTGCAACAAGCTAGGAAAAAAATTCCTTCTTGACCCCAGAATGGCAGTCAGATTTATCCTTGGATCAAGCAGTTATTACCCTACATTGAAAGATTATATCCTTGAATATTCTGTTCTTGCAAGTATGCATCTAGTAGCCGTTTGAACATCTGTATGGACTCTGATAAAACCACTTCTTCAGGCAGAGAATTCCACATCCTGATTGTTCTTACAGTAAAAAACCTTTCCTTTGCCTTAGGCGAAATCTTCTTTCTTCCAGTCTAAACGCATGGCCTTGTGTCCTATGTAAAGTCCGGTTTGTGAATAGATTTCCACACAATGGTTTGTATTGGCCCCGAATATATTTGTATAATGTTATCATATCCCCTCTCAGGCGATGTTTTTCTAAACTAAATAGGTTTAAATTTGTTAACCTTTCTTCATAGCCGATATGTAAATACAAATTAAATGTAAATGATATATTTGAATAGCAATATGTACACAAAACTGCAGTTTTATCTTATATTACAGGTTTCAAACAAACATCATTATGTAGTATCAAGGTGAAGTTCCTCGGGGGTTTGCATTGGAGTGTTCCTTTAGCTCTCTGGGTAGCTAATTCACAACTAATGAATAATAAAAAAAAGTGTGGTTTCAAACATAGTTAATATTTAACAATTTTGAAACCCTCACAGTTTCTTGCCCATTCATATAAACACACAAGCAAAGCACCCATATCCTATGACTCAACAACTCAGGGTATTTGCCAGACCGTTCAGTTCCTGTGGAATGGAGGCTTGCGGCGAGGGAGCTGCAATCTTACTGCTCTGCTGTGATGCCGGGATATGACGTCACTCGGGTCTCAGCATTACTAAACAGCATGTAAGGAAGCAGAGCAAGAAAATAACAGGATCAGAGCAGCCCATTGTACCACAGGGAAATGATCCACTCCAGCTCTCCCAAATGTACAGAAATTATCATTTGTGAGTGTATGAGAAAATGTGTGCGACTAAAATCAGTGAGTGCGTCTCTGATCGCATGGGAAAGGTGTTTTTACTCACCTTTTTTCCCACGGAATGCCTGTTTCGCTGCGGCTGGCCCTGCCTCCATGACCGAGATCAATCGATCTTGATGATGTCAGCCAATCCATAAGAAATCATTGGGAGGCTATTGCAAATGTGCGGCAAAACACCACGCTGCGCCAATTAGTATCTCATCAGAGATGCTTTGAATCAATGCATCTTTATGGGGAGCATTCAGCGTCTTCATGCAGAGCAAGGTGATGCTAAATAAACGTAGGTGCTGCACACTGTGCAGCACTGGACTAGGAAGCCCTTTTAGTGGCTGTCTGAGTGAGTGTCACTAGAGGTGTTCCTAGGCAACAATGTAAACACTGCTTTTTTTTTCTGAAAAGGGAATGTTTACATTGAAAAGCCTGGAGGGATATGCTTTAGACACCGGAACCACTACATTAAGCTGTAGTGGTTCTAGTGACTCTAGTGTCCCTTTAAGAATTGTATTTCTGTTGTTGGGAAAACACACAAAAAAAAGCTTTGTAAGTTTTAAAAAACAAAACAAAAACAAAAAACCTAGCTCCTAACTTTTTTTTAGCCAACTCCTAGATTCAAAGCAAATATGTCAAGCCCTGCAATAACTCAATGCAAAATTAGAGCTTGGACAAACTATACATACCTCACCATAATTTGTGCATTTTTATAAATATCCAATTAATTCACACATACAAAAATAATAAAATAAAAAAAACTAATTACTGCAAAGATGTTGACAATATCACACAAACACAAACTTTTTCCTGATTCATATTTCATACAAATGTGTTTGGCGAGTCTCACCATTCAGGAGGCACCATGCTGCCATCTATATCCCAGTAGGTATCTTTGCCATTCATCTCCTTAGTATACTCCACCCAACGGTGACGTCCTGCAATCAAAGAACAAAGTGATGAGGACAACATTTTCCAGTCAAGCAAACAAACAAAAAAAAGTTATATGCCTTACCCAGTGTAACTATGACTCTCGTGCCTTCCCCAGTGTAACTATGACTCTCGTGCCTTCCCCAGTGTAACTATGACTCTCGTGCCTTCCCCAGTGTAACTATGACTCTCGTGCCTTTCCCAGTGTACCTATGACTCTCATGCGTTCCCCAGTACAACTATGACTCTCATGCCTTCCCCAGTGTAACTATGACTCTCGTGCCTTTCCCAGTGTAACTATGACTCTCGTGCCTTTCCCAGTGTAGCTATGACTCTCATGCGTTCCCCAGTACAACTATGACTCTCATGCCTTCCCCAGTGTAGCTATGACTCTCATGCGTTCCCCAGTACAACTATGACTCTCATGCCTTCCCCAGTGTAGCTATGACTCTCATGCCTTCCCCAGTGTAACTATGACTCTCATGCCTTCCCCAGTATAACTATGACTCTCATGCCTTCCCCAGTGTAGCTATGACTCTCATGCCTTCCCCAGTGTAGCTATGGATCTCATGCCTTCCCCAGTGTAGCTATGACTCTTGTGCCTTCCCCAGTACAACTATGACTCTCATGCCTTCCACCAGTGTAGCTATGACTCTCATGCCTTCCCCAGTATAACTATGACTACCTTACTTGAATGTAAGAGTTAGCCTACGGAAAAATGAAGCTCATCGATATCACCTAATTACACCTCACACCGGAAAGATTGCATACTACATAGAAAACTCATGTCGCTTTAACCAAAATTGGCTTTTATAAAATTAAATATCCACGTTACAGCTTATCTATGGATTTACAAGCACTATAGATAGAAAATAGGGTATTTTAATAATACTCAATCAAATTATGTGTATGAATTTTTTTTGTCGAATTACTGCAAAATAGACAGAGTTTAAAGCAGCTTCTGCATCCCTCAAGACAACTGATAGAAATAGTGCAAGACCAACTACGAAGGACAATCCAGCAAAATCTTTCTTTATTGTGCATACCGCAGTGACACTGCTTCTGACAGACACAGATGCTAATAGCTGGAAACCAGAACAAAGAAGATCAGAGTCTTAGACAGACTGCTGTCTACAGAGCTGGGAGATATAGAGATAATGTCCTTTTTAAGACCCTGTATGTGATGCAAAGGGACTAAAAGGTGTTCTAAATTAGATTTTTTTTTCCCCCTCATATTTAGGATTGACCACAGCTGTAGTGGACATTTAGTCAAATAAGAATTTATTTTATATAACAATATATAACAATAAGATTTACTGAAAAATATTTTGTTTTGCGCCTTGTTGCAGAACCAAATAAAATGTTGGATTAGTAATACTAAGTACGACAAGGTTTTGTAAAGTTTGGTGGATAAAATATCTATATGTAATAATAATTTGCTATTAGGCTGACATATTTCCTACTATTAAGCAAAACTCTCACCAAAAAAGTAACGTTTGTCTTCAAAATATTTGTTGCCATATTTGTCAACGCCAATCAGTGCACCAGTTTTCAGATCATTAATTCTGGAGGAAAGAAGTGAGAAGAATAGGAATTTATGATAATGAAAACACTAACAAAATAGAACAATATATTAGAAGGACAGGTAGCTGGAATTTTCTTATTACTCATTACTTTTTAGCTAGCGTAACCACATTTCCTGCAATTTTAACTACAGAAGACTTTAGTGTAAGGCCCCAATACATGCAGTTTGCTTAACCCCTTAAAGGACCACTATAGTGCCAGGAAAACATACTTGTTTTCCTGGCACTATAGTGCCCTGAGGGTGCCCCCACCCGCCCGGCTCTGGAAAGGGGTTTAAACTTACCTTTTTCCAGCGCTGGGCGGGGAGCTCTCCTCCTCTGAGTCGGCTGAAAAGAGCTGCGCGCGCATTCAGCCGGTCACATAGGAAAGCATTCATAATGCTTTCCTATGGACACTTGCGTGCTCTCACTGTGAAAATCACAGTGAGAAGCACGCAAGCGCCTCTAGCGGCTGTCAATGAGACAGCCACTAGAGGCTTTGGGGGAAGGATTAACCCATTTATAAACATAGCAGTTTCTCTGAAACTGCTATGTTTATGAAAAAATGGGTTAACCCTAGCTGGACCTGGCACCCAGACCACTTCATTAAACTGAAGTGGTCTGGGTGCCTAGAGTGGTCCTTTAACCCCTTAAGGACACATAACATGTGTGACATGTCATGATTCCCTTTTAATCCAGAAGTTTTGTCCTTAAGGGGTTAAGGACACATGACATGTGTGCCATGTCATGATTCCCTTTTATTCCAGAAGTTTGGTCCTTGAGGGGTTAAAAGGACTCTACAGTGTTAGGAATACAAAGTTGTATTCCTCTGGTACCCCCTCCCCACATGACCAATAAAGGGTTAGAACTCCTTTAAATCACTTATCCGATTCCAGCGCCGATGTCCTATAGGATAGCATTGCCTTAATGCCGTCCTACAGGAATTTTACTGACGCTAAATGTCCTCATGTTAGGCGACCTAGATTCCGGTAAACTCCCAGAAGCATCTCTAGTGACTGTCTGGTAGACATCCACTAGAGCAGGCATAGGCAACCTTCGGCACTCCAGATGGTTTGGACTACACCTCCCATGATACTTTGCCAGCATTATTAACATCTGGAGTGCCGAAGGTTGCCTACCCCTGCACTAGGGGCTGTCTGGTAGAAAGCCACTAGAAGCTGTCTTAGTCCTGCAATGAAAACAAGTACCAAAATGCTGCACATAGAGATTCCAAGCACCATGACCCTTTCAAATCACTGATGTTGTTATGGTGCTTGGAGTAACCCTTTAAAAAAAACTGTACAAATATTTATAGAGAGAGTGTTTAAAGTGTGAATTGTATGGAATTCCAAGGCGTTTATTAACCAACACACCAATTCTACTGAATTGAATTATAAAATTTAAGCTAAAAAATTGGCTAGGACTATAGCTAAATTGTAGATTTTTTTCCCCCCCAATCGGTAATATTAGGAAAAAACCTTAATCTCTTCTCTTGTTGGGTGTCGAGATTCCAGCTTCTTTAGAGCTGAACGCTCTCATCCAATGAAAGTAGCTCTGTTAAAAAAAAAGCGTGCACAGAATTGACATAAAGCAGCCCCGAACTCTAGTTACGGGCTATCTGATGACACCCTTGTGACGCTGCCGGAGGTGGAGTTAAAGCGGCAAAGGGGTTAATCTCAGCATGTTCAGTGTTTCAAAGCAAAACCTGCACATACCGAATCCAAGCACCATGACCACTTCAAATCACTGAACTAATCAGGGTGCTTGGAGTAGCCCTTTAACCCCTTAAGGACACATGACATGTCATGAATCTCTTTTATTCCAGAAGTTTGGTCCTTAAGGGGTTAATAAATCACTTTGAGAGAGCGCTGAGAATGAACCCCCCTGCTTTCAGTTTTCATTTTAAAATTTACTACAGTTCACATGTTAATGAATATAATATAATATATCTGGACAATTGTGATCCCTTTTACAGTGAGAATATTGTATGCCAGTACATCTTTTATTATTAATATGTAAGTAATAAACTTTAAACCCATTACATTATCAGGAGCCGTGGAGAGTTTTCCTTTAATTATGTGCAATGTGATTTAATAGCAATGTCCCTGCATGCAGGAGCAGCAATCAGAGGTGAGTGTAACCTCCCTCCAAGGTGACAGGGGAGATGGGGAAGGCTATACCCGCTGCACACTCTCCATTCTAAGGGACTTTTAGCTGACAGCTGCCGGACTCCTAGTTTCTAACCTCATTATTTGCCAGAAAGACCCCCGGAGACCACCGTGTGCCCGGACCTGGGCCAGCGCCCTCCGAAAGACCTGTAAATATTCCGCCATATTGCACGGAGTGCCACGCTCAAAGCCCTCCGCCTGGAAACAGGAAGCAGCACAGAACGTTCCTACTCACTATCTCCTAACAGGGAGAGGCTATGAGCTGGTAGTCAAACTACCTACAGAATGCATCTGTGTATCACATCATCATTATTATTATTATTATATAGGATTAAAAAGAGTACATACTTTGAAATTAGCATTTATAAGTTCTACAGGAGGGAATGCTTTTTATTAGTGTGCAATGGGAATTATTTGTAGGGTTTTTCCCCTAACAGGATTATTTACTAAAGGGAGAATTGACAGGAATTCAAAGAGAATTTTGGAGTGAAAACAGAATTGACTCTGAATTGATTTTTTTTTTCTTCTAACTTTAGAATAAAAATGGCAAACTGGAATAATTCTGTAATGTGACATTTCCCCTTTAACTCCTTAAGGACACGTTACATGTCATAATTCCCTTTTATTCCAGAGGTTTGGTCCTTAAGGGGTTAAACGTTGAATTCGAATTGTAGAAATTTGAAATCCAAATGAAAAAAAAAGTTTATTTTGACCAAAATGCAAGGTCCAATTGTCATTTGTTTAGTACCGATGAATAATCGTAATGTGGCTGCAGCGGAGATGAGTCATTTATCCAATTTAGCTAATTTTAAAATTTTGTTTTTTAATTCTCTGAATGAAAACCTATAATATGTAAAATAATGTTCTATGTACACTACAGTGTGCAGATGGGAACTGCCAGAAGTCTCCTGGTGCCATCTACTGGTAACATTTCAAACTTTTTAAATAGTTATTCAAACCCTTTTCTAAATTAAATATATAAATACTTTTATTTACAATGCCCCTAGGCATTAGTAATTAGGTACCCCGTAAAACCCTGTAAGAGAAGCTTCAGACTTGCAGGTTTTTACGCCTATGTCTTATGTCACCGCATTCCTTATCAGGTTCAAATAAATGCCTCTCCTAGAGAAGCATTTGATTGGACCATTTTACCAACATGCATGTGCTTTGAGTCAGGGGGAGGAAATATTTATATACAATTTAAAAAACAAACAAACACAAGCATTAACTGTTGCAGGGGCAGTAGGGAGGATGGGCACATTGAAGGATAGAAGCAGATTACATCTGACACCACTGTTCACTGACAACAGGCATATTGTTTGCACAGAATTAACATTAGGCAGTCCGGAAAAGAGTTCAGGGCTACCTAAATCATGTGTGCTGGGGTTGTGACTAGCCCCTGGCATAAAATTGGAGATATCTTGGTATGTGCAGCGTTTCAAGCTAAAACACTGTACATACAGATTCCCACTACCATGACCACTTCAGAATGCCTAAGAGGTTATGGTGGTTGAAGTAAACCTTTAAGAACAGTTTGACACTTACCTGTCTCCGCAGGGATGCCCATACTACTTCTAGTCTGGTAAAGTAGAAGTTCACATTTCTGCATTGCCATACCAACTCATAACAAATTGGGGCATTATTCATTGGTCTGGTGCCATCAGCTGACAGGCATCAGAGCACTTGCCAGTTACAGCGTTTCAACACCAAGGTAGCCACTGAAAAAAATATTGCTGGTTGTCTCATGCTAGAGACATCTCAACAATAGGCTGGTGCTGTGATCTGCATGTAACTGGTGCCCCAGTTCTCTATTGGAGTTATCATTCTATAACTGGGGCATGTTACCATGGGATTCCGATGACTTTGGCAGCTGTTGCTGGTTTGCCTCAGTAGTGAGGGTCCAGCAGTACATGTACCACAAAGTGATCAGTAACAGCTAGGCTGTGTGGGATTTAAATGGGTGCTAGTTTACTTGACAGTTTACAGTACCATGAGACTCCTGGAATCATAACCACTACAGTGTGCCTCAGTGGTTATGGTTCTTTGAGTATCCCTTTACTCCATCTTTTGTCTATCTTGATTAAAATGAGATTTATTTATCTGCAACACTGTCTATGGTGTCTTCAGAGAATAAGTGTTCTCTGATTTTCCACATGCAGAGACAGCTTCAAGACTTCCCTGCTCTCCTGGGCTGCATCCTGTCTAAATATGTTGGGAAGATCTGACAATATTTGCTACATAAAGCAATCACTTGTCATAAACCAAACAAAGGCCCATTAAAAATGAAATGAAGTCTGCAAGCAAGAATGGTTGAGATCTAGGTGAACATATGTATGTTGCATGTAATGCCAAAGCAGCATATTGGGAAATTCTCCATCCTTCCCACTTGTGTGTTGTTTGTTAGAGTATAAAATAACGGTTTCTTTATCAAGCTTTTATTTCACCCATTAAAAGCATTAAATCGTTTAAGAGCACAAACCCATCATTGGAATTTTATTCTATCATAAAAAGGTACAGTATGCTTCTTAAAAAATACAACTGAAATAGAATTGACACGTTCCATTAGGATTCAAGACATTTACAATACCTTTTATACATATAAGGCAAAACAAAAACAGTCAACCAAGGTCGTAAATGGTTTATATGGAATGAGTTTCTAATCGATCAGAATGCCTTCAATGCGGCATCTACTTTATCAAAAACAGTGCAGTTAGCTGGGTGTGTTTTTGTGTTACTATATATTGTGTAGATATTATTGCTTCTCTGTAATCTTTCTCCAGTTTGGAAAGTCTGAGCATCACAACTTGAAAACTTATTTTTTACTGTTTTCATAATTATGAGAATCAAATATGTGCGCCTCTCACAAAGCATCCAATTTAATATATATATATACACTGTGCTAGCTGACATTTTAGTAAATGCATAGATAACACGTTTGGTGGAATATAGGAGCACATTGATAAGCATTTAGACCACTGTAGAGAACCAGAACCAAATGTCCCAAAAGTATGTATCATTTAACCTATACAACTGCTTTTAATTAGCCAGGCACCCTGTAAAGCTTAAATGCTATACATGAACAAACCATTCTTATCTGCACATTTCTGAGTGACTTGTCCTATTTAAATTGGATCTGTTATAACGTGTGGATTGCAAGGTTAGCTTTATGTAGTGATCAACATCAAACTGAATTGCCAGCAAATGTATATATTAAATGATATGATATATGTACCTGAATGTTGCTACTGCCTTTTACAAGACAGCTATATTGAACAAAACCGTGTATAAGGTATTGTAGGATGCAAAATGCACAATTGGGAGTTAAAGGAGCACTATAGGGTCAGGAACACAAACATGTATTACTGACCCTATAGGGTTAAAACCACCATCAAGCCACCCTGCCTCCCTAAATATAGTAAAATCTTACTTGTTTTCAAATCTGGAGCTGCTTACTTTGTCCCTGTTTCCTTTAGACCTGCCCACTGCCTGCTGACATAAGAAGTAGTAGCCTGATCCAATCACAGTGCTTCCCCATAGGATTGGCTGAGACTGACAAAGAGGCAGATCAGGGGCAGAGCCGGCACAATTCAAACACAGCCCTGGCCAATCAACATCTCCTCATATAGATGAATTGAATCAATGAATCTCTATAAGGAAAGTTCAGTGTCTGCATGCAGAGAGAGGACATACTGAATGTTTGGATGCATTTTAGGCAGCCATGACCCAGGAAAGATTTCTAACAGCCACATGAGGAGTGACCAGTGAAGTTATCACTAGGCTGTAATGTAAACACTGCATTTTCTCTGAAAAGACAGTGTTTACAGCAAAAAGCCTGAAGGTAATGATTCTACTCACCAGAACAAATTCAATAAGCTGTAGTTTTTCTGGTGACTATAGTGTCCCTTTAAGTAGATGGATGTAAATCCACCGTGGGAGACAAATTTATTCCTGAAGCACAGACATACAAGCTAAAAGGGAACTCTAAAATAAGATGTTATACACATTGCTAGCGCCTTTGTTACCCCAATGTACACATAACATATTCTCAAGTGAGGACGTGCCATTTTTCTTTGGCAGATACACTTTAACAAACTATAATTTTGAGGGGAGAGTGGGGCAACAACTGCTCTCTATCAAATGGGGGACTACAATGAAATCTAAATTTGGCTAGAATTTGGTGGGGTCACTGCTTAACATAGATTTTAAAATAGATATTCACAACAAAAAAGTAAATCTGCTTATTTTAATACAGAGCAAACAATGAAAAAGCAAATCACATTTAAAGTGTCTTACAGTGAAACATTGTGAAAGATGACAAATATAGAAATACTGACACATTGAGCTGTCAAGATAAAACAGTAAAAAGGACGTATTTACTAAACTGGCACTTCAGGAGAATTCACAAGAGCCAGTTTACATATGCAACTGCTCTGTCTGCAAGGGGTAGATTTTTAAGTCTGTTGTCAACAACTGACGTAATTTACGGACAAAGTTGGCATTGTCAGTGTAATGTGTGCGGGGGGGGTTCAACTAGGACCCAGCACACAATTACAAATATCTCAGTATGTGCAGTGTTGTAAGATGCAACATTGCACATACTGACTGCTACCACCATGACCACTTCTAATAACTGTCATGCTGGTTGGAGTAATCAATAAACCTGTTGTCATGTGATGTGGTTTTATATTAAAGATTTTAGCAACTGACATCACTATTCGGCTCAATCATGACAGACAGGGGACACACTGTCCTGGAGGTCTAAAGCCAGAAAATAATGTTTACACCTGTGAGCAAAGATCGAGGGGTAAAAGTTGACAAGAATTCTAAAAGTGGTTGAAAGAGAGAAAAGTTGGAGGAGCTCAGTTCCAGGATGAAGCAGGTTTCTATATTCAATTTAATTTTCAGCCTACACAAACAAATTTGTTAAAGGAACAAAAATATGTATTACTGACACTACAGTGTTAGAATGCAGCATTAGGTCCATAGTCCCTCTCGAGAGAGAGAATAAAGAGGATTTTACTCACCTTTTCTCCCATGCCACACCGGTTTGGTCCCAATTCCATGGCTAAGAGCATGAATTTTGATGATCTCAGCCAATCCACTGCTTTCCCATAGGAAAGTATTGGGAAGCTATTGAGCATACGTGGCAAAAGGCTGTGCCAATCAGCATCTCCTAATTGAGATGCACTGAATCAATCCATCTCTAGGGAACATCAGCGCCTCTATGCTAAACACTGTTGAGCACTGACACAGGAAGCACCTCTAATGGCCATCTGAGTGACTGCCACTAGAGGAGTAACTAGCCAGCAATGCAAACCCTTCCTTTTTTCTGATAAGGCAGTGTTTACATGGAAATATCTGCAGGGACAGGCTATACTCACCAGAACAACTACATTAAGTTCTAGTGGTTCTGGTGGCTATACTGTCCCTTTAAATAAATCAACATAACGTTAAAAAACATGGAAAGAGGAACTACCCTCCTCTCCTCCCCATAAAGACAATGTTATTCTTAGAATTTGGCTGGAAATACTAATTATTAATGGTACTTAGATATAATCAGGTTAAGAAACATTGCATCTATATTGGGGGTGAAAACCAGATGTCAAAAACTGGCTCCCAAGACCAACAGATTCTCTTCTTCAGATATTTAAACATATGATTATACAGGTATAGACTTGTTTTTCTTTTTGTTAATAAAACTTGTAATTATTATACTATGTTCCATTTGGGTCTATGTGTGTAAGTTATGCAATGGTAGGTTATTGTAAGAAGACATAAAATAAGGGGGAGAAGTGCTTAGTTTTCATTTTTTTTGAAGAAGGATAAACTCCTGAAAGGTACAATGATTGTCAATTTACAAGAAACAACTTGCACTTTAGGGAATTAATAACATTCTGGGAGGATGTGATAATTATATGAGCCTTACCTATTGATTTCACCAAGATCTACTAGACTTAAAAGGCTAATATTTGTGTGTATATTTTCCATGTTTAAATATAGATTTATGAACTAAACATTTATTAAGCATCTTTAATTATATTCTAACCATAAGTATAGCTTATTACATTTCATTTACGCCTGTACTCAGTTATTTGGGAGGCTGGAGTTTCATGCTTTGCCTATTAGATTACATCGAGACTTCACCTACAGCTAGAATAAAGACGATAGTAACAACGGGAGTATAGACCCCCTTCATCGTTACATAGGTGGGCTTTATTCACAAAGCAATGAATTTTAATGTATTGACAACTGTAATTATTACAATTTTGTCAAAAATAGCACAGCAAGAATCCCACTATTTTGCCTGAAATAATTTGAGGTTAAGAATTAAGTGCAATGTAATTTGATTAAATTCTGTTGTGAATGTTTCAGAGCAGACATATCACTTTGACCTCTAAATACTTAATTGGGAAGTTATGTGTAGTGTGTTATAGACATGATCAAATAGACTGTGCACCTTTTCAGGTAATCAAACATTATTTTAAGGCGACAAAAATAAGTATGTACTGAGTTTTGGAAGTGTTAAACTGGAAAAATTTTAAAGATAGGTTTAAATCTAAAGGTATGTAATATACAACATTCAACCCACGCAACCACTTAGTCAACTTAAAAACTAAATACACACATGAAAAAAAATGTGGTAAGGACTATGCATAAGGTGGATGTGAGCAAAATAATAATAATAATGATTGGATGACGTGCTAAAAAACTGAAAAAGCCCACATCTAATGCCGAGATGTTCCTGAATTACTCTCAAGGAAATATACTTAAATAGCTGGTTTTAGCACCATTTAGGGTGATATAGATATCCATCACTGGACAGCAACACTCACCTTGAAAACCTGCAAAACTGTCTGTCTCTATATATGTATTTATACATATACAGTATTTCTAAAACTTTCTTTTCATAATTTATTTATTTTTTTTACAAAATGTAGCATTTTCAAATCTAAGTCACATTGTTATACAATGTCAGCAAATGATTGTTCTGAAATATTCTAGCAATGTTCCCTAGAATAGACTTACCACAAAATGGATCAAAAGGGATATTTTTTTTTTTTTTTTACTCCATGCAGGACTGAGGAAAACTATCCGAAATGCAAACTTTTCTTCAAGTTAATATGACCATTCTTATAGAATGCTTTATTTCATTTTCAATTATATTAAAAAGGTTTGTATCCACAATGTCCAAATGTCTCTATAAAATATGTCTTTGTTGCAGAATCATTGTTCCGTAACCGTGTGACAGTCTCTTAATCCAATCTTCATGTTTTCCCTTGACAAATTGCACTGTTTCATGACATAATACTCATCTTCAATAGGAATAAAATCACTGCTGTATGAATCTTGAACATACCAAACAAATGAAAAATATAGAAATCCTTTTCTTTATATCTATATGAATATATACACCATGCCGAAAGGCACAATATCCCACCAAGCCAACTCATACCAAAACAAAGAAGGTACACATTATTCAAGGCCGGGATTTAGAATTGAAATGCATATTCATGACTTTCATTTTTTGTTTCCCATTCTTGACACAAAGAGATGGAGTCACACTCCATATGCATTTGTGTCTGTAGCATTTCCATGGAATGCTACACAGATAGACCGATGACTTGAGTGTTATAGTCCGATGTTTCCATGCGCAGAATGTAAGGGATTATACTGTCGATCTGCACATTGCCAATCAGACCCGCGAAAAACAACTCTTCTGTAATGGCGGCACTCATTAGTCTCAGAGCTGGCAATCGGAGTAGGAGTCGTGATAACCTATGAAGGTTGTAAAAATAAATAAATATGCATATATTATTTTAAATTAGATACATAAATACATAATCTCTTTGAGTGTAGAAGGTGTGTCCAACAAATTACTATGCAATATGTCAAGCACACTACTGGCACTGAATGACATAGAAACATAGAATGTGACGGCAGATAAGAACCATTCGGCCCATCTAGTCTGCCCAATTTTCTAAATACTAAGGTTAAAAAAAACCCTAAGGTTAAAAATTTTTTTTTAAAAAAAGCACATTTACATATCCCAATCTGTATTTGAAAAATATATTTAAGGGAGGCAGAAATTTCAAATATTGATTATGCACTAGCTTTCCCTAAATTAAGGCTTTGGTTTCAGTAAGGCTCTTATCTCCTCCTTTTGGTCAGAAAATGTAAATTAAAACATATAGTATAATAAAACAGTCAGTGAAAGCCAGCATGATTTAAAAGTATGATATGTTAAAGGAACAATCCGAACCCTTATAGCACTTGAGCTTGCTGAAGTGCTTTGGGAATTAGCAGTGTCCCCTCTTTCATACTTTATAAAAGTGCAGATTTATAAGATAAAATTGGCACATTTATAAACTCATGGAATGCGTGTGAGTAACCGGAGTGTGCTCTTCCTAACACGTTTTGAGCCCTCACTCACGTTTCTATATAAGAACTATTGTCAGCACAGAGTGGTGATTGACGCGCATGCACTCGGCCTCCTAAAGCAACTGTATTGACCAGAAGATCATCATTAGAGATGATCTCCTGGAAGTGAAGCAGGGCAGTGGAGAGGATAACCTCTAGCCCCTGGATTATTACTAAGCAACATCTTTATTTGCAGAAAAAGAGGGAGGGAGCGCACAAGAATTTAAATGTCGCACACCACAGTCCAGCGATAAAAATATTGATATTTACAACTCTGGAATGTTCCTTTAATAAATATTGATATTTACAACTCTGGAATGTTCCTTTAATAAACACTGCACAAAGATGTGCTCAAATAAAAAATACTTTTCTACAGCTCATTAGGGGGGGTTTATGTTTCAGTGTCAATGTTTTGAAATCGGACAGTACTAAAATAAAATTAATTTAAAAAAAAAAAATGAATGTACCAGTTAAATGATTAATGTAGTCATGCTGTTGAGCATATGTTCAGTTTAACACAGAGAAATTAAGCAGTCTGTTCAGTTCTGTGTAACGTTTTAAAAACAGATATATTGGTTTACAACAGTAGTAATCTTCTGCTGCTCTATGTGCTACGAATGTATTCACTATTATTGTCTATTTATATCCAGTGCAGCAACAAAATTGCTCAGTGAATATTCATCTTGTCATTCACTACACCACCACGAACATATAAAATACTCACCTGTATGTGTCATCTGGATAGGTTTTTGTTACATAATCCTGAAATTCCATGTAGGCTCGCTCTTGCAGTTTTTCAATGTGAGAGACATTTTCCAGTCCAGGATGATCTGTTTCAAATCAATACAGTGAATCCACATTGCAAGCATATATGCAATAACACAGAAGCAGTAGCCTAACACTGTTAGAAGGATGTAATGGCTGATTGGGGGTGGTTTCACAAAAAACAAGCTCTTTTAGCAGCAGTGATAATGTAGAATGTGCACTTCAATTATGTTCATCCAGGTCAGTTGTGATAGGCAGAGAAAGCTTGGCTAACTTGTTCCCAGCATTCATAGCCTATCACTGCTGTCCAGTTTGGGCAAAGTTGATAAGAATAATCCAGAAGTGTAAATTCCTCATTAACATGTATGGGGAAGTAGCAACACTTCTGAGTCTCGTTTTAAAGGGAAACTATAGTGCCAGAAAAACAAACTAGTTTTCCTGGCACTATAGCTTCCCCCTCTGCTACACAAAACTAGTTATTTTTTTCATGTGTTTATTATATGGTGATGTGAAGACATTGTGAAATAAAAGAGAAGAAATGAAAAAGTTGATACCTGGACTGAAAAGCACAATAGCTTTAAGGTAGGCATATTCATATCCATCTGGGGAGAGTCTGGCCATGCTGTTGCAAAACTCTTGCAATTTGAAGATGTGATCCATTACTAATTTTACCTTCTCCGTTGACAATTTATCTGCCAGACAACAAAACATGCTAGTTGTTACTGCATAATCTTGATGATTAATAAATATTGTACTGCAAAGATCAGTTGTACTAAGTTAGAAACTATGTTTTCAATTCAAAGTAGGGGGAAAAAATACATCCAACTCAGTTGTAGGGTTTAATTAGAAACATAGAATGTGACGGCAGATAAGAACCATTCGGCCCATCTAGTCTGCCCAATTTTCTAAATAAATACTTTCATTAGTCCCTGGCCTTATCTTCTAGTTAGGATAACCTTATGCCTATCCCACGCATGCTTAAAACTCCTTTATTGTGTTAACCTCTACCACTTCAGCTGGAAGGCTATTCCATGCATCCACTACCCTCTCAGTAAAGTAATACTTCCTGATATTATTTTTAAACCTTTGTCCCTCTAATTTAAGACTATGTCCTCTTGTTGTGGTAGTTTTTCTTCTTTTAAATATAGTCTCCTCCTTTACTGTGTTGATTCCCTTTATATATTTAAATGTTTCTATCATATCCCCCCTGTCTCGTCTTTCCTCCAAGCTATACATGTTAAGATCCTTTAACCTTTCCTGGTAAGTTTTATCCCGCAATCAGGGGTGCCCAAAAGTTAGATCCCCAAAAGTTTTAAAAATACAGCTTCCATTATGCTTTGTAATTCTAAAGGCATGCAAAGCATCATTGGAGTTGTAGTTCTATAACATCAGGAGATCTACCTCTGGGCACCCCTCCTTTAGGTATTAGAAATGCTGTAATAATGTATGCCGTCTGTATATTAAGATATAATTAAACATCTAGCTTGACTTTATATTTAGAAATTTCCATTAAAGGAAAGCTTTCTTCATATGTTATGATTACTGAAAATAAAAGTATTATGTCATGTTTATTATTTTGTATTTAATACATATTAATCAATAACTCTTTCTTGCTCTGTTGGGAGGGTGGGGGGTGTTAGAGGAAGCCATCTTTATTCCCTCTTTGAAACACCCATGATCATGCACAATTGAGGCTTTAGAGCTGCCCCAGAGTGAATTTGTTTTACACATCGGGTTAGGATTGGTGAACATTATTATAATGTATATAGTGCCAGCATATTTCCACAGCAACTTTAGAATTATAAAGGAATAGTGCAGTATCATCTGTTTGACAGGGTACACCAATTAAGTCCTGAAAGCAGGGCCCAGCACAGGTGATGCACTCAAAGTGCAAAATTTTGTCTTTAGAGAGTTAATGCTTGTTAGTTGATTTAGTATTATATGACATTAAAAGCTCCATCATTATCATTGTTATTGCTATGTAATTCCTTCTGCATCAAAAGGGAGGGACATAATTGCTTTGACAATCCAGATTTAAAGGACCACTAAAAGCACTCAGACTACTTACTCTAATTATAGGTCTGGGTGCAGTGGTCATTTAATCTTAACCCTGCCATTTAGTAAATACATAAATGTTATGATTGCAGGATTAAACACACCCATAGTTGCCCTTTAAAGACTGTTGTTCAACAATAACAGAGTAAGACTCAGCTATACAATCAAATGCTGTTCATCGAGAGTGAGTACAAATGTCCTTTTAAAACCACATGGGGAAGGAGGGTGGCTGGACACCTAAAACATTAGAGCAGCACTATAGCATTAGGAATATATGTTTGTATTCCCAACTCTACAGTGTTCCTTAATAAAAATACAATATATGAATAAATAAAAAATAGTTTATTGCATATGACACAATGCCTTTAGAAGCCAAGAGATAAATCAGGGGGGGTTCTCAGTACGCAATGGAAAGATGTAATGAATCTTACCTTGCTGCATGCTTGTGTGGAGATGATTTACAAATGCTGTTAATATAGTCGCCACATTCATCACTTGGGAGCACTGAGCGAGGCCTAGTGAGAACAGTTCATTCCAGCATGCTTTCACTAGACTGATTGTGTTCTCTTGTCTAAACAGACAAACATATTTATTTGTGTTAGAAGTAGGGTCGGATTTTATGTTTCCATAATAATGCTGTTTTCCTATTTCCTAACCATGACAACATCTTGAGATAGAACAGGAATAGGTTTGAAGAAAATGCAGGCTAGAAAAGGACATTGTTAAACCTACATGGCATTCTCGTATTAGCACCTACTAGTATATTACTCTAAAATGCCATATAGACCAGTGTTCTGCACCCCTGGCCACGCGAAAAAGAGAAAAAATTTGCGGACTGGCATCAGCCAAAAATAAAAACCATGTGTGAGGGATGCAGTGTGTGTGTGTGTGAGGGGTGCAGTGTGTCTGTGTATATGGGGGTGGAGCAGTGTGTGTGTGAGAGTATGGAGCAGTGTGTGTGTATAGGGGGCAGTGTGTGTGAGAGCAATGTGTGTGGGGGGGCAGTGTGTGAGGGTATGGGGGCAGTGTGTGTATGGGGGGCAGTGTATGTATATGGGGGTCAGTGTGTGTGTGTATGAGGGGCAGTGTGTGAGGGTATATGAAGAGCAGTGGGTGTGTATATATGGGGAGCAGTGTGTGTATGTGTATGGGGGTTCTCTCTCCCTCCTTTCCCTGCTAGCTGCCAGCATTACACTGCTAGCGGGCCAGAGAGAGAGATGTCTGATCTCCCCTCCGGTCCTGCAGAGGCACAGTTCCCGGTGCTATGATCATAGCACCGGGAAAATATTTTGCGGCGATTTATTGACGGCCCGCGAAAGCTTTAACCGGACGGTAAAGTCGGGTGAAAGTTTTCGCGGACCGGCAATAAATTCTTGTGGGCCACCGGTTGAAGACCGGTGATATAGACTATGTCTTTGCATTATTCACATCATGCTAAATTAACCAAGTGAGGATATGAAGCTATTTTCTAGCAATTTACAGGGTTAAGTGCTGCTTTCTATGACGTACTTTGGTTATGCGAGTGTTGGTAACTATGAGAGGCCTATAAATTAATAAATGCACCTTACTCAATACATCATTCTCTATATATTACTGTAATTTCATTTAAACAGGGGCACTTAGTGTTAATTTGCAAGTTTGGTCAGATTGCCAGTAGTTGAGAAAATTCAGTCGTTTTGCTTTTTTTTTTTCTCAAAGCATTACTGTGGCAACTACAGAAATATGAACAATGCCAAAATAATGAAAACAAGTAAAGTTTCCTTGCAATAAATATGATTTTATTCTTACCCAAGGGCTTGAAAGGAAGGAATGGATCGGGCCCAGTGCATAGAAAGGAACAATAACCGTGATGCAGACTCACATATATAGTGTACATTCAGGTACTCTGGCATAGGAGTAGGCATTGTGAGCTAGAAGGAAAAGGAAAATAAATAATCACAGCAGGTAGATGTTTATAAATTTAAACATTCTATAGACAAATACCACTATTCTTAAACGCAGTTAGGTTTTCACTTCATTCCATTAGCACATTATCAATGGATCAGCAAAACAAATGCTATCAGGCAATACTTTTTATATTACCAAACTCTGATTAACTATATTAACAGCCTATATATAAATCTTATTTGCCAGTTAACCCAATGCTTATCAGACAATGAAGAAAAAAAATAAAAAAAAAATAAAAACCTGACTCTACACAAACACGTAGAGAATATGGGTTGTATTAATGGAATTTTGCTAAACACAGTCAAATTTTGCGCAAAACCATTTATCTGGAAATATTCACAATTTCCAGATTGATAATACTGGCCTAAATCTGGTAATCTGTTTAGCAAAATTCCACAAATATTCCCCCAACACTCCAAAGCTTTGTATTTCCAATCCTAAAAAAAGTGAAAATTCGAATTGAACCGTCACTTTTCTGTAAGTAGCAGTTGCTTGTTCCCTCACCCCAGAAAAAATACATTAAAGCATTTACTTAAGTGAGCAACACTGTGGAGCCAATAGAAAAAACACAGCAGCACTTAAAATGTTCAGGGTAAGAATGCTGCACAGAGATGCTTCAGACAACTTTATGAGCACTTCAGAATCTCCACAGAAATACCAAAATAGAATCTCAGTAGTGAAAGCTTGCGTTAGTGCTTTATGGTGTTATAAAACACCTGGTCCCCTCCTCTATGGTTAGTAGTCAAACTGTTTTAGAACAATTTGACTGTCTGTCTGGGCACACACATTCATCAATGAGCCAGAAGCTCATGTTTAGGAGCTTGCAATAGCTCTCTTGAGCTAAACCCTGCAGTGCAGGGCCAGCTCATTGGCTGAGAGGGTCGGCTGTTCGCTCTGAGACAATGAGCTAAGCCCTGGACCATTGTGCTTAGCTCAGACAGAGAGCTTCTGGCTCGCTGTTGCAAGTATTGTAGTGGTGGCAGGGAATGGTGCTTGGTGGACCCCAAGTAAGAAGTCCCATCATACTAAAATGGTACTTACATGGAGGAGTGGGGGCAGAGTACTCCTGGCACCATGGCGCTACAGCACTTAGTAGTTATCAGGCTTGCAATGTCCCTTCAAATTTGACTTAGTTAGGTGTGCTTATTGGACTACATTAAGAAATATTTATTCATGCATTACCCTAAACGCTATGTGGGAATCACTAAGCAGGGGGCCTTCAATCTCAACAACACCAATGTCTTGGAAGAGTGCCGGGTTGGATTCCATGCTTTCGGAGGAGCTGCCAGCAGAGGATTCAGAAGGGTTCAGTGCTTTTGCCAATGTGTCAAAAGCCCTACAAATAAAACAAACAAAAAACATTGTTTTATTAGTTACAAAAGTAATATCATATCTTTCTATTTGATGTGTAAATTATAACAATGTGTGCAAATACAGTAAAACATTTGCCAAGCATGTTAAACTACATAAAAACACAACACATATTAGCCACTTTGGCGAATGACCAGTTATGTAGTCTGAGGGGACCAGACCACTAATAATGTATGTACAATAGGGATGCACTGAAATAAAAATTCTGGGCCGAAACCGAAAATACAGGATGCCCTTGGCCGAAAACGACTTTTTGCCCCAAATAATTTGTGTAGGTTATGTAATGTGTATGAAATTTAGTAAGGTGTGGGAAAGGGATGTAGTGTGTATGTGTAGGTTATGTAGTGTGTGTAAGTAATATAGTGAGGTGTGGGAAAGGGATGTAGTGTGTATGTGTGTAGGTTATATAGCGTGTATAGGGAACATGGTGTGCTGCAGTATAGAGATGTAGTGTGTAGGTTATGTAGTGTTTGTAGGGAACACGGTGTGGTGTGGGATAGGGATGCAGTTTGTATGTTTGTAGGTTATGTAGAGTGTGTAAGCCACATAGTGTGGGGTGGGCTAGGGATGTAGTGTGTGTAGGGCACATAGTGTAAGGGTGTGAAAGGGGTGTAGGGCACATAGTGTGGGGTGAGAGGGATGTAGTATGGGTAGGACACATAATTTGGGGTGGGATAGTAGAGTGAGGGGGTGACAGGTGGAAGAGCGTGGGAGTGAGGGGGTGACAGGTGGCAGAGTTAGGGAGTTACAAGTGGCAGAGTGAGGGGGTGGCAGAATGGGTGACTGGTGACAAAGTGACTGAAGGAGTGGATGACTGGTGACAGAGTGAGGGGGTGACAGAGTGAGGGGGTGACTGAGGGAGGGGGAGACTTTTGACAGTGACTGAGGGAGTGGGTGACTGGTGACCGTGAGGGAGGGTGTTAGAAATACCTTTTTGGTTTTTTTTTTACCTGGTGGTCCAGTGTTCTGGCTCCCTGGTGGTCAGAGTCCCCAGTCTGCAGCTATGCCCGGTGTGAGCTGTAGACTGTGTTGTATCTAGCGATATCCAGATGTAACCCGCGGCAACGCTCTGATTTGCCAGAGATCGCGACATACAGCACAATCTACAGCTCACACCGGGCGGAGCTGCAGACTGTACTGGCTCTCTAACCGTGCAGACGGGAGGGGCCTCTCATCCGGCTGCACACAGTGCAAGGTGCCGGGCCCCCTCCCGATGTCAGGTCCTCGATCATGGACAGAGGACCTGACAAGTCACTCTGCCCTATTTTCAGCAGATTTAACCCGTTTTCGTCCGAAATGGGATAGGCCCATTTTTGGGCGAAAATTTCGGTGCATCCCTAATGTACAAAGTATGAGATATTTTAATGAGTTCTGTGGGTTTTGCCTCAATTTTTACAGCAAGTTTCTGACAACGAGATATTATTTTCAAAATAATTAATGTTAGATAGTGATGTTACCTAGTGACTTCACTGCAGGTCTGATCATCTTGTGGAAGCTCAGAAAGTGTTGCGTCCCCATTACTCAGGCTTTCTATTATGGACAGCTCTGTGCTAGCATGAGATAAGTCCTTGGACTTACTCAGATTTGCAAGTGAAGTGACAACGTTGGCCAAAGTGCTTAAATCTCCCTGACACGTTTCCACCTGGTAGAAGAAGAAAGCAAAAGAGTTAATATAGTTAATAAAACTAAGATTTTTAAAGTAAGAATTTTGTCAGTTCTTTACTCTCTCCTGATGCTGTGTTCATAAATTAATTTAAGTGGCTGAAGTATAACAGAAGAGTTCCAACAACCCCCTCACCCCCCAATACTTAAAAAAAAAAAAAGAATACCTTATCAGGCGTGATGAGCATGGATTCACTTTTAATCCCAGATTGCTGAATATTAACTAGCATTCCAGAGTCCATTAAATTTGCAGCCCTAAAAAAGAATGAAAACAGTGCTCTTATCGTCATTATTTTGGAGAGAAAAATAAGGATAATTTCACAAACACATAATAATGCATGCACATTTTCAAAGGAAACAAGAACAGAAGATGAAAAGGCATCTTTAGAAACAACAAACAAACTCAGAAATAGTTAAGAACTGTCAAAATATAAATTAAAATTGCCATTATGTGAATCTTCTGCACACATGGCAAAGGTCTCTGAGCGCTGACCAATATTGAAGGTGATGTGACTGTAAATGGACTGCTAAACCTGAAAATAAACCCTTTAATTAATCCTATGTTTAACTCAATACTACAATGAACCATACGCTAGTCCTATACTCAATGATCCTAAACAGCACTTACGCTACAACTTCAACCGCTCTCGAACTTCTTAGCACTAAACACCGTATGTAATCTAAATCTGACATTTACCCATCACTAACTTTAAACCCCCCTTTATCCTTACCACGTCTAACATCATATTTGACCCTAAATGCATTTACACAGCTGCATACACTTGCAGATTATACCATTTATACATAAGTTATACACCAGTTTTTTGGCCTGCAATATGCAGTTAATAAAATCATAATGCTTATTTTATGATTGGTGGGCAGTAGGCACCATAGAATTTTGTGCCTACAGGTGCCTGACATGTAAATCCAAGAACAAAGAGTTTGACTCTGTGCTCAACGTAGATGCACCTCTAGTGTCTGAAAGACAGCTATTAGAGGTGTGTTAACCATAGAAAAGAAATATCGCAATTTCTAAAAAAAACAAAAAAACAAAAAAAAACCTTTGTTAAGTTGACGTGGTGTTGGTGCCTTTTGTTTTAAATATTTTTGTTTTAAATATTTTTATTGTTTTCACAATATAAGTGCATATTGCGAACTGGTTCGTGATAAAGCCAGAGGTTGCCCACGCAGGGGCTTAAGCAGTAAGTTATAGCATTCATTAACGTGAACGGTCGCCTAAGTAGAGGCTTAGCACATAGGAATAGATGCAGATTATCGCCTGCGCAGAGGCGTAATGATCAGAACATATAGGCGTACTTGAACTTTGCAGGAATACATTTCTAAGCATTACAGCATAAAAGGTAACAACATCCTATAATGCGTCTATCTGAGGTAAACTGTAGCTGATCATGCAATACATGTAATGAAGTATATAGGCAAACTAATGCAGTGTTAAAAGAAATAAACTAGGGTGTCTATATGTGAGCCTGTTCCTTGAGCGTCTTCTCAGAATGACAGAGTTAACACATGATATATGTGACTAGATGAGCGCGGTCATTTCTGTGTTAAGATATAGACATATTAATATACATCGTATAATACAACATTCTGGCTATTCAAGTAGGCATTAATGAGTGGCGTCAAGCTTTTGCCCGTGGGGGCACTACAACATTACATATCCATTCTGAAGCTGATGTGTATAAGTCACATTGTATAGTCTAGTGCTAAACTATCAGTAATTCCTTGCAAAATTATGGCAGTAACTGAGCAATCACATAACGTAAGCATAATGAGGGCTAAAATGTACAACGTGCATATGTTTACCTTATCCTGATGTAGAGCCCAGTGCAGCTTTGTAGTATTTTGACTAACAGCAATGCCCAGATTATGTGCCCCTTAAACGTATTTGTTATCTAGTCACGTGAGCCGGATAATAAACATCTTAGTTGCTATATGCAGGTGCATGTGTCGTTTAGGCTAGACCCATCAGGTTAAGGCTCAAAAGGTACACCTCATAACGTCTAGTATAACCATATTAACTATAACAGTATAAGAGCAGAGCTGTTCGTAGTGTTAGTCCGATAAGGGCCCACCATGGCATGGCGGTGGCGCGTCTCCCGGGGCGCCAAGTCTCCCCCCGCGATAGTTCCAGCCCAGCACCTGAGTCCTCCGCGATGCTGTGGGCACTCGGGGGCAGAAATTATCCGCTGGACCCCCACACCTAGAATCCGCGGGTCTCCCGTTCCCTGCATCTCCTCAGCACCGCCTCAGACCCAGTGAAGATTGTGTCCCATTGTCTCTCCTGGTGCCGGCCTCACACTTGGGACCGGTGCACGCCGCTCCCGGCTACCGGTCTGCCGGGGGGGCTGCGCAAACCCACCCCACAGGGCTCTCAGCTTCAGGGACACGGCTCTCTGGGGACCTCCCAGACCCAGAGGCCCGGACACTCACTTTTCCTGCAGGCTGGCCGGCATCGCGTGGGGTCCCTCAGGGGCCCGGCGGCACCGGAGTCCACCCCTGCCTTCCAGGTCGTCTCCCCTCGGTAAGTTATCTCCTTTGGTGACTCTGCACTCCTCTTTCAATGGTGCCTTTGAGGGGAAGCCATTTCAGTAGTTTGGCTCAGCTGCGTCGGATCCCCAACCTCCTGAGCTTCTGTGTCTTCTCTGTCCCTGCCAGGGTGTTTTCATCACTAAAAGTATTTCCCCTCGGTGTAGATGTCCAGTACAGCTGGCTGGCCGTCTCTTTGCCATTGCCAGTTTAGGCAGTCGGCATAATGTCCACGCGGGGGCTCCCGTCGTGGTACCTGTCGCCGCCATGTGGCCAGGATAACCCCCGCCGGCCGGGGGGGGGGAAACGGGGCCGTGCCCCGGGCCGAGGGTCTCCCCATGCCGGGAATGCTTGCCTTATAACGGGCTGGTTCTATGCTGCGCCTGTTTGCGGCAATGGCGGCCGGTGCTCAGAGGCCGCGTGTAGGCCTGACCCAGTCCTCGCTGCCCGCCCGTCCCGCGGTCAACTTCGTGTAGGCACCGATTGAAAGTCAGGGTTTTCCCCCTGTCAGGTGCGGCTGGTTTTGCTTGTTTTGTGCAGCTTTTAGTTGTATTGGTGCTGTTTCATGCATTTTGTTGCTGGAGCTCATGTAGATGGCGTCCAGTCGGCCCGGCCCCGCCCCCTGTTGGTGCCTTTTGTAATCCTTTAGAGAAAGAGTTTAGTTTCTAGCGTCTATCACATGTGAAACTACTAAACAATAACTTACAAATATTAATTTACATAATGAGGAGAATTTGGAGATAACTGCATTTAATTCTTTAGCAACTAATCAAAACATATGTTACATAACTCTTTAAATGGAAAGAATATTATGTTTTATATATCACATATCAAGGAAAATGTTTCTAATAAGTTTATCTTTTGAACATTTTAAAATTCTTAACCCGGTCATGTGATTACACAAAAACAAAAAGTAGTTTTTACTTTTTTTTTCATATCATGTCAAGAAGGTGGCAACTTTACATTTATGAGATATAGAATATTTCTAACAAATAAGTGAAAAGCACACCTTACGGTTTTGTTCTCTGTCACAAATGTTGTGGTTGCAGCAAGGGGACTCCGCAAGTCTTTTCGAATATATATTTTCTCAGTGGATGCAGCACAATTCGAGGATCTTTCTCGAGAGACTTCAATGGGTTTTCGCTCACACTGAACAGCTAGAAAACAAAAATAAGACCCCCATTACTGATCTATATATACGCTCCAACATTAAACAGGTAATTTAACAGCGAGAAAAAAACACCCAAAGAAAAACCAAACATAAACAAACAGAACAGAATCTATAATCTCTAGACATTAATGCAAAGTACAATGTGCGGAGGTGGTCTAAAATTTGCATGGAAAATATAGTGTTGGGTATTTAAAAAAAAAAAAAAATAAAAAAAAAAATTTCACTACATCTTCTATACATAAAAAGCACATTTCACCATGTCACCGTGTCAGTTCTTTTACCATATGGAACCAAAAGAAAAACTAAAAGAATGGAAGAAGCACATAACCAGGAAAAAATATGCTGTATTACAATACAACAGTGGTGTTCACAAGAATGTCAGTATACATTTGTACAAGTCACCAACAATAATGACATTTAAAGGAACACCATATCTACTATAGTGCACTGTGGGAAGCTGTCTCCTGATTTCTTACCTGGGGTCTGCCAGAGGGCACATTCTGCCCCCATGAGAGCTGGAAGTTATCTGCCTGAGTTAAGACTGATGGTGAGCTGATAAGCTTCTGGCTCCCAGGACCGGAAGAAAGTAGTGCTAGTTGGACCCCAAGTAAGAAGTTAAAATGGCTCTATTACTTACATGGGGGAAGGGAGTACAACAGAGCACTTCTGGCACCATAACCACTAGAGCACAATATAGTGTTCCTTTAAAGTGCTAAAAATGCATTACACATTTTATTGTGCTCAGTAAATTTATAGAACACATGCTCTTTAACTGTATGTAATTTTCATGGTGTTAATTTATCATATGTGATTCTGTTACTTTTTAAGCTTTTGGATTTTCCATTTCATCCATATCACTTTTACTAGGATTAAACAATATAAAAATTAATCAATGAAAGAGTTCAAACAAAAAAAATATTTGTGCTCTTTCAATTTAATTTTCAATACATATAAACTGTGAAATACTTGTAAGCATCAACCTACATACCGTTAAGAAGTTGGAGGAAAAAAATAAAATAATTTTTTTAAATCTAATAATCAATAAATAAATCCTCTCACATAACTCAAACAAGTTTAGAAATAACAAATGCAATCAAAGGAAATTGAAGAGAAGAAGATTAGACAGACAGTTAAAGGGTCACTCTAAGCAGCAAAACCACAACATCTTTAATGTAGTGGTTTTGGTAGATAGTTGACTGCCATAAAAACAGCCATTAGAACCACCTCTTCCTAAGATCTGGATGATGATGCATAATGTGGCTAATGCTTCTCATAGATAAATGCTGGAGTCGCTGTCCCTCTTTGAGAAGCATTAGATTGGTGGAGCATAGAGAGTGCCATGCATGTGATCTAGGTCCGCTAATACTTCTCTATGAGGACTGATGATCTTACAGTAGGTGGATCACAGTGCAGAGGGGAAAATGTCCCTTTAAGTTTAATTGATTTTTGTTTAACTTAAGTATGCTTTATTCACCCAAGTAGATGTTGAAATAGCATTTACTGGGGTGAGGGAAAAATAAACTGTTACTTCTCTGAAAGTGATCGATCCTGTTTAAGAGAACACTAAGTTTAAAAATAAATTTAAAACATAACAATAAATAAAAAAAATAAAAAACACCAACTTACTTACCTAAGCTGCATTTCTGCATTGTAGACAACTATTCTGCCCTATGATGCCGTGAGCATGCTCATGCGTGCTTGGGAATCAATGAATGAATTCTATAGAGCATATGCGTGCTCTGCATTTTCACCATTGCCATACGCAAGTATGCGCTGTGCATACAGTACGGCAAGAGTTAAATTTGATGCTGTTGCATAACAGACCATCTACAGGGATCCAATCCCTGTTTGTGATTTCCTGTACTACTTTAAAACACATACTTGTGTGTACTTTATAGTAACTATCCTGAAAAGTCATCTTGCATTGATTTATAGAATAAATGGTTTATAATTTAGACACCAGATAAACTGCAGCGTCTTGAAAAGAACAAATCAGCACTTACAATCTTGCTTCATTCCCAGCGCAATACAACGCTGCAGCCGGCAGTACTGACATCTGTTACGGTAATGTTTGTTAATGATGCAGTCCTTCACTCCCCTACACGTGTACACCAAGTTTTTCCTTATGCTTCTTTTAAAAAAACCTTTGCAACCTTCACATGTCACTGCTCCATAATGGCGACCTGGTAGGTTGAGATAACATAGTATAACAATATATTCAGAATGCAAGGGTCATATAGTTCAATGACCTGGACAACAACATCAAAAAACTGAGAAGTATAAAGTATATCACAAACCGTTTTCTCTAATTTGACATTCCAAGGTGAATTTAGATGGGATGGGTAGGGTGTAGGATACCACTTGAGAACTTATAGTATATGATAGAACAAGGTTTAGAATAGCATAGGATCGTTAGAGCAGTGTTTCCCAACCCAGTCCTCCAGGCACACCTACCAGTCCAGGATTTAGGGATTACCCAGTTGTGTCTAAGGTGTTTTTACAAAGAAGAAAAAAAAACACCTTAGACACAACTGGGTAATTCCTAAATCCTGGACTGGTAGGTGTGCCTTGAGGACTGGGTTGGGAAACACTGCGTTAGAGAGACACTATAGTCCCCAGAACAACTACAGCTTAATATAGTTCTTCTGGTGAGTATAATCACTGTATGCAGGCATTTTCATGCAAACACTGCCTTTTCAGTGAAAAGGCAGTGTTTGCATTGCCCTTAGGGACACCTCCAAGTGGCCACTCCTTAGCATTTACCTTAGATGGCCACTGGAGGTGCTTCCTGGGGCAGTGCTGCACAGTAGGCAGCTCTGCCGTTCAGCGTCCCCACAATCTGCCCTGAATTTTCCTCATAGAGATGCATTGATTAAATGGCGTTTGGCCCCGCCCCTTGTCAATTTTAGCCAATCCAATGTTTTCCCCATGGAAATAAGGCAGGTTTCTCATGCTTTTAAGGGGAGAAAAGGGGGGGAAAGCCACCTTAATGTTGGGTTTTGCAGTATAGGGTAAGGATTACATGTTAAGTGTTCCTTTAAAGTGAGACTCTAGGCACCAGAACCACTATTCTAAGAAAAGATAGGGTTTACATTGCTGCCTAAGGTCACTTCTAGCAGGTGTCACTCAGACAGACACCAGAGAAACTGCCTGGACAAGATCCTGCAAAGATTGCAGGACCGACAATCAGCAGCTCCACACTCTGAACAGAGAAGTCTTGAGTTTATGCATCTCCCTGAGGAAATGCTGACTTGTACATTGTGGCAATTGCAGCACATGCACACTAGTCTTTCAAATATTTTTCTATGGGGAAACAACCGCATGGTTGAAATCATCAGGATTCATTATCTCAGCCAGCAAATGTGGGGCTAAGAAGTAAATCTAATTTATGTACTTTCGCAGGGGTTCAATCCAAATACTAACAAGAACACTCTAGTGTTAGAAATGCATATTCAAGTTAGAGTGTTCCTGTAAGGGCATACATAATTACATAAAATGTATTCATGATAAAATTGAAAGGAATAGCTAAATTTATACCAAGATATCCAAGTAGTAAAAAGCTGAATTGGAGGATGTTTCTATTTGGATTTCTTTTTTACCTAAAATAAACCATTCCTTTAATATCCTCCCCATAATTCTTCATTCAGGGAACAAATCCCAAATATTGTTATTTCATTACACTAAACTTCCGATCAATTTTTGTATTGCGGTTTTAATGCATTTCTAGATACTGTGTATATTTTCTAGGGTACTTTGTATAGTATTACAGTATAGATTATACGCATTCACTTTTTAAACCACATACCTGAAGCTTTGTCACCACACACTACACAAAGATCCACAACAGGTTTGTTTAAAGTTTGATCCAAGCACTGGGAATCTGAGAGTATCTGCAGCAAAAAAATAATGAATGAATAAATGCTATAAAAGTAAAATTAACATTCTGGTTTCATTTCAAGCAAAACAATACAATCATATGGTTATTTCAATTTAAAGTGAACATCTAGTAAAAAAAAATAAAAAATTAAACTTACCCTAAATGCTCCCATATACATTAAAGGATCACCATAGGGTCAGGAACACAAACCTGTATTCCTGACCCTATAGTGTTAAAACCACCATCTAGCCCCCCCTGTGCCCCTCAAGCCTCCATAAATATAGTAAAACTCTTACTGTATTCAAGCCAGAAGCTGTAACTCTGCATGCTGTTAAGACTCAGAAAAAAAGTTTGCTGACATCATCAGAAGTGGTAGCCTGATCCAATCACAGTGCTTCCCCATAGGATTGGCTGAGACTGACAAGGAGGCAGATCAGGGGCAGAGCCAGCATGATTCAAACACAGCCCTGGCCAATCAACATCTCCTCATAGAGATGAATTGAATCAATGAATCTCTATGAGGAAAGTTCAGTATCTGCATGCAGAGGGAGAACATTCTGAATGTTTGGATGCATTTTAGGCAGCCATGACCCAGGAAAGATTTCTAATAGCCACCTGAGGAGTGACCAGTGGAGTTGTCACTAGGCTGTAATGTAAACACTGCATTTTCTCTGAAAAGACAGTGTTTACGGCAAAAAGCCTGAAGGTAATGATTCTACTCAGCAGGACACATTCAATAAGCTGTAGTTTTTCTGGTGACTATAGTGTCCCTTTAAATATACTATACAGCACAAAGATACATGATATATTCAATGTAAATAAAGCAGCTTTATTTCACGTTCATCCGTTTTAGCCCTGTTTCTTGGAGGTTACTCTTCATGTAACACCCACCTCCAGGCCATCGTAGTCCAGCGTTTTAGTGTGCAGCTCTGGCGTTCAGAATCTCCACGCTCTGCATGGAGACGCTAAGAGATTCCCATAGAAATACATTGAGTCAATGCGCAATACCCTCCCACTGCTTACGTATGGGAAAGTATTGCACTGGCTGAAATCATCAAGATTAATGATCTCAGCCATGGAGGCTGGGTCAACAGAGGCAAGACTGGAGCGGCTAAGGAGAAATGGTGAGTAAAAACAGTTTCCCCATGGAATCGGACGATGCCAGTCATCTCCTTCTCTGCCGCCGTCAACCGAAGGGAAGAACCAAAAGTGCATTAGGCCTTCCCCATAGGAAATCATTGCCGTAATACTTTCCTATGGGTATTTTCAACATGTTAGATGTCCTCATACAAAGCATCAGAACACTAAGCGTTTCATAGAGTCAAATTTGGTGAAGCTCCTGGAAGCGCCTCTAGAGACTGTCTGGTAGATCTATGTAAGTTAATAACTCAATAGAGTAAGTGTCTCTATTGGCTACAAAGCTCTGTAATGGTCTCTCTGTAAAGTCTTGTTCCTGAGCGAAGATCTAGTCATTTCCCAAACTCAGACTCCTAAACCACAGAAGTTTGTAACATTATAAGACCACTTTGCATGTGATATTGCACATGCTAGAACATGACGCATTTTCAATCAGCCTACCTGAATGTGCTGAGCAGAAACATCGGGGCTTGAGAAGAACAGTTGGTTGACGCCTGCTGCGTCAGGAGTGGATAGATAAACTTTCCCCTGGCTAGAGTCTTGTCTAGCCAAGATTACTTTGCCTGAAGAGCTGTCATTATTGGTCACAATATACTGCTTGCTTGCTCCACTCTGATCAAGGGCAGTTACAATCTGAATCTTCTGACCTGTTTGTTGATCTGTGACAAACTGAGGAGATAAACAAAAGGCAATCTTAACTCAAATCTTCATCCATTATAACATTTAGGGTCTTAATCTTAATGTGATAAAATCAAAGGAAAAGAGCAATTGGGGGACAATTGTTTTCTTGTATTATTTCCATTTATACATAGGCATCTTGTACTTATATTGTGCTTTGTCTGTAATCATTTTACCGCAAAATGGGTTACCTGTGCTAGTTTGATAGATATAGGAAAAATTGGGCTTCAGCACACCTTGACTTGGGTAACATTTGGGTTAGACTTACCTGAAGGGTATATATGAATATTGAAGATTGACCTCCGATACCCATGACCGCATGTGCTGGGGCTGAGCATACGTTTTAATATGCTATTATTGCTGTATGTTAAATAAGATTTCTCTCAGTCAATTCTGTATCAAAATACTAAAATGTAGACTAGAAGCTTATTTGAGCTGTGCCCCATGTCACCAAATGATCATGTTTGCTTAAATCAGCACTATGCCAAAACAAGTCTTTGAAGTCCCTTGGCATGATGGTCCTATATATTTATTGTATTAACTTGTGTGTTTGTTGCCGTTTGCTGCATGTGTTATGTATGAGTGCTGCAGCTGCTTTGTAGTTTTGTATTTGCATTAATGTGAGCTCTGTTATAATGCGTGTGAGCAGTTTGTGGTATATGCACACTGTCAGGGCACATAATTACACATAACCAAATACACTGTTTTACTCACACACAATTATAAACAAATATAAAATCACATCACAAGACAAATGCACTATAACACACTACTACACCCACATGCTGACAATGCAGTTATTTTTAGCCACTGACCTTTTTGCTTAGCATTTAGCAAAAGGAGAGTGGCTTTCCTGGGGTTCAGTGTGAACTGGGCTGGTCGGACACTGGGCAAGGGCAGCAGCTTTGACAGGCTGATCTCTTTCAGCATGGTTTCTCCTTCACAAATGCTTTGAGGAATTGATCTGGGATCTCAGTAATACAGGACTAGCCCTATACTTCTGCGGCAACTAGACACTAGCAGATTTCTGAAGTAGTCCTACTGCTACCGCTGTAAGTCCAGGTCTGGGGAAAATCCTCATATTTACCCAACTTGTTTGGCTCTGACAACTTTGCGTGCTGGGCAAACGCACCTTGCCTGGTATGCATGTCACAAGTTTCTGAACCCTGGTGCCTAAACTATTTCCAAATAAGTTTATATGTGTCCCTATTGTACTTAGCTGCAAAATATGTTTGTTTTATTTAAATAATTACAATAATAGAAACTTTTACACAAACATACCTGTATTCGTTGTGGTATGGAAACACTAGATTCCGATGGAACAAGTTGTATTCTCTGTGTGTTTCCATCCAGTAATGCAGTGTGTGTAACTTCTCCCTGAGAGCGAGAAATCTAGATAATCAAAGACAATGAATAAATAAATGTGTAATCAATGAACTTGTTTGCTTAAACATAAAAAATAAATAAAAAAAAATAAAAAAAAAAAAAGTTCTTGCAACATACAAATCTTGTTTATCCAATGAGGCAAACTATTACAAATTTTGACAGAAACAATAGGTTGAAATATGATTTCTTGTCTGCAGCCTTTGCCAGCTCTCCCCTTCTAACCCAACACAGACTTTCTATGGCTGTCCAATCACAGACTTTGCAAGGCAAGTGCTCTGAGCAATTACGCCACTAAGCTGAACAAGCAGGAAGTAATGGGATTAGTTGTCTATTTGACAGCCAGGGGTGTAACAAAGTTAATTTAGAAAAGTGCCAATTCCTGATGAAATCTATACTTTTTGTGAAATTAAGAGGAGGGGAAAAAAAAAAGGCACACTTCACATATCAAATAACATCAGCAAGCTATATGTCTGGATTGTCCCTTTAATATAGTTTTTCTTTCATAGCAATGGCTACTCCAGCAATGATTACTCCATCCAAATACAGTGGCTGGTTGGAGTAACCCTTTAACGTTTTGTGCATCAGACCAAAAGGATCTCCATAAAAGATGACATTTTAAAAAGGACTCTGAATAATCCCACAATGTTTGTTACTGGATTTATTCACTAAACACAGGGTTAATCATTAGTGATGTCCCGAACGGTTCGCCGCGGACAGCGAACATATGACCCTGTACCTCACAGTCAGCAGACACATTCCAGCCAATCAGCAGCAGACCCTCCCTCCCACCTCCTGGACAACATCCATTTTGAAGCTGCATTCTTAGTGAGCTGTCCAGGAGGTGGGAGGGTCTGCTGCTGATTGGCTGGAATGTGTCTGCTGACTGTGAGGTACAGGGTCATATGTACGCCGTCCGCGGCGAATCGTTCGGGACATCACTATTAATCATTAAACAGTGTATTTTCAAGAACTCTTCAGTGAATTGCACATTTTACACCAAAATAGAAGAATTGAAAAAATCTCCAAGTCAGCTTTGTTATCAACTTAGATATACCTGCCTTTAGTTTGCAATTCCCAGCTGAATTCCAGACAATTTAAAATCTAGAGAATATCATTGCCAATGAATTGGGACAATTTTGTAACCATAATGTGGAAGATAGTATACCTGTCCCATTTGCTGCTCAATGATCTGATGTGCTAATTCTTCTATAGAAGCCATGACTGTTTTCCCACAAAGCAACTTTTTGAGAATGTTATGTGAAATCCAGTTTTAGGCTAAGTTAGATCTGTAATGACAAACATAAAAAATAAAAAAAGGATTACACAATTAAATAATGTATATTTCTGACACAGAGTTACTTCACTGCCTCATGAGGATTACAATAGATTTATCCTACTTGTGTAAAAATGTACATACACTTAACAGTCACCACATTTAAAGGGCCCCAAACAATTTGTGCTCATTAGATTTAGTATAAGATTCTATCTATGCATTGTGCTAGCAGTTTTGCTAGCAAATGTATATATTAGGAGAGAAAAAAAAATAGATTTTTTTCTCCCAGCTGTCAGTCAATGCTTCTGCCTCTCACAGAAGATTCCTCTGCTCTCCATCCAATGCAACCACAGCACATGCGCTGTGATTGCTATGAAAACGCTTTAGTCGGTGCTTCTAGCGCTGGCTAGGGAGTATAGGAAGGGAGTGATGTGACGTCACTCCATTACAATGCCACGCACTGGCAACAAAGCAAATGTGCCAACATAATCGATGAGATTTTCCCTGCTTGGAGATGCGTCTCAAGAGGGCAAATCAAAGAAGACTGCATGGAGGTTGCAAACGCAGTAACGTGGCTGTCTGTACTACATACGCAAGCCCTTTAGGAAGATGAGAATATGAAGGTCATAGTGGAAAACAGGATACAAATGTATAAGATGGATTTATAGTATATATATATATATATATATATATATATATATATCTCTATCTATCTCCAAAGCCGGCTGCACAGATAATGCGGATGTTTGCATTATCTGTCCAAGACGGTTTGCAGGAGGTAGTGGCTTAGCTCAGCACTCCCAACCTATAATAATGCTCATGACTGGATGGCTTTGGATTAATAATGTGGAAGTGAGACTTAGGTACCAGAAGAACCCTGCTTTTTGTCAAACCGTTGAAACAGATCGGCAGTTCACCCTATGTCTCTTTAAACCATAACCACTACAATAAGCATTAGGGATTATGGTGCTTAAAATGCTCTTTAAGATTCCATTCAGGTATGCATGAGGTACTGACCTTATTAAATATATAAAACTGCATCATAGTTCTATAACACAGGGGGGGTGGGGGGGAAACAAGCTTTTTTTTTTTTTTTTTTTTTTAAATAATAGTGATTCAAGGATTTTACTATTATCATGACATAATATGACACGGAGACGAGTATTATGCTGCACTCTTTCTTTATTTCCCTCAGCAGCAAAGAACATTTTTTTATACACATAACCAGTAAATAACAGTAATAGTCTGAGCAGTAATCTTCCCAGTAACAGGAACCGCCAATCAGATTCCATTCTCTCCAGCATAATAGGCTCTGACAACCAATCCGTTTCCTCTTTATTTGTGGTCCCAAAAAAGTATAACTATCCAACCAAACATGGAACCATGTACAAAGGGGATGTCCACATCAATGTGAAATAAATCAGGCTGTAAGAGAGGAAAGATATGGTAATATCCTAGTATAAAACTGGGTATACGTATAAATCACACATATCCGAGATAGAATTTAATAATTTTTCTGCCAAAGGGAATATTTATTCTAAAGAACTGGGTGAACACATAGGTATTAAGTTAGCAAAACTAAAAACTTTACCTATTTAAGCCAAAGAGGATAATTTAATTCTTGACGAGCATTACAGGAGGAGAGATATATGGTCAACAAACCTACGTGTATCAACTTACCCACCTTCAATCCATCTGTCTGCGGGTGGGTGGGAGGGATAATACTCGCCTCCGTGTCATTAATAAAATCATGACTTTACGCCATGGTAATACTAAAATCCTTGAATTTTATTAAGACACAGAGACTCCTATAATGCTGGTTTAAAGCTGAGAGATTACCTTTCCCGCGAAATGTTGTATGGGTTTAAAATAATGTCTTCGAGACGACAACCCATCGAAGAGGCCTTGGAAGCCATCGCTCCTCGAACTGAGTGAGGTGAGAATAGTGAGGTATCGATTCCCGCTGTAGACATAATCCATTTGACCCAGCGAGCTAGGATAGGAGTAGACGTGTGAAGTTCATAAGTCTGTAGGCATTTGACCGGACATAAGGACGGCCTGTCAGGGAATGCTGGGTATGACACTTTCTTTGATGACGTCTTCGTTCTTCGCGATATATCGAATGTGACCCCTTCCGGGGTGTAGGAACGTGCTGTAATGTCCAGGGCTCTGACATCGGAAACCCTCTTTCAGGATAGGAGGTAAAGGAGCATAGCCAGTTTCGCTGACAGCTGTTTCAGGAATAGAAGTGCATTAATTGGCCATGATTCAAAAAAATTGAGGATGATGGAAACATCCCATAGTACCGAATATCGTGGTAGTGGGGGACGAATAAATTTGATGCCACGTAGGAGTCTACATATCAGCGGGTGGTGTCCTATCGGGACTCCATCTACACCTCGATGTATAGCCGATCGGTACAGATTCACTGTACGATATGCTTTGCCGTCCTCAAATAATGATGCTAGGAATTGGAGGATCGAAGTCGGAGGAGCCGATAAGGGATCCAAGTCTTGTTCCAGGCACCAATCACGCCACCTGTTCCATGAAGACTTATAGGCTTGTCTCATGCCGGGTGCCCATGCACCCTCGAGAAGGAGGAGAGTTGACTCCGAAACTCCCTCGATTGCCCAAGGTCCCCTGAAATCAGCCACACCGTGAGATGTAGTAGGCCTTGTTGTACCAGGAGGTGAGGGGATCCGTCCGGGTCCTGAAGCAGGTACTTGAAGTGTGGGAGGATGTGGGGTATGTCTATTGCCATTTCCAGGAGGGAGGGGAACCATGGTTGGGAGGGCCATAACGGTGCCACAATCACCAGAATTCCAGTCTGGCGTCTTACTTGAAGTAGGCAATGGGGGCTCAATGCAAACGGTGAAAAGGCATAGTTCCTTGTGGATGAACAGTCTTGGGTGAACGCATCTGTTGCCAGAGCTGATGGGTCCGGTCTCCAACTGAAACATCTGGGGCGTTGTGTATTTAAGTGGGAGGCGAGAAGATCTTTGTCCATGGGGCCCCATAACGTCTGGATGTCTCTGAAGATTCTGGGGTCCGGTTGCCAATCGCTGGGGTCCCTGAGGTGACGTTAGTACCAATCTGCTGTGGTGTTGCAGAGGCCCGGGATATATTTTGCTGTGACCAAGGTGCCTTGTGTCAGGCAGAACTGCCAGAAACCCCGTGCCATGTTCGCCAGGACCCTCGATTTTGTGCCCCCTAGATGGCTGATATATCGGACTGCTGATATATTGTCCATCTTCAGAAGGATAGATCACTGAGCTTGAGTTGGCGAGAAACTGTGTATTGTCAAAGATCCGACCGGGAGTTCTGTGCAGTTGATGTGGGGGGGGGGGGGGAAGATTCCATGTCGGACCATCTGCCACCTGTAGATACATTTCCACAGCGAGCACCCCAACCGTGCAAACTCGCGTCGGATTCTATTATGAGATCTGGTGTGGTGCTGAAAATGGCAGGTTTCCATATGGAAGAGCCACTATTTCAGTTCGTCTTTCGCTTCTGAGTTCAGAGTGATCAAATCTGTGTAGGAGACCCCGTCTATCAAATGGGAGGCTTGTAGGCGTTGTAACGCTCGGTAATAGAGAGGGCCCGGGAAGATGGTTTGTATGGAGGCCGCGAGGAGACCTATCACTCTCGCCAACGGTTTCAGAGTAAGCTGGGGAGTCGCCAGCATGCATCTGATTTCCTTCTTTATACTGTTTAGTTTTGTCATTGCCAGGTGTAGGGTCTGAAGCGTAGAATCCACGATGAGACCCAAAATTGTTATGTGGGAATCAGAATCAGACTGACCCATGATGAGGATGTCGTCTAAGGAGATTACGAGACGTACTCCTCGACTTTGCAGTAAGGCGACCATGGGCTTCATTCGTTTGGTGATGCACCATGGGGCTGAAGACAGTCCGAACGGGAGGCAGATGAATCTCCATTTTTTTCCTTGCCATATGAATTGCAGGAAGTCTTGGTGATGCCGTGCAATCGGTACTGTGAGATAGACGTCCTGCAGCTCTAACTTCACCATCCAGTCTGATGGTTGGAGGAGATCTCTTAGGCATTGTATGCCTTCCATCTTGAAACGATAGTAGGCAACATAAATGTTGAGTTGTCTCAAATTGATCACTGGGCGGGCACTGCCGCCTTCCTTGGCAACTAAGAAAAGGTTGCTGGCATAGTCTGGGGTGGACATAGGGATCTCTAAGATGGCTTGTTTGTGTGCCAATTCCAGAACCTCATTGGAGACAAGGGAGGCGTCTTGTCGGGAAAAATTAATTTCCCGTGGTGGGGAGTATTATACTGGTAGGGACAGGAATTCTATGGCATACCCTCTTACAGTGTTCAACACCCATGTATCTGATGAGCTGTGTGACCAAGCATTGAAAAAAATGTAGGAGTCTGCCCCCCACTGTCCCTAGGGAAGAATGAAACTTGAGAGGACTTACCATAAGGTCGTCGTCCTGAGTGGGTGCCTCGTGATCCACGTGCAATCCATGGCCGCCCACGTTGTGGGAAGAAGGCCGGGGTGTTGCGGTGTTCCGCAAAGGTAGGTTGTCCAGTGTAGGAGCCTCGGTTCTGTCTAAATGAGCCCCTGTTAATACGGCCGGACAGACGGTTCCTGGCTCTTCCGGCCCCACCAAAAACCTTAGGGTGGAAAATCTTGCGCATATTTGATTGCACTTTATCTAGGGCAGTAAAAGTATATACGAAAGAGCCAAACTCTTTGACAAAATTGTCCCTGAACAGGAGACCTTGGAACAAAACGCCCGGCTCGTTTATAGCCATGTTAACCAACTTGGGTTCTACTTTCAATAATATTGCTTTGCGATACTCCGTAGCCATCGCAGAATTGGCATTGCCAATCAAAGAAATCACTCGTTGTATTCAGCCACTTATGGTGGTACGATCCAACTCTTGGTCGTTTTCGACCATATGAAATGTCTTGGTTGCTGGGCCCAATATATCCAATATCTTATCCTGGCAGTTGTGCAGGGAGAAATTTAGGCCTTTGTTAGGCTTCCAGCCTGTCTTGCCCAAGAATTGGGTGATTTTGGGGTCCACTGCAGGTGTTCTGCAGGCATCATCTGGGACAGTGGTCCGTGGGCATTTTGCCCAAAGTTTATTTCATGTCGCCTTATCTAAGGGCTTGCGAACTCTAGACGCTATATATTTGGCCACATGGACTGAAGGGGACCATTCTGCTGACCGTGGATGACGTAGATCATCGGGGTTGAACAGAGGTTCCCCATAAGGGTCCAAAATGTTATCTGCATCTATTGGGGTTTTAAGCTCCGTGTAACATGAGTCAGATTGAGGCGTATTACGCTCTCGGAAATAGTCTTAGGCCAGGCTGATTCGGGATCCTCCAGATCCTCTGGATCCATATAGGTCTCCTCCTCAATCTCGCTGAGATTCGACTCAGAATCTAGTTGGGCTTTTACCCTTCTCCATAGTCTAGCCGATTGTGCCCGGCAAGTGGCTCTTTTGCGCGGTGGCAGATTAGGCAACTGAGGCGGGTGCCCTACACATACGTGATCCACGAGCGGACCGTCAGGCGAACGGGTTCCCTGACGTGTTTGAGCTCCGCGAAAGGGCGGCGGTTAGGGAAAAAAGGCACGACGCGCTTCGATAGGGTATCAGCGGCTCCAGCTGACGTCCCTTAGCCCGCTAGTGATGGGTTCAGGGAGTCAGGCTGGGGCCAGTGAGCTCCAAGGGGGGAATATAAAACCAAACATGAAGAGAAATACGAAAGGGGGGTGGGGGGGGGGAGTGAAAGCATGCAACAAGCAAGCAATGATAAAAAGGTCCCATAGGAAAAGCTAATATGGTTGAAAGACTTTAGCATTAATGATAAATCGATAATAATACTAAAATATATCAAATAATATATCAATAATAATGATAATAAAAATATCACAAGAAAAGTAATAATCCCACAGTTAAGAACTGAGGGATCCGATGTACTTAACTGAGGGAGCAGCAAAGAAAGAGGAAACGGATTGGTTGTCGGAGCCTATTATGTTGGAGAGAGGAACCTGATTTGCGGTTCCTGTTACTGGGAAGATTACCGCTCAGACTGTTACTGTTATTTACTGGTTATGTGTATAAAAAAAATTTCTTTGCTGCCGAGGGAAATAAAGAGAGTGCAGCATAATAGGAGCCTGTGTGTCTTAATAAAATTACTGACGTTTCTGATTACATATTTATATGGGCTGAAAAAAGGCTTGCGTCCATTAAGTTTAGGCTTTCTTACTTACCCTGTTAAAGGGGAACAAACTTTACAAATAATCACATTTATTTAAAATGCTAGAGCTTACTAATAGATGGATTATATTCCCCCTGGGGACAGTGGTGAATATCAAAATCTAGGCTCCCTTTCAAAATATTATTTTTCCTTTGCCTTTCTTTCTCTCCATTTCTATCAATCTTTTTATATTGCTTCGCTTTATGAGGGTGGCTTTATAAATGTAAACTTTGCGTGTGTGTCAGTATTTGTGTGAGTCAGTAAGTCTGTGTGTGAGTATGTCTGTCAGGGTGTCTGTGTGTGTGTCAGTATGTCTGTGTGTGTGTCACTATGTTGTCAGTATGTATATCTGTGTGTGTATGTCAGTGTGTAAACCTGTGTATATTTAGTATATCTATGTTTCTCTATGTGGTCTGTATCTGCATGTGTGTCAGGTTGTGTATCTACGTGTCTGTATGTGCGTCACTGTGTGTATCTGTATGTTATCATTGTATGTATTTGTGTATCTGTATGTTGTCAGTGTGTGTACCTGTGTGTGCATCTGTATATAGTCAGTGTTTTTATCAGTGTATCTGCATGTGTGTCAGTATTTGCATCAGTGTGTCTGAGTATCCATATGTGTCAGTGTTTGTATATAAGTCTCTGTATGTGCGTCAGGTTGTGTATCTGTGTCAGTCTGTATCTGCATGTGTGTTAGTGTGAGTGTCAGTGTTTGTATCTGTGTATCTGCATGTGTTTCAGTGTGTGTGTGCTTGCTGCTACTAATTGCGACTGTGTAAAAATAAAGAGCTGCACATTGTGTTGGCACTAGATAAATGCTATTAATAATAACAACAACATGCCCAGTAAACACAGTTTACCTAGCAAATCAAGGATACGGTGTATGAGCTCACACACGATTATTCACTAAAGTGATTAAAGTAAATTTCACATTTAAAGGACCACTACAGGTACCCAGACCACTTCAGCTCAATGAAGTGCTCTGGGTGCCAGGTCCATCTAGGGTTATCCCTGCAGCTGTAAACATAGCAGTTTCAGAGAAACTGCTATGTTTACACTAGGGTTAATCCAGCCTCTAGTGGCTGTCTCACTGACAGCCGTTAGAGGCGCTTCTCACCGTAAGACGCTGACGTCCATAGGAATGCATTGAGAAATGCTTTCCTATGGACTGATTGAATGCGCGCACAGCTCTTGACGCACATGTGTATTTGGCGTTGAGGTCAGAAGAGGGAGGATAGATCCCCAGCGCCGAGGGAACCCGGCGTTGGTGAAAGGTAAGAGTTTAACCCCTTTCATTCAGCGGGAGTGGGGGGACCAAAAGACCCTATAGTGCCAGGAAAACGAGTTTGTTTTTTTGGTACTATAGTGCTCCTTTAACCCCTTAAGGACACATGACATGTGTGACATCATGATTCCCTTTTATTCCAGAAGTTTGGGATCAAAATAGCCCAGTCGGAGAAATTCCCTATGTCACTTTGAACTCTCACTTTAGTGAATAACCGAGACGTATGTTATTCCGCACATCGGGCAGTGCCACGTATCGACATGGGAATGGCACGTTTTAGGCAGAGCTGTAAAACTAGCAGGGTTATTATTTCTAATGGAAGGCCAGGGCAGCCAATCTGGAACCAGAGCTGGCTTAGAGAAAATGGTTCCAGGATTGGGGGATTACATTTTTCCTTTGAATTCTCCCTTTAGTGAATGCTTCCCCCCCCCCCCGCAGGTTAGTAAGAGCAGCAGGTCCTCTGCCCTGTGTGAGCCCAGTGAGCGCGCTCCCGAGGCTCGTGCCGGGGTGACTGCAGAGCGCGCCCCCGCGCGGAGGGCGGGCGCACAGTGCGCGTGCTCGCGGGGAGGGAGGAGGGGGTGGGGGGGTTGCGGCCCGGGAAGCTATTCCTGTCGGGTGCAGGTCAGAGGTCACGGTGAGAGGGTTACAGCGTCAGTCGGTGACGGCCATGGATGCTGAGCGGAGACACGGCGAGGGCGGGGGGGAGTCACGGGTCACACTGGAGCCCGCTCCTTGCTCTGTGCGCCGCCCGGCCCCGGGCTGGCTCCTACCTGGGCTCGCTGGGCCTCCGGGGTGCGCGTGCCGGGCTCCCGGTGCTGGACCATCCGTTACCCTCCGCTCCCGGTCCCCGGCGGGTCAGAGTTCGTGACCCTCCCTCAGCTTCGCCGAGATGGCGGCTCCTCCCCCGTGACCGAGACGTGCAGGGCGCCGTGATGACGTCATCGGCGCGCTCGGCGGACTGACGCACCGAAAACAGGAAGTGAGAGAGCTGGATAGAGGCAATACTGACCGGGGGCGGATCTAACTTGATATAATGCAGGGGGAGGGGGGCTAGCGGTTGATATAATGCAGGGGGAGGGGGCCTAGGGGTTGATATAATGCAGGGGAGGGGGCTGGGTTGATATAATGCAGGGGAGGGGTTGATATAATGCAGGGGCTAGGGGCTGATATAATGCAGGGGGGGCTAGGGGTTGATATAATGCAGGGGAGGGGGGCAGGTAGGGGGGCTAGGGGTTGATATAATGCAGGGGGGGCTAGGGTTGATATAATGCAGGGGAGGGGGATATAATGCAGGGGAGGGCTAGGGCTGATATAATGCAGGGGAGGGCTAATGATATAATGCAGGGAGGGGCTAGGGGTTGATATAATGCAGGAGGGGCTAGGGGTTGATATAATGCAGGGAGGGGCTAGGGGTTGATATAATGCAGGGGAGGGCTAGGGGTTGATATACTAGGGGTTGATATAATGCAGGGGAGGGGGGGCTAGGGGTTGATATAATGCAGGGGAGGGGGCTAGGGGTTGATATAATGCAGGGGAGGGGCTAGGGGTTGATATAATGCAGGGGAGGGGGGGTTGATATAATGCAGGGGAGGGGGCTAGGGTTGATATAATGCAGGGGGGGCTAGGGTTGATATAATGCAGGAGGGGGGGGTTGATATAATGCAGGGGAGGGGGGCTAGGGGTTGATATAATGCAGGGGAGGGGGCTAGGGGTTGATATAATGCAGGAGGGAGGGGGCTAGGGGTTGATATAATGCAGGGGAGGGGCTAGGGTTGATATAATGCAGGGGAGGGGCTAGGGTTGATATAATGCAGGGGAGGGGGGGCTAGGGGTTGATATAATGGAGGGGGAGGGGGGGCTAGGGGTTGATATAATGCAGGGGGAGGGGGGGCTAGGGGTTGATATAATGCAGGGGGAGGGGGGCTAGGGATTGATATAATAGGGGGGGCATAAAAAAAAGGAATGCAGTGTTACATTACAGCCGGGACTTAGAGACCTGACTGTCGTCTAGGTTGGTGTTGGTACATTGCGGCACTTTTCTCCCCCTCCTCCCCTAGTCCGAGACTAACTTACCAATATACAGTTGTTAACATTTATTTTTTTTTTTACAATTATTCCTTAAGCAGTACTTTAACCCTTCAACTGTCTACCCATGGTTTGTTTTTTTTACTGGTTGCCTAGCAACTAAATTGTAACTTGAATATTGATAGGATACCATTGAGGAAGTTCCTTGTAGGAACATAACGCATCTGGTAACAAAAAGAAAAATTACATTTAACTGTTTGGAGAAAAAGATCATGTTTAGTCCGCTGTGTTTCTTAACATCAAACAAAATATTATTTGACCAGTAAATCCACCAAACTCCTTTTCTGAACCACAAACATCTGATTCTGCTGAATAAAGTTGTTCATCTACACAATATACATTCAGATACCTTACCTTATTATTTACTTATTGTAATAAAATACTTTTTTTTTTTTTTTTTTTAAATCAATGTCACATTCTAGTTCCAAGCTGGAATTAAGTGTATGGGTCCTGTTCCCCAATCCATCATCAGCAGTACTACGATTTCTGAAAGTTGGAACAGCTTGTCCTCGGAGGATTGTTGACACAACGGCTGCCTACAGCATTATTAGTAGTATTCAGACTCAGGATTGTGGGATTAGCAGCATGCCCATTAAATCTGATTCAACACCCAGAAGGCAATTCCCCCCACCATCTATGCATTTCAAGCTGCAACAACCTGCATTGCTGCTTCCACTGGCACGCTGCTTCCACTGGCACTGCAGCTCCATCTGCCAGAGCTAGTTCAAGCATTATACCTTCTTGGTACCCCCCTCAAAAAGCAAATAAAGGGGACTGCAACAGTGTCACCAGAGCTACTCCTTAGTGAGGACTTGGCACAGAGTTTCAAAGTAGCATCCCTCAACATGTAGTGTTAGTGGTGATAAATCCAATGATAATGTTTCTTTGAGGCAAACATGCTGTTGTCACGAGTTCCTGGAGGAGCCTACTAGCTAGCCTCCTGCCCAAAGACTATGGGCCGTATCCAAAGACCCTGGTCGGGAGATAAACCTCCCCAGCCACCATTAGCAGCTTTCCCTGGGTGCCCCTGGTTCGGCACTCTACCTTCATTATAATGGAGCCGAAAATTAACTCCCTGGCGGCCATTCGGATGAAGAAACCCGTGAATTGTCTTCAGTGGTACTTAGCTGCGATTGTTATGGAACTAAATTTTGCATGAGGTGACCGTGCGGCTCACGGACAACTTGGTCCGGGGTTTTGAACGACTTTGCAACCCACCAGGAGAACGCTTTTTGGAAGGAAGGTGCCTGCAACAAAGGGGCACAAACGCTTCCCAAGAGCCAACCAGAGCACCCTATATTTTGTATGCAGGAGCCCCCGAAAGTTGACCGGGCAAAGCACCAAATGCCTGGAACTGTTTTGGACATAGGACCACGCATGCGGCCAGTCAGAACTTTCACAGTGGCGATTACCCTACACTGTATGGATCTGAGCACTATTTGGAGAACTTGAGCACTCTGATCAGGGCTATTTGGGGATGAAATTATTTGTAGGGTTATTTTATGTTTTGCGGTATTTTTATGTTTGCCTCTTTTCCTGGGAGATAATTAGCTTACCGGTCTTTAACGCAATTAACTCCCAGGCACAGAGACTTATGGGAAGGGCTTGTCTTACATTGAATGGAGACCCCATGCTGGGGGCTGTGTATAAAAGCAGGCAACTTGGCCATAATAAATCAGTTCCTTTACACCCTTCACTCAGTCTTGACTATTGTTTTGGTGTACCAGCTATACATCTATACTCTCTGCAGGAGAACTTTAGTCACTAGAAGCTGAATCCAGGACCAAGTTCTAGGGTGGGAAGTGATGGCGAGACCCTGGCCAAGCTGCGGCAGCTAGGGGCTGAAGTGGTGATGGTGTATCATTGATGGCTAGGGAGCATGCTTGGCGGCGGTACCAGACGGTCCGCCACATTCCCCACCACTTCAGATGGCACTTTTATCCTCTGGCCCAAGAGCTACTTGATGACCCAGAGTAATTGGAAGCGGAGAGTGTGGAGAGGAAAGACAGAAGCTCACAACCTTCTTAACTGGTGAGCACTCACCTTGTCCATCATCCAAGTGTATCTGCTGTAGAATTCTCTCATCCAACAGAAACCGTTGAGACATCAGCTGTACCTGCTACCACTTCCATAACTTCCTGTCAATGTTACCATTAATAAACCAAGTGCTAGTGCACATACTATGGTTGAAACAGCTTCCACTTCCACCAATTCAAATCCTCCTTCATCTTCAACAGACAAATGTATCGCACCTACTTTCTACTGCTGCGCACTGCATGCCTTGTTACTATGGAACCTGATAACCTGGGATGATTCCACCTTATATTTCTGATTGATTGTTTTTGTAAGGAACCTGGATATCACAGGTGCTACCTTTCTGACTGGATTGTGTCTTGAAAGCAAGAGCCAATCAGGATCTCCCTATTTAAGGAGGGCTTTCTGGCTGCTCTCGGCCCTTTTGTGGTTCCTGTATCCTTAGTGATATTTTAGTCTGATCCGGTTACTGGACTACGTTCTGCACTTGTGTACCTGACTCAGCCTGTTTACCTTATGCCTGATTTAGTGTACCAGTCCCTGGCTGGTCTTACTACCCAACCCTTGTACCAGTCCCTGGCTTGTCTTACTACCCGAGCTGTGTACCAGTCCCTGGCTTGTCTTGCTACTCGACCTGTGTACCAGTCCCTGGCGTTTGCTACCCGAGCCATGTACCAGTCCCTGGCTTGTCTTACTACCCGAGCCGTGTACCAGTCCCTGGCTTGTCTTACTACCCGAGCCGTGTACCAGTCCCTGGCTTGTCTTACTACCCGAGCCGTGTACCAGTCCCTGGCTTGACATACTACCTGACCAGTGTGCCAGGCCCTGGCTTGTCCAACTTCCCATCCCATGTACCAGTCTCATTTGTTCCTGACATTGCTTTTCTTGTGCTCTTGACTAGTGATGTCCCGAACGGTTCGCCACGGACGGCCAACATATGCGCTGTTCAGTCTGCCCCCTATTCGTCATCATTGAGTAAACTTTGACCCTGTACCTCACAGTCAGCAGACACATTCCAGCCAATCAGCAGCAGACCCTCCCACCTCCTGGACAGCTCACTAAGAATGCAGCTTCACAATGAATGTAAAATGGATGCTGTCCATAGGGGGCGGTCCAAACAGCGCATATGTTCGCCATCCGCGGCAAACCGTTCGGGACATCACTACTCTTGACCTTTACCGGTGTCCTATATCGTGCGTTTTTTTTTGTTCCTCTCCCAGCCTGTCTTTCCTTAGTTTTGTCTTGTTACTTTCTAGTTCCTGCTTTACGTTCAGCTACTCTAAGGTCCGGTTATATGCCTCTTCCTATCCCTCTGTCTTTGACTTTGTTAGGTCACTATCTCGCACATAGGATCCTCTATCCAACCATGACACATCTGCAAATATACCGCAAGTTTGTATTATTGAGGGAAGAAGCAGAACAATAAAGTACTAGGGCAGGCAGCAGGTCAACTGGTGCTGTATCTGATACTATGCAGTTGTCAACACCTACCACTAGCGCTACCTCCATTACTGCTACCACAACCCTTAGCAAGAGCAGGTGAAATAATGAGGATAGTGCCAGTAATCAACAGAGGTGGAGATTGGGCTGGAAGACTTGGGAACCTTTTAGTAAGAGACAGATTATTTACTTGTGCATTGTAAATTGCAAACTGCTTCCCTCTTTCACTGCAATGTGTGAGAACGATGGATCTGTGTGAAATAGTATGCTCTCTATTTGGGAATGCAGATCTGTACGGAAATCTGTCTCAGAATGGCTCATTCCACGGCACTACTTCAGAGGAGCATCAAAGAAAAATACTTTTTATTTCTTCATTTATTTATCAGGCTGGAACACAATAAGAGGGGAAACTCGATGTTGATTAAACCAAAACATTTTGTGCTTTAGTAGCACTTGTTCGGAGACCTTGGTGTTTCCCCCATGTTGTTTTGCAGCCCGATACTTTAAAAATGAAGAAATAAAGGTTTTCTTTTCTTGTGGTTTTTCTTGTCCTCCTCCTCCAATTGCACTTTTGGGCATCTTTTTTTTCCCCATCTTCCACCTCATATGTATACTTCAGAGAAGCTGCCATCCAACTTTGCCAACATTAAAGGCAATTATGGAATGGTGGAAGACAATCACGGAATATTGGAATGTGTGTGTAGATTAGACAGTAAGGATCAACAGTGGAGAGATGTGGAGGAGAAGGGAAATTAAGAAAAAAAGATTTGGTTAAAGAATGGACAAGAAGAATACCGAACGAAGTATATAAGAGATGATGAGATCAGAGAGGTGGAAACACCAAAGATAGAGATAAAGAAACACTGAAAGAATTAGGAAATAGCCCAGAGTGCATTTGAAAGATTGGAAAGTGAGTGAGAACAACTTGATAAGGAACCATTCACAAAGGTGAGAACAATTATCTTGGAAAATTACACTGCAATATCTTTTTCCATACAGTTACTTCAATTTGGGAAGCACCATGTATATTATAAATGCATCACTATTTGGTCTGCATCTGAGATACACATTGTCAGAAATACATAAATGTCTAATGAATGTGATCTTACTCCTTTCAAAAACACACATTAAATTAAGATGGGTAGTTGTTATAAAGGGGAAATTAAATTTGGGACGAATAGTGAATATTATATTATAAGTATAGAAAAGTCTACTTCCATTTAAGTAAAAGAGGGCCAGCAAAGACCATATTAGAGTATTTTATAATTTTGCCACTCAATATACTGTATATTTGTTTGTTTCTTTGAGTACACGTTTGCAGAATATTACAGCAGTAAGTTAAAAATGCACATATATTTATTTATATAACTCTAATAGAACAAACAGCAGTGTTTCGAGTGGAGATTTTATCTAAATATTATATATTGACAAAATAAAAAATAGAACATTTCCGTCAGGACGGTGCTGGTAAAAACATATGTACAGTCAAAGGCACTGTGTTTCATATCGGCTGTTGGAATACATTTAACAGATAACGGAGATTCAATAAATAATATGTACATAACTTGTAAAAAAAATGGTAAACTAATTTACAAACTAAAATGAGCACAAGAAACAGGACGTGGTTTTAAGAGTCTAGTAAAGGGTCTATATATAGACGTGTCCACTTGCAGCCTTAGATGGGAAATATAGAAATTCTTACAAAACAGTCCCTTCTTGAAATGCCTCAATCCACCTAATGAGAAATAGAAGATAAAAAAAAGCTGAATTAATTATGGATTTAAAGAAAAACATTCACATTAAACAATAGAGCATTTTTCACCCTGATAAAAAAATACATTCTGTTTTAGTAACTGAATTTGCAATTGAATACAAGATTTGGTTTGCTGTTAAAATCAACTGAATCTCTATGCAAGTATGCTAATTTAGCTATTCACTCACAGCCTATTTACAACCATTTATTTGATTCGATATCCCTTATAGAAACCAAGGAAATAGCACCCACAACTCTAAGTCATCATAATATCCCAACCCCAGTAACACTAACTTAACAACATATAGACTGTAAGCTCGTTTGAGCAGGGTCCTCTTCAACCTATCGTCCCTGTAAGTTTTAGTTAAATCCCCCCTCTCATAATATTGTAAAGTGCTACAGAATCTGTTGGCGCTATATAAATCGCAATAATAACAACAATACCCTTGTGTTACCGAAGCTATGTTTATTTTTTTTTAATTTGTTTACAGTATAGCAGAAAAAAGTTGGCAGCGGTTTGGCGGAGCTATTTCAGACAAATCTCACTGCGCAAATTTTATCAGTTTAACACAAGAGAATTGTGACGACCAAGTCCCCCATTTTTTTTATTGATGGATAAGCTTTCCAAATGATTTAGTTTTTTTGGATAAACGTTTCAAATAATTTTTTTCAACATATTACAATATCAGTAAATGTATTATATATTAAAATATATAAATGTATGGAAATATTATAAAATTAACATTTTCAGCATATTAAATTATTTTAAAAGTTAAACCCTTTAGAGATATGACAATATTAACAGAATTTCAAGCTGATGAATAAATTATAGTAGCCTACGCGTTTTCAATCCAACAATTCATTCTATGTATATTGCATAATGTTTCAGTCAGTAATATTATAAGAAGACAAAATTGGTTGTTTGTGACTATTTTGGAAACCTTACCTTTGCGTAGTGTGAGTATCATCAGCTCTAAAAATATAAAATAAGTTGTTTTTGTGCAATAATTGAATGACGTTCGATTCTGCATTCTCATCGTTCACCACCTTAATTGTAAATCCCAGCAAAGGTTGGCTCTCCAGTGCTGCTATGTCCTAATTAATATAGGAATGAAGTTTGTTAGTCACTTTTGATACCTGACTATACAGAATAAACTTATCTATGAAAAGATCAGGACATGCACGTTCTTAATTAAAAGGACACTTTTACAATATGTTCTTGTACAAATGCACATGTCACATCATAAGCCAACAGAATATATTTAGAAAAAAATGGTTTATCTTGAAACAAGCTGCTGCATTTCGCTATATAACTTTCACTACATTTTGTGAAGAGTCCAGGTGCAATATAAAAAAAAGACTAAAAAGCCTACTCGGGTACTGCACTGTCTCACATGAGAGCATGTCAGCAAAGACAGACTGATGGTGTAATGCATCTTATGTGTTGCTTTATTGAAAGCAATCGTAGCAACGTTTTCAAGAGAAGGCAACTGGACTAAAGATGCAGGAGACAAGAATGTGGGACAATATTTTGATCATTATTGTGCTAAAAGTTAATAGTCTCAGTTAAATTTGGGCTGGCAAAAATCTTGGATTGGAAATGGTTCTGTCATGCTTGGTTTAAAATACACCCTTTTATTTTCTAATCGTGAATTTAGAATGCAAAATGTGATTTCTTTTTAATCCCTCATGCTATCGCCCAATAAATTGTCAAGGTCATCATGGCAGTCAATTTAAACATGTTATAGTACAGTAACTACTGAAGAGTATAAACCTATAAAGAATGTACTTTGAAGACGAGTCTTACCTCACTAGCTGCGTATGTGTAGAGCACTTTGTTCTTTATCACAAACCACAGCTGCTTCCATGGCTTCTTGTTGCCTTTTGACCTCTGCAGATAGCCACTCATGGAAGAGTCTTCTGTGCTAGCGGAGACCTGAAAAAGTGTCCACAGTTTATAGATGTCATTTCGCTAGCAATGCACCATAAATGATTGATATATATATATATATATATAGAAATGATTGATTATATATAGAAATAATCCAATCTATAAATAAAATGCCACGGTGTGTAAAACATGACCTAAATAACAATGACACGTTTCACACTACTGATACAATAAATGGCCAACCCCAGTCTTTAAGAGCTACCAAAATGCTGGTTATTCCAAGATTAGACATCCTGAAATCCAAATAGTAACCTATTAATATAATGCATCTGTTGTGGCTAATACAATGTCATAAGGCAAGTTAAACATTCAAAGCTCACCTGAAGTATATAAAACTAGGAAAAATCTATGACCTGGACATTGCAGGCATATTTGACACCATCTCCATGTATACAGTGGCGTACTCCCTGCATCTTAAGGACAATCCTAACACAATGAAGACACTTTAAATGCCGCACTACGAGTAACACTGCTTTGTCTGGCTTAGTATGAAGGAATTACAGTCCAGTACATTTAGAGTGCTGATTAAACCCCTAACAAATCGGGATAGTCCCCTAAACTATTGCAAACAATGGGTTAAGGGGTACATGGGAAAATCTGTTGAATGGCGCTCTAATGATGCTTTATTGTTTGAAATGCACTGTTATAATGGTGTCATTTTAACATAATTTGAAGAGGATACTGAGACAAAACTACCAAAGCATCTTCAGATTTTAAATGCAACATATGTCATTTTGCAACTACTTTCTATTTTTGTGCATACATGATTTTAAGTTTCAAAATAACAGATTAACTATGGCAAAAGCTGACAAGAGGTGACCTACTTTCAGAGCGGCTGGTATTTTCTTCTGCTTCCTCCCCGATGGAATGCTGTGGAGGACGGAGGACAAAGTGGTAGACGTAGACTTTTGATTGGCAGGTGACGTATTCGGAGTGGATTGACTGTCTATAATAAAAAATAAATAGAAAAATGTAAAAGTCAGCACTTGTTAGAACAATACATCTGGATATATTTTACCCAAAATGCGTACTGTCTACATCAGTGTTTCTACAAAGCGGGCAGCAACACCTCATTTGTGTGGTTCTGCCCCTACCAGTATGCACATATACTCGAGAAAGGTTTACAAACTCATTTTTAACAAATAGAGGCAGTCAGGGATTTAATCTCCAGACTCAACACTTCCAGAAGCACCAAAAGGAGTCATAATGTAATGAGCCACACACTGCAGTAAATACCAATTTGCCCAAATTTACAATCAGTGAAAAGGTGTTTCAGAGTTATTTACTAAAATGAGAATCTAAAGTGAATTTTATATTGAAAGCCAAAATATCATGGTTCTAAAAATTTAGATGTTTGGCTACAGGGAACCAAAAATTAATATACATTTTGAATTCTCATTTGACTAAATAATCTGGTTTGTGTTTAACCCATTAATAATCAATAACAAACCATGTAGGCCATGGTATAATGGGACTAGCCTAACCCCACGATCTTTGACAACATACTCACTGAACATAGAGTGCTTATTTAAACTCTGCAGTGACCGTGGCAATCTGACATCTGGATAAAAGGAATGATATACTATAGAACAAATTCTCACAGCACAGATATTACTTTGATGTTTTGCTTCTGCATCCAAGGTAAGGCTACAGAAATATATTACACCGTATGGATCAGGCCATGTCCTTGTAACATCCGAAGTCAATTGCTACTTTACGGTGTAAAAAGGAACATGTGCCAGCTTCACACGAACCATGGAAAGAAATTGAATTAGAACATATATCTCTAAGAATAACAGAGTGCAGAGGCCATCACCTTGCTTCTGGAGGTTCTGAAAGCAATGATCACAAACGCGCGCCAGATGCTTCTTCATATATTCAAGGCTATGCTTATTCGTCGAACAGGCCTGGCAGATAATCTGGACGGAAAATATCCATTAATTGTTTGATATATTCAAATAACAATAATACAACATTCGAACATTTGACTATGGGAGTTCAAGTTTAATATTTAGAGCTGGGATGTCCAAAAGGACTACCCCTTGTGTTTTATGCTACACTTTCCACATTGATCTGCCAGCCTTATGAGTGGAAATGCATTGTGGAAATTGTAGTTTTTAAAAAGCTGGAGAGACCCTTTTTTGCCATCTATATTTTAGTCTACAAGTCAGAATTTAATATTGCTATTTTTTTTTGTTGCTGCTCTATATAATTAGAATGTTTAAATATCAACATGCATGACTATCTGCAAAAAGCTGGTCTATTTCACAGGGAGCATCCTCAAAGACAATGGATTAAGCTGTAAATGAGCGCATCATGCCTTTAAGGCTATTTGAAATAAATGTGGCATTTTAGAATTGTGAACAATGTCTGTACCCATATTAAACATGAAGTAAGCACCAGAAATGAACAGTCATTTGACTTTATCTCTGGATTTCCATAACACATAAAGAGGGTGAGGCCTGCTAGTTGCAGACAGGGTTGCTGTTTTTAGCACGACCATGGAGGTAGGAATAAAATAATAAAGAAAAAGCACCATGAGTGCTATGGAAGGGGATTCCCTGTTAACAGAATATTGCAGTGACTACTAGATTCATTTTTCACAAGGTGAATTTAAAGTCAAAATAGCTGAACTGGAACATTTTCTACATCGACTATGTTTTACTTCGTCCGAACATTTTAAATTCACTTTTACAACCTGACAATTAAGTTAATAACCCTGACAGTAATTCCTTATTGTGTTTGAACATATAAATTGTGAACAGCACACAGTTTTGCATGTGACAAACCTTTCCACATGCTCTACAATGGTGTCTTCTCCATGTCAGCGTGAATTCACTGGTGCAGATCATACACATAGTGGCTCTGCCGTCTGGAATCCAGATGGGAGCTTTTGACCCCAGAACTCCCCAGTCTCCTTTCTCCTCTAAGTCAGCCTAAAAGAGAATGTGTTTATGTATATTAATATATACAGTGCTAACAGCTTAACACTTTACATGAAAGGTGTAGGCTGAATATAGTTTGGATTAACGGAGAAAAACTTGGGGCCCTGTGGCACCATATTCCTCTCCATCTCCCTCTCCAGGTGGCTTCATATGCTAGGAGTTATGTCACTGATGTATTCTCACTTTTAAACGAGTACAAAGCAGGGATTTATGTTCGAGCCCGTAAGATTCTGGGATCCTCTACAGATGATTTTCAGCAGAATGAGATATCATAGCACTATGGTACATTATGTGGGGAAAAGTTTGAAACCCCTCTTACTTGGCACATTTTGTCATTAATCAGCACTTACTTCAGACAAAAGATAGTTAATGTCATGTGTATCTTCTGATTGCATTGGATTTTCAATGACATTCAGCTGTTACAAGTTTACAATAAAGATTCTATTAATAAGCTTCTCTTTGTAAACCCATGATAGTGATTGCAGAAGTGCAAGGATAAGCAGAGGTCCGATTAAAATGAAGAGTATTCTATAGGCTGAGAGGAGAATGTACTGAAGAGGATAGGTTTTAAAATCTGTTATACCATTGTGTAAGGAGTCATGCAGAGGAGATTTTTTTTGGTTGGTTATTTTTGGTGTTGGATGACAGAGACATTGCAAAATTTTTGCATTGTTATAATGAAGAAAAAAAAAAAAACAACAGATTTAGGTTTGTTCAATAACTGCTTCATGACATGTCCCAGAAATTTTTTTGAAAATGTGATTTATCAAACTTTTTATAAATGATTAAAGTTTATAGTAAATGAACAAGATATCAAGGTATAAAATGGTCATATGGATAACTGGAGATATTATAGCAAGAGTAAAAGCAGAGTGGGTAGTTGCTGCTGGTATTATAATCACTATAGTGCGTTTCTAATGCTATAGTGTCTTGTTAAACATTTAGGTCCTTGGTGTCATGCCAAGGGTGCATAATTCATTGTTACACTATTGAATATAGCCATTTAATGTAATTTGTGTGGTGCATACATGAATTGGCCACTTGGTAGGGGGCCAGGTGACAAAAGGGGTAATGCAAATTGTATAGGAATGTGAAAGGGGGCAGGTGGTTTGCAACATGGATGGATCCCATGATTAATCAAAGGCTCTGCAGGGTGTGAGATTCTACACTGGATATGCCTGGATATCTAGTTCCAAGCTCTGCAGTGTGTAAGATTTTACACTTGAGATGCCTGAATGTCTAATTCTGGTGTAAACTAGCTGACTTCACCCATATGGCCTCTGCCTCTTAATTGAGTTGTTAATTTATTTGATATGTTAATGATCATTAGCCTTGCGTTCAAGAATTTTTGTTATATTTACAATGGGACAAGCATCATCTTCTAAACAAGCCCAAACATGATTGGCATAACTTGACCATATGGGAAAGGATTGGGATGTCCGCTATATTGGGTCACAAGTAAGAAGTGTGACTTATCTATGGAATGGAGAAATGGTAACAAATTCATAGATGCAATTATCATTTCTTTGGCAAGTACAAAAGAGGAGATAGAAGAAAACGTGACAAATTTTTTTGCTCAAAATAAATATTCCTTTATTAAAAGGTAAAGAATCACATTACCTGAAGAGACTAATTAGTATCTTTGCAATTCCTTAAATATTGTGCTAAGTTGTATTTGGTGGGATTTTTTTTTATAATTGATTTACCTGGGGGACCAAGGCACCCCATTTATAAATTGTCTTGGTGGTGGCAGCGTTAAAATAGTAATATTCATATTATTTATGCTTAAGTGTGGGTGGTGTTAAGGGAGATTTTATCATTATTTCCGGTCTAGTACAGACAAATAGTGAACTATAATGCTTTCACCACCACAACTACGTCACGCACACTCTTGGAGTAGGGTGCGTTGTAAGAAGTAAAAAAAAAGTTTGAATCTCCTGTTCTCTTGCGCAGCTGCCATCCTGCCTCCTTGGTTAAGATCATCAAGATCAATGATCTCAGTCAATCTAATGCTTCCCCAAAGGAAAGCATTAAGAAACAAGTGCACATACACACCAAAACGCCATGCTGTGCAAATCAAATGGTCTATATGAGACCATTTGATTGAAACAGTGTTACTCTGCTTTTTCGTCGAAAGTGGTTCTAGTGGCTGTCTGAAGGACAACAAGTAGAGGTATTTATACTCTGCAGAATGGCAATGTTTTCAGCTGGAGGGTTAAAACTGGGGTACACATGGCAAACAGACCACTTCATTGAGATGGATAAAGAAAGTATGTACTGTTTTGATTTTTTTGAAATTTATTTTTAGCAATGGAATGTTACAACTACATGGATAGAATGGGAAGAACATATTTTAAGGTTATTATAAAATGTATTATTTACCTCCTCCTGACTTTTAGCTGGATTAAAAGTTATTTTCTTCTTAGTGTGCTCTTCGATTGCTCTAGAAATTGCTTCGAGCCAATCATCTCTCTCTGTAGCCGAGCTGGCAGAAAGAATGAAGGACCTTTCCACACTTTCTATATTCAGTTCATTCTGATAGGCTTCTTGGGTTGGCTTCCCCACCTGAAAAAATACAGACTCCTATGTGAATTCCAGCATACCCCTGAGAACAACTGGAAAACTCAATGTTGTCATCCTGTGTCCTCATGAACAAGACTGTGGCAAGATCTGGTGAATAAAAAAAAGTTCATCTGCCAATTAAGCACTTTAACAATCCATGACAAATTTGAAAGTGGTGAGGAGCTGTGTTTTACATGCCATTCCTTTTCCCTTTGATATTGTGATACATGTAATCCTTTACATGTATTTCTCACAAACCTCAGTTTTTGCTGTCCTGAGAACACTGTTTATGAATTAGTTTGCATTCTACAGGTCCATTGAAATTTCTTTTGATTAAAAGGCAGAATTGTAACAGACAACATTTAAAGGAGATACAAGAACCGTTCTTTTTACATATGAATTCCTATTTGACCTCATGCCAAAGTAATCTTGCTTACAGAGACATTGGAAACCCATACAGCAGTCAGAGATTCAGGATTTTTTTTCTTACCTTCATTCCTGCCAGGGAGAGCATGTTGTTTAGTTTGTACATTCCTGACTGTACGGGCGTTGTATATAACAAAGCATCGTTAAACTGAAAGACAGAAAAATATAAATACTTATAGCCTGAGCCCAGATGCCTAACATAGTTATCAGTCTCCCCTGCTATCCAACATTCGAAAACACACAAATAACCATGGTCTCTCCTGATAATATTTCTGTTTAGTTTTCTTCAAGCAGTTAGAGTTAGAGAATGTTATTTTCATTAACTTGGCAACTTACCAGAAAAAACATTCGTGGCTGCATGACCTTCCTGGAGAGTTTCATCAAAGTCCCCTCTTTCAAGAAGACCTGAGTCATCAGAATGAGACAATGAGCTGGGGTGCGTTTCATGCAATCTTGTATAATGAAACATATTGCTACTAAAACAAAGATATGGCAATACTCCCCTGAATAAATAAATGTAACTCATTTTATGGTTCATCAAAACTTACTAAACTGAAAGGCACACTATGTTTCCATTTACACAAAGCTAGGTTATTATACAATGTACACAGGTATAAAATAAAGCAATAATTTGTATTCTAATTATTCCCTAAATTACCCACCATAGTCTCTTGCAGAATTGCACCTTAGTTAATTATTTGCTAAATTAAATACACTGATGTCTTCCCAGAGTTGGTAACTCACATGTAACAGGGCCAAGCTGTGCTCCTGATCGGAGTCAAATAAGAATCAAGGAAGCTCTTTATACTTGGCAAATCCCATCAGTACTTTGTTAACCACTGCTTGGAATTTTAGCATTGCTTCAAAGCACTATTTAGTGAGCATTATACTTCCATTTTTTACACTAGACATAACCAGTCCAAACACTTGCACTATTGAGATTTTCTTTCTTTCTATTTCTCAATGTATCTTTTACAGCCAAGAAGTTATACACAGGGCTATTCAGTAAAGCGTGAATTGTTTGTAGTTTAGAGTGAATTCAAAGTTAATTTCAGGTTTTAGATAAAAACAGCTGAACGGAAAACATAGTTGAATTTAGTTTTTTTCCCAATTTGGATATTTTGGCCTACCATTTTAAGTTTGTGAATAAATTGATAGATTTACTATTGATATACATTTTAATATTAATAGGGTTAAGAAATTCTTAAACTTTTTTTAGTTGCTTACATTTTATTTTGTATTCTGCTAACATTGCAGAAAGTGTAAATCTAATTATATATCAATATCATTATAATGAATGCTTATCTCCAACACCCTCAATTGACCGCCATCATATAAAAGCTAAACAGAAACATCCAGAGTAATAAACACAATAAACATAGAACCAGCAACAAGTCCTATAATTTGTTAGCATGTAAGCTGGATAAAAAGGATACTTTTGATAAAAAGTACTCCTCCAGCCCGCCACCCGATTTATCTTCTGTTTGCTCATTTGGTTTGATAATGTCACGTGGAAGAAAAGTTAGATTTTTTTCTTTAAAATTGTTTTTTTTAAACTATACAGCAAACAATACATTTTTTTTTTTTTTATAAAAAAATTTTTTTAAAAGGATTATGTATTCTCACCCGTCCTGGCTGAACGATTTCATGATGGCCACTGAGGCTGTACTGGATCTGCATGAGCTTTTGGAAGTTGTCCTTAAAACATAAAGAAACAATATAGTTCAATATCTTGAGGGATTTAAGGTCTATAAAAAAAATAAACTGATGACTGATGAACTGATGATCTCAGCCAATTCAATACTTTCCCATAGGAAAGCACTGTGCCGAGCCAATCAGATCGTCTCTATGAGACCATCTGGAGAAATAGTTTTACTCTGCTATGTTGGAGGAAGTTCCTCTAGAGGCTATCAGAATGACAGCTACTGAAGGCATTTAAGCCCTGCAGTTGCAGGTTTAAGCAGACAGGGGCATGGCATGGATAAAGTGGTCTGGGTGTCCTTAAATTTTTTTTTATATTTGCCTTCTGGTCAAGACAGTTTCTTACACAACTTAAGCATTATGACCTACGTTTCCTTTATTTTTTCTCAGTACCACAGTATATGTTGGTGCTTTACAAATGAACAGCCCAGACATGCCTGCACCAACCTAAAGCATACCAATAAAAATAAATAAATGAATAAATAAATAGAAACACAACTTACCCCTTGCTTCAGTATGTCATTGGCATGATTTGCCACTTCAATTACAACACTTAAGGCAGCTGTAACAAAAAAAAAAAGGGGGGGGGATTAGTTTGTTGCATAGCTTCTTACACAAACTTATTCTGCTACCTTTAAAGGAGCAGTCCAAACAGCATATACATGACATCACTTTATAGTGGTTATGGTGTGAGAAGTCCCTTGGGTCGTCACATAGAAAATTGGAAAACCATTGTCGAACTGTGTGACACTTATCTGGGTCCTCCAGGTGCCTCCAGTCCATCTCTGTTTCCTGACAGAGTGAATGGAAAAATTCCTAATTCTGTATGAGTGACATCAATGTTGTCCCTATCTGGACAGAATTTAGTTGAGTGAAAGCTATCCCTCTCAGTGAATGAATCCTGTCCAAATAGGGATTTACTTAATAAATCTATTGTGGAGTTAGGAACTTATGCTTTAGGTATATGCGAATAAAGGGCCTGTGGGACCCAGGTAAGTGTCAGACCATTCAAAAACGGTTTGGCTACTCACTGTAGGATAGTATAGAGGGAGTCCTTGTACGAGGTTTAATAAATAAAGGTATATAGTAGCCATTACTTCAAGAAACGTTTATCAGACATTCTACTAGGCTGTGGATACCAAATAGCAGTGTATATAAAAGTCATACATATAAGGCATGCGTGCATGCAATTTTAAGATTAAAAAAAAAAAACTAATCATCATTACACCACTTATAATGGAGTTTGCTTGTATTAAAATGAGCAGGGTTGTCTTGTGATCAACCACAGGTATCAATGGGTCAGTCAGCAACAAGGAGAAAGCAATATGTTTCTGTCTCTTGCTACATTTAGGAGCCCAATTCTCTGTTTAACACATTTTAATTGTATAGACTTCTATATCTTTAACCTTGTACTTGTTATACAAAAAGGCCAGTATATTTACCTTGTGTATCATTGTAGTCTGATGAATCCTCTGAAAGATTTTTGAGATAATCTGTAAAAAAAAATAAAAATAAAAAAATCAAGTATTTGTTTCATGTATATCATAAATCAAACAACAGAACAGAAGGTTGTACTGATCTGGGCCTGAGTATGATGTAAATGGTGCTGGACAAGTGAATGAATATCTAAGATATCCTGCCTAAAGAAGTGACTGGTGTGACTGTTCACGAAAAGCGCAAGGGAATCATTGATACAGGACTAAGTTTGAGAGAGCCTGTGTGGAATGCAAATGGCAGGTGGAACACACGCTGGAGCAATTTGGATCTCCATAATCTTGTTTCGTCTGTACGATCTCTAGCTCTCTTAAAAAACAGTGCCAGTGCAAGATCAGTATCATTCAGACCAGATCCCGACATTTATATTGAGACATTGTATCTCCCTTTATACACAGGATTATATTATCTTGGAACATTGTGTCTGTATACTCTGATTTTGGATTCAGTATTTTGTATTTATTTTTGCACCTTGGAATAGCAATATTTAAAAAGACACTATAGTAAGCTTAATGTAGTTGTCCTGGTGTCTACAGCCTCCAGTGTTTACATTAGTGCCTAGGAACACCGCTAGTGGCAGTCACTCGGATGGCCACTAGAGATGCTTTCCTGGGTCAGTGCTGCCCAGTGTGCTGCACTGGCGATCAGAGTCTCCATGCTCTGCGTGGAGGCGCTTCAATTTCCCCATAGAGATGCTGATTGTGCAGCACAGCGTATTGCCGTGCAATAGCTTTCCAATGCTTTCTTACTGAAAAGTATTGGTCTGGCTGAGATCATCAAGTATGATGATCCCAGCCAAGGGGGCAGAGCAAGCCACAAGAAGACCCATACGTCGCTGGAAAAAAAAAAGAGAGTAAACTCAGCTTTTTACTGCAGGGAGAGTGGGGCTGGCCACCTAAACGGCGATCTTAGCTCTATGGTGTCAGGAATACATGTTTTAAGAATATATAGAAACATAGAATGTGACGGCAGATAAGAACCATTCGGCCCATCTAGTCTGCCCAATTTTCTAAATACTTTCATTAGTCCCTAGTCTTATCTTATAGTTAGGATAGCCTTATGCCTATCCCACGCATGCTTAAACTCCTTTACTGTGTTAAACTCTACCACTTCAGCTGGAAGGCTATTCCATGCACCCACTACCCTCTCAGTAAAGTAATACTTCCGGATATTATTTTTAAACCTTTGTCCCTCTAATTTAAGACTATGTCCTCTTGTTGTGGTAGTTTTTCTTCTTTTAAATAAAGTCTCCTCCTTTACTGTGTTGATTCCCTTTATGTATTTAAATGTTTCTATCATATCCCCTCGTCTTTCCTCCAAGCTATACATGTTAAGATCCTTTAACCTTTCCTGGTAAGTTTTATCCCGCATTCCATGAACCGGTTTAGTAGCCCTTCTCTGAACTCTCTCTAAAGTATCAATATCCTCCTGGAGATACGGTCTCCAGTACTGCGTACAAAACTCCAAGTGAGGTCTTACAAGTGTTCTACTGCTAATACCTCTCCCTATACAACCAAGCATTCTGCTAGCATTTCCTGCTGCTCTATTACATTGTCTGTCTACCTTTAAGTCATCAGATATAATTACTGCGAAATCCCTTTCCTCAGATGTTGAGGTTAGGACTCTAACAAATATTCTGTACTCTGCCCTATATGTGTCAGGAATATAGTGTTCCTTTAAGTGTATTAGATCTAGAAACCAAATATTATGCTTCCATTATTTCCTAGGTATAAGTCACTGATTTGTATCCTATATATTAGCTCATTACCCTTCTACTAGAGTACTTGTGATTGTATGCATCACAAGAAACGTGTTGGGTAGTTCACATGAGACATTAAGGTCCTGTGTTTAGCACTGCAGTAGTCTTGTTTCTATATTTGGAGGTTTGAATTGGTAAATGTGGAATAAGTGGCATTTAATTCACCAGCTTTGGTTGAACCAAAGTTGCTCTAATTCCAATCAAAACGTCCATATAAATAATTTGTCTTCCAATGTGTTACAATTGTGAGGACAACACACATTTTGTATTAATTCACAGGACACCGAGCTGAATTGTCTTTTTTTGCACATAAAACATCTCTGCATGGGTAGTCCTACGTGGTATGGCTTTTATATACAGTATGGAAGCTGCTTGAGCTCCAAAGTGTGACTTCAAACATCTCTGCACCCTCCATCAATATGACCATCACACCATGATGGAGCACGGACTTTGTTTCCCACAATTCTATCGCCACCAATGAGCAGCATCTCATCTCATCCTTGTACACGGCTACATGGACATTATATAAACTCATGATAGTCTGACAGCCTGGCCAACTCCAGGTATCGCAGTTCACTGCTAAAATATCCTATTGGCCCATTCCAGACGTGGAGAACACTGAGATAGTGGACCACCAGCCCGTGTATAAACCCACGCAGTAATTGGTTACTAAAGGGCCTGCACAAATTCTGCCCACTGTCTGACTACTGCATTACAACTACTGGTCCTGTATTCAATAGAGAAATGCTATGAGATTGCAGCCTGCAATCTCTGTATGCTACTGGCCTGGGGATCAAACACCCTTGCACCTCTTGCCTACACAATTACAAACTATAATAATAGAATTAAACTAATTTCCCACTAGATGGCAGCACTAGCAAAGAAGTCCAATTTTGTTTCAGACAGTTTGCATGATCTCATTTGCCACAAAGTAAAAAAAAAAAAAAAAATTTAAATCCATTTCCCTACACTTTATATGCTGGCTGAGCAGATGAACTGTTTATGAAGCCACAGGGTGAAACTGTATTTGAAACTTTTTAGTTCAAAAGAAGCCTCATAGATCACCGCTTGGGGAAATGAAAACTGAAAATGTCGTTTTACTAGTAAAGTCCAAAATAAAATAAACAAAACCAAAGATCAAAGCAAAACATTGGCCACTTCAATTAAACAAAACTGCTTTTAGTGTTCTAACGATTCTTTCACTCATCGGGTGCTTCAAGCAGTCATAAGATGTACAGTTCTCTCCAGGGGGTGTTTCGTTTTACATTTTACAGTTGTGACATAAGATTACTTGTCAATGTTACAAAAAGAACTGTAAGGGTTATTGGATAACCCCACCACACTACACCCATAAACCTCAATCAGACAGTTCAAAGACTTGTCACATTGCTAACCTACATAAACTTGGTATGGCTGAGAAGCAGATATTTGTAAATATAAGGAGTGTGTGAAAAAATACTGGCAAATGACTTTAAAGATTATGTCCCAGTCATGTAACTGAAGCAGACTGAGTGATTTTCCAGATTCACAGGATTAATAAGCGTTTACTGTTGGGGACCAAAACCTCTGAACTGAAAATAAGATTGACTAAATTTTTTTTCTAATTCTACTAATTTCTAATTTACTTAAGAGTTAGAGACACGGAATTACATAAAGGGAATCAACACAGTAAAGGAAGAGAGTATATTTAAAAAAAAATAAAAAGTAAGAGGACAGTCTTAAATTAGAGGGGCACAGGTTTGAAAAAGATATCAGGAAATATTACGTTACCGAGAGGGTAGTGAATGCATGGAATAGCCTTCCAGCTGAGGTGGTAGAGGTTAGTACAGTGAGAGATTTAAGATAAGGCCAGGGACTAATTAAAAGTATTTTGAGGGGGTCGGGGCCGGACTGCCGAGCTGGATGGTCGCAAGCAACTTCAGCTCCTGCAATTTTCCAATCTATAAGCCCCTAAAGCATGATAAAGTCAGAGATGGCAGACCAACAGCACCGGTCCTCAGTGTGCTGGGACCACTGGACCCAGGGAGAGGCTGACTCCCTGAGTTGCAGTCCCCTGGGGGAGAAATTGTCACTCCAGATGAGGCCTTCTTCGACAGTGAGCGGGGCAGACGGCTGCTGCCCTGCTATCCTACCTGACAGTGCCTGGCCAGAGGTCCAGACCGGCGAGAACCTGGCCCCGTCCCCCCCCCCGGATCTTCCCGTCATGTTCAAATATCTCGAGTTTAAATTCTTTTACCGAACTGGATTATTTCCTTTAATGAAAACTCAATAATTATAATTGCTGCTATTGCATGTTTTCTGTTCTGCTTGCCCAAACTGTTTCAATAACAAACACAAAAATCTGATCAACAGGTGGAAAAGCAAACAGCACGTCTTGTTAATACAAAATGCATGGTTTTACTAAAGTGGATTGCTTTCATATGGCGCGAGGTTATTAAAGTATTTAGATACCGAGCAAGGAGGGGAGAGAAATATTTTATTACACAGCTGGGTCCCAAGAATATGTGTTCTTTGATGTGCAGTACTGCGTGAATATTTATTTAAAAAAAAGGCTAAATAAACAAAGATCTTGTTTTACAAGCAATAGCATTACTCAAGGATGCCATATAAGTGACTAAAAAAATGCAAATAAGTGATACTTTATACCTACATGGAAAAAAGCCTACTTTGGTGTGGTTGTACTTTGAAATGTATAGCGGAAGGGATCCTTTTTTTTTTTTTTTATTCATTTTTTTTAAAGAAATATCTCTTTTATTTTTAATTCTTTATTTTTGCGTGCTTGAGACTTACATAGGGTATATCGTATGCATCATATGAGAGGGTAACAAGTTTCATCATTGATTAAATAATGCATTCACCAAGTTTTGGCACAATTTTTTGTTAGTTATAACAAGCATATAATTCCAGGTGGAGAGTGAGATCTCGTAAAAGTGTAGTCCAACTAATTTTTGTGGATTCATTACCTAGGTCATGGTTCTGTGTTGGAGGCGTGACCCTGAGTAGGGGCTGTCGACTGGTTGTGTATGGGTATAGTGTGTTACTAGGGCCCGTAAGGGTTTAATAGGTGTTGCGGTGTCGGTCTGTGAGTCGCGTGAGTAGTGCTTGTGCATGTCTCTACGCTCCGTAGCAGTGTAGTGGTCTTGCTTCGTTGGAGACTACTCATGAGGGGTGATGGCCCTAACCTAGGGGCTGTCGGGGGATAGGGTGAGTTCCGTCTTGAGCCGCGGTTTGCATTCTTTTGACGCGGTGGTGTGCCAGCGTCTTCACTGGCAGGCTCCTCTATTATATATTAAACTGGTGTAATAACGTAAGCATTGTAACTATAATGCATGTAAGGTGAGGAAAAAACAAGTATTAGTAAACGTGATAATTTTGTATCGCCGTTGAGCAGACAGGGGTAAGACACCTCTGCCCCCTTATGCGTCAGGTGGCTTGTGTGTCCATTCTCTGCCCTCTCGGTGTGAATGTTTCCAAGGTTGCTGGGTTCCAGACATGTATTATGTCCTGCCGGGGCAAGTTCTGTAGGCCCAGGTTTGTGAGGAGTGCGGGAGCATTCCTGAGGTGAGTTTGTGTGTAGTCCCCTGGTGGGTGACTAACAAGGAGCATGGGCTTCCCCATCTATATGGTATTCCGCTGTGCACAATTGGTTGGTGAGTTCACTAAGAGATTTTCTCCACTGGAGGGTAGTTTTAGTTAAGTCCTGATATAAAGTCAGTTGGGACTCTTCGAAATTAAGCGGGGTCTTGCCCTTGATCGTGCTCATGATATGCCCCTTTGTCTTGGGGTAGGACGCAGCGGATGATGACATCTCCAACTAACGTTGCAGCAACTCTGGGTGGAGTGGGTAGGCGGTAAATCCCTGCAAAGGTGAGCTTCTTTGTCACTGCAGAAGGTAGTAATGATTGTATAAGTCGTCTCACATAGTGCGGCAGGTCCTCTTTGCTCACTGAGGCTGGTATGCCTCTGATTTTGATGCGCTTGCGCCGGTTTTTATCCTCCTGTGCTGCTAATTGTATTGCCAGGTGTTGGTGGTTGTGTTGTAGTTGATGGAGTGAGTCTTGCAGCGTGGAAATTTCTCCCTGCATTTTTTTTACTTCTCCCTCAGTGGTGGTCATTTTCTGTTGCATGCTCGTTTTGAGCGCGGGTAGGTCTGCTGCCAGCAGGCGTTGTATGTCCTGCAGCATGGTCTGCATTTGCTGCAGGTCCTGCTTGGTGGCTGGGTCTGTAGTTCCTTGCTGGAATGTGGACTTGGTGAGTATGGACTGTGTGGTACCCTGTATTGCCCCTTGGGAGGTTTGATCTGTATGGGTGTCCACATGTGGGGGGTCTGGGCCCTGTCCGGCCGCCATTTTGGCTGGGGTGTGTTTTTGCAATAGTGCCCCTATATCAGGCTGTGCTGTGGCAGTACCTTGTTGGGGTCTTTGAGATCTTCGCCCAATCTCCTTGTGGCCGTGGTCGGGATCCTGTTGTGGTTCGTCTCTTGCGTCCTCCAGGCCCTCTCCGCCCCACAAGTACTCCAGGCCGCGGTAGTTCGGCGTGTAGTAGGCCCGGATTTAAATTTTTTGGCTTTCCCTGCCTCGGAGTGTACCGAAAGGGCGTTCCGCGATGCAGTATGATCTCCCCTGATCAATGCAGGTAGTTGTGTGCCTGGATGGCATGTAGTTTGCTAGATTTTGAGCGGATTCTGCTAGTTTTTCTAGGAGCTGCCGGAAATGGCGTCTGATCCATTTTGCCGCTAAGCTCCGCCCCCCTATAAGAAATATATAAAACTACACATGGCACATACATAAAGAACCATCAATAAAATGTATTACGTCAAAAGTGCGATCTGACTATTTGCACCAAACAATCCAAGGACAGCCTTGTACTGTAGTAAATACTCTATATACAAGGTTTAGCTCACAATTGGTTTATCAGGTTTTATATACATAATATGTTATATACTAAAGTTTATTTCTTTTGCAGCAAACCACTGAGCTTCCCAGCTTCCTCCAGTAACATCTCTTTCAACAAAGAACAAGCATATCTCTCTCAACCAATCACTAGAGTCCAGTTAAAACTAATGGGAGAACTGTGAGTGTGAAGGATTACACTCGTCAGCATTCTCCTTAATTCACATTTCAAATGATGGGAAAAAAAACACAAGCAATACACCAATGGTGTGCAAGTATGCTTCAGGAAAAGAAAATAGAGATACGCATGCAGGTGAATGACAACATGCCATGTACTCTTTATGAATTTTAGGTATGACCAAAGGAAATAAGCTGCGTGAATGGTTTTGTTTTTTGGTTTCCTTTTAATAAATAGGAAACAGCTTCACTCACATTATATCCTTGCAGTGATGTTCAGTAAGATGTGTGACTACAATTTAAGAGTATCACATCTAGTATTTAGCATTGTGAGCCAAAATGAAATGGACAGTAGATCATTATTTATTATCCTATGTGACTGTATAGATTTCTGAATTGTTTTTGGATCGATAAAATTGTCTGATAGAGACCTAAATTTTAGAGTACAAAATCTCATACTTAAAAAGTAAAAATAAAAAGAAACACATCAAACTATCTGTGTTACTAAACACATTGTCTCATCAGCAACATGTCTTTGATGAGCCCTAAACAATGGGCTTCTGTCTGCAGAGAGAAACACATACTATTAGATCTAGACCTATTTTTTGTTTTTACCAGAATGAAAAGAAGAAAGAACTCTACATACTAGCAATCCGCAAAGGAAACGAACAATCTAACAATCTAACAGTTACAATAATAGGAAAGGGACTTTCTGAGCACCATAACCACTACAATCACCAGCTTATTGTAGTGGTTATGGTGTAAGGTGGCAATAAGTTAAGCCCCTCTTGTTTTGTCAGACAGTTTTCAGGTTGGAGATGTCATAATGAGAATATTTACTTCTCCATAATTTGTCCTATAGATGGATTTGATCATACTGAATAGCCAAGGGTTAATTCATTCAGTGCAGGCAAATCACTGTCCTCCCATCCATCATTGATACATCGGCACTGACTCACTGTGTCACCTGGGCAGTGATGGAAGGATTAACAATGATTCAATGGCTGAATTCTCCTGTAGAGCAGTGCTCACTGCCTTTATTGTAGGACCCGAGCTAGCACTCATTCTTTACCAACTTTGGGTGGATAATGAAGAAGTTTAATTACTCCTTTGATATCTCCAGAGGAAGAGGAGAGCTTTGGGTGCCTGGTCCTCTTTTTTTTTTTTTTTTTTTTTCAGCAGGCATGAGTACTCACGTATGAGTTAAAACACTATTGGGTTGTCCACTGCATTTACAAGCAGGGATTTGAAGTGGTCATGGTGATCGGAGTCAGTATATGCAGTGTTTCAACTTGAAACACTGCACATACTGAAATATTGTTAATTGTGTGCCAGGGGCTAGTTGCACTCTCAGCACATGTGACGGATGCTGCCAAAGTCAATTCTGTGCATAAAAAGAAACTTCTGTTGTCAGCGTGCACTGCATGATGCCAACAAACATAAAACCCTTCTTTGCAGGCAGAGCGCCTTCTAGGGAAAGATAGATTCCTGTTCCTCTTCTTCCTCCCTCCCCGGCCTACACTGAGTCACCAGAACGGACCAATCACAGGCTATTCTATGTAAAGCTTAGACTGTGAAAGGGCCTGTGATGTCGGAGGGGATGTGAAAGTCAGGAGCAATAGCTTTGTCTGGTGGTGGACTAAGCTATTTGTTTTGCAGGTTATACTGCAAATCTGGGGGGAAGAAGTGGACCTTCTCTATAGTGCCCAATAAGGCAAATTACAAAGCAAGAGTCCCCACGGGTTGGAGTAACACTTTATATCTACGTTCCTACTGTATAACTGTAACCCAGTTGGTGTTCAATATAAATGTCAAGAATAAAAATTCTAATGCACTTTGGTCTGGAGTCCCCGAAAATGATAAACTATAGAAAAATCCTGGGATCCGATTACAGCATTCCAATATCTGGACTGTTGTCAAGTACAGTACAAAATCTAACAAATAATTACACGTTTGATTTTGTTTCCCCACACAGTATTTAGGACACTAAACTGGATTTTCACATCAGTCTTCAATACGAAGAAGAAATTACAAACTCATTTAGTGACGGTATTACAAAATACCCATACTAAGTTATGTAAATTAATGTTTGATCTACCTGTTAAAAGCAATTTGTACTGAGGAATCCTTTGGACGGGCTTCAGTAAATAATGTTTAATAGCCAAGTTAGCAGCGCGAGGACTCATCTAAAAGAAAAAAAAAAAAATATTAAAATGTATACAATTTCTAAAATTGTTTTTCCATTAGCTAATTCGTACTCTGACTGTTACACTATGAGAACTAGCAATCAAAGTATATACAAGAGATCAATACAGTATCTTGCAGGGGTATATAAAAATAAATACAAAGACTGCCTGAAAGCTTGCAATCAGTAGTTCTTGCTGTCTGGTTCACATTTTACTGTAGAGTGATTAGCCTTTCACACAAGCAAAGATTATGTTGAATAAATATTTAAAAAGCATTACTTCAAAATCTTTGACGATGGCAGCAAACCCAGGATTCTTTTTGCATTGTTCATCAAGCAACGTAACGTTCCGATCAAATTCTCGGATGTAAGTTGAATACATTTTAAGGTAAGGACCTTTCTTTACGAAGATATCAGCAATTTTCTGATGTTCGCTCCTAGGTGCAAGAAAGATTTACATTGAAGAATGCCATTGCTAGAAAATATGAATCCGCCCGTCCATAACCCCCAATACACATAAAGGAGTGATAGGTAAAATGTACGTTGGGATAGAGTTTACTATATACCTCATAGATTTTCCTGTAATGTGGAGGGTGGTCCATGATCCATTATGGCTTTTAGATACCATGCAGTAAGCTGGAAAAAAGTGCTTTAAGGTGGAGTATGGGAGATTGGGGATAAAGAAGGCCATTTTTGGATGGAGTCATTTGATTATATTTGTGCAAAGTAGCATCAGGCCAGTCATAGTGTATTGCCAAAAAACTTCATAAAATAGAAAATATTGATATGGGGTGCAGTCGATATCCGTAAGGTATGATAGTTTACTTGTAGGTCTTTTTTCCCTATTCGGACACTGGCCCTTCTAGATCAGGAGTCCCCATAGGGATGTAATTATAGAAGTTCAAGGTCCAGAATTTTATTGCACTGTTAATCATAAGACAATACATTCGAGGAGCTCCAAAGGCAGCACATAGGCCTATTCGTGTTGTCCACAATTAGGGCAATAGCTGTGTGGTGAGATAAGATTTCTCTTTTGTAAAAAGTGTTTAGCAGTCTCATCAGTGGTCCTTAAGGGTTAACACTTTGTATCAGAAAGCAAAGTTGTAAATGTTTCCCTGACCATCTAGTGTCTGTCTTTGGCCTTTAATTTCAGAAGATGATCTACAGACCCAGATGAGGAACGGAAATTGCAAAGTAGTCCCAGGAGCAACACCTGACTTTAAGGTCCTATTATACATAGGCAAGAACACATTAAATCCATTAGCCAGCAAGCTTAATATTTAATATGCTTGAAACATGTTAATTGAATGTATGTAATATACGTTTTACAGAGCTGAAATGCCTAATGCTATGAAAAGAGGTAAAATACCATTGAGACATCCTTTCCTCAAGCTCTCGTAGTACATCTCTGTTGAGCTCGTACAACTGAGGGAGATAGTAAAGAATCTGATTCAGGATCTTGTCCTCAATCACTTGCTTCCCGAGATTTCTAGCTGTCTGAGCCACAGAGTTACGGAAATCCTGTACCACAAATGAGAAAAAAGCATAAAATTAGTTCTCATAAGAGAAACACGGTCACTGAAAGCATTGAAGGAAGCAAAAACATAATAACAAATGATTATTATAAATCATTTAATAAATGGGTTTCCACTTAGGTACTTTGCAGGTGCTCTTTGGGCAGAGTTAAAAGGGGAGGGCAGCAAAGGCTGCAGACAACAGATCTGCAACTTTTTGCAAGTTGTTTTTAAATATATCACAAATTTTAAAAAATGCATAATTAAATGCATGGTTTCATTTGGGATATATATACTAAACAGTTGTTTTTTTTAAGGGTAAGTTTTCTCTGCTTTAGTGATCCCAGCAGCTAATAAGAAATTGGGTACAGTGCTAGACCTATAACTATATTATAATTTAAAGCATTTGAGCAATCAGGACATCTATGACTTGCATTCTGAATAATTAATGTACGGTACCTGCCTATAAAACAATCTTTGGGTCAAGTGGCTACAAGATCCTCATATATCAATTGCCAACACGTGTATGTTCCATACATCTTGCTACATGTAAATCTCTTGATAAGCACCGAAATAAAAAATATTTTAGAAATTTAACATAATACGTTGTGTATCATCCCTCTGACCTTAGAGGCAAATGCATTTTCTAATTAGGATGACTACACCTCAATATGCATATTTTCAGAATACTCCACTAAAAGTCTTTAGAAATTAGTAATTTCGCAAACACGCTGCATGGGGAACTGCAAGCATCCTGATAGTAACCATAAACAGACAACGTTTTTATAAACAGCATCTCCAAATTGTAAGCAAGCATTACTTTATAATGCAGCGGGCAAAAACAGGAACATACAACTGATCCAGTACTGAGCAGTATAGGATTATTTTCAGGACAGGTATATAGCTATGTGACTATGTATGCATTTACAGGTGTACAAGAAGAGGTAAAAATAAATAAATAAAGGCTAAAATCACTACTTATTGCAGTAAAACATTTATAAGGTTGCAAGGTATTTAAGCAGAATAAAATCGATTGTCACTAGTGAAGACAAAACCCTTTTCGAAGTTTGGTGAATAAAAGTGAACAGAATGTTTGTGCTTTTTAAATCAATATTCAGTGATCACAGAAGATGTGCTTTAGAAAGTATTGAATACGACATGCAAGTGGGTGTTGCAGATCATGAATCCTTAATTAACGTCCTTATTGACTTCTGTTCCAAAGTGTGCTAAATGTATGAAACAGTCTGAAAATATGGTAAGTTTGACACACTGCCTAAACAACTGCATCACCACCCAACTATAGGATGATGCCCCTATATGGACAGCTACAAAACGTGAAAAAACTAGTTGTTTGAAGGCTTTCTGCACTCGTACTGACGCTGACCTTTGTTCGTAATGACTGTGCCTTTAATTGCGGTAGCTAGTTTAGCATAAATTAGTCCATAATGCACTTTGCTAGGATCGAAGATGGACCAATATCAAATCTGGTTCAAATGAAGATATCAGCCATGTAGTCCTATCCACCTAATAGAATAGTAAATGGTTTTCTTCAAAAAAAATTTGAGCGACAATGGGATTTTGTGAAAGTCTTTGCCTTTGGTTGTACAGAAGTAAACTGCAAGATCTGGGATGTACATTTCTAGTTATTGAAATCTTCTATTCACTAGTAGAGTATTGGATATCCCAGGCTCGGACACCTGAAAAAAGAGCAAATTACAAGTAATGTATTCTTACAAGTAATGGGCTCATTTTTGGGGGAGGTTTTGCCCCGTTCTCCCAACATTCTTTGGACTACCACTCTTACAATGTTCAGCTTGCACTCTGGGCTCGTTAAAGTTGAAATGAAAATGAGAAAAACATGTTGATTGCCACTAGTCTACATCAAGTTAAACCTCCCCATAAACATATATTTTACATAACAGGGGACTGAGGAACATACTTTGTATATTTTCTTTAAAATAGAGTCTGTGTTCGGAATCAATCTCCATAAAAATCCTACAAACCCAAACTATGTTTTCTTTACTTGCGATGGTAAATTGTGGATTTAAAAATAGTTTTGCTCAGCTGGTGGTTGTATGGAGAAAGGAAAAAAAAAATCTTCAGGGTTTCCTGAAAAACAGGAAAAGTACGTGGCTAGCGTCTCATTAATACTCGTTTCCTGCAAGAATACATTACTTGTAATCAGACAGCGCGATAAGCCTCGCTGAAATCATCTGGTTTAAAGCAAACTGGTTCAAATCGAGAAATAATAGCTGAAACTGAAGTATGAACATACACAGCCAAGACAACAAGGCCATTCAAAATGTAGTAAAAACTACAATAAACTACAAATATAAGTAGATAAAAACAAAAACAAATTCCAACACAGAACTATTTACAAAATGAGTTTAATTATAAACCAGTTAGATCAATATTTGCATTGTATCCTGTATGGTATCAGCCTACACAAACGGTAAGTAACATAGTAGAATATGCTTTGATCTAAACTACCCCAAAAATGCTGTTTTGTATTATTAAAATGAAAAAAATATGGGTGTTTTTTCCACGCTTTTTATTTCTTTAAGTATCTAGTATTTCTTGAAGTATCTAGAATGGTTCCAAGCGTTTGCCAAAATATAAAGAGATAGTTGAAAATAGTTTGATTTTAGTTCTTAATTAAGAAAGTGTTCGGTTTCGGAAGGAATTAGCGTGAGCCTTAGGTAAGCAGAGCCTGTGGTATTGTAAGCAGCAGCTGCTGTAAGGGATTTATGGCTTCCTATGTTTTGCAGCAGTAATCGCTCACACGCTATTCTCTCTGAAGTCACATATTTGCTCCGCACTTAGTAGCTGTAGTGGGGTGAGTGAGCATTAATGGTAATCTCACTAACAGGTGTGTGTTCACATGTTATTGCAAGGTTGACTAGGACTGTCTGCCATTTTGTAGCAAGACCTCCTTACACAGCCAACGAAATGGAGAGATTTAGGGATTTCTTTAGAGCTGATGGAGAAGTACCTCCTTGATATAGAGATATATATGTATATCCGGTACCCCACGCATGGAAAACGACGACTGTGACCAATTCTACACAGGACTTGTTTGCAACAGTTACTACCCGACTCCATGCTTATTGTGCCTTCAATAGATTGTCTATTTGTTTATTGTTTCAACATTCTCCTTTTATTTAATGCACTGTTTAATTACAATCCACTTCCTCCGCTGAATTGGTCTACAGACCAAATACCTCCCCCTCGCCTCACAATAGCAATGAGAGTCTGACCTATTGTGGATTGCTCTAGCTAAGCTTAAAATATCAAGGCTTCTCCACACATTCTCAGCTACTTTGTGGTTATTATTGCGTTCTACTCTCAGAGCAAGCAGTCCATGGTATGGTGATACTGTAGAGCAGCTCTAGAAGTAACTTGTTCTACTAAGATTATGTATAAATAACACACAAAAATAACATAATTCACGGTTTGTTATGCATAATTCACGTTGAGGTTTGTTATTTGCTTGCACAATTTTGTATACAATTCACTTCATTGCCTATATATAATGTTACATATTTCCTTTGGATTGTGCCAAATAGATAAATAACTAAATATTTTTTTTAAAAGCCACCATAGCTACTACTGCTTTAAAGCTTAACATAGTGTCTATGATGGCAGACTACTTGGGTAGACTCCCCCTGGTTTATGTCAAAGGATTTGGTAACATCCAGGACGCTCATGACACCCAGAGCCTGGCTCTTTTCCACTTTCCAGCTAATGCAGGCATTTCACTTCTGTATTAAATGGACATGCATCACTTGGAAATTATAATTATAAGCATACACTTTTAAACAAATATGCAAACTAAAATAAAGCAAGAAAAACTTTAAAAAGTAAGTAATAAACTTTAAAAACGTACTATATAAACTTGGTCAGATTGCATTGTTGGGCACGCCTCTCAACTAGGACTATCTTTATCCTGCCCCTACTCTTATCCATCCATCTCATTTTCAGACCAATCCACTAATAACAGAAACAAGGCATCACCAGCAGGAGTTAGAAAACTGCAGAGCCTGCTCTGCATAACCACAATGATAAGACACCTTTTCTTCTCCCCATCAGGATGTAGCAACTGGGCACATATAAATCTGTCTAGAACGCCCAATGCACTTTTCCAGCATTCCTAGGGATAGAACACTGACTGTTTTTTTTAAATGCTTTAGTTATTGACATTTTTTTTTATAAAGCCACAGCATATTTCAAAAGGTTCCAATGGAAGGGTCAGGAAATTTGTAACCACCTGATTTATATGCGAACATACCCTTTTATAAAGCAATAATAACTTAACTTGGGGACCCAGGTGAAACATTTCCCACAATGCTTAGTCACCCTTATTATAAATATGGTATATGGGTTTTTTCGATAGTAATTATATTCAATGTACATGAATTGGATACTTACAATGTGCAGCAGCTTCAGGACATCAACAAACCTATAAAAATAGGACAACTGCAATTAACCATACATTAAAAAAAAAAAAATAGTATTTATTTTTAAAATAGTTTGGGGTGCAATACTTACACCTTCTCGGAGCTCATGATCTCCTTGGCAATGTGATAAACCTTTGGCTTTCGTCCAGTTTTTTTTTTCTGAATAAAAGATTGATCAGGTTAAACGTTAGCTATAGAACACTGATGATCTTGGTTTTGGGCTAACAATCAAACTCTAAAGAGCAATGTTAAGTAGAAATTCCCTTCCTCACTGGAATTTATATATATTTCCCACTACACTGTACCACCGCAGACTGATACCATGTTACTTTATTAGAGACAGAATATACTATAGCAACAATGTGTAAAATCAAGCTTGATAAACATCCACAGGGTACGACTAAAACGTTGCAGTATGTGGCTTGAATACATTTATTTATTTTTACTTGCATACAAGTCCCTTTTGAGTTATGGCTATTATGTTTCCATTAGCAGTTCCCAATAGCGGTTTAAATAACCACGAAAGTCATCCATGCCCCTCCTTCTCAATGAAGTGGTCTGGCCAAAGTGGTCCTGGCTATTTAAATCTTCAACGTAAAACATTGCAGTTTTTTAGAATCTACAACATTTACATTGCAGGATTAAGTCCTCACCTTATGGCTAACAGTATGACAGCCTCTATGAGGCGCTTCTGCTGCACTGATCGAGTAAAACTCATGTGACATGGAAGCCACTATAGGAAAGCATTCATTCAATGCATTCCTACAGGAGAACCTTAGAGGCACATGTGATGCTTGGCACACGTGCATCAGATCCACAATGCTCCTCTAGGTTTGCATAGCCTCCTCCATGCTGGCGCAGCTCCGAGGAAGCCTTGGTGGTGGAAAAATATAAGTAAAGCTTTTATTTCAAACAGGGCGGTGGGCCACTAAAGCGTTGGGAATACAGGTTTGAATCCTAAGGTTTTAGTGTTCCATTAATAAATGGATGTCTCACCGTGTTATTAAATCAGCTGTATCTTAACTCCTAGCAGCCTTAACCAGTATCTCACTGAGCATGATAAGAGTTTTAATCGAGCAGGGTCAGGCAACATCTTGCACTCATATAGATGGGGCAAACATTCCTAACAAAGTGGCTTCTGTTTCCATCTAGGAAGGGCATAGTTAAAAACCAGAACCAGTGAATGCGTTTTTCTATATCAGGGGACTAAAAAATGTAATTGTCTGACAGGCAGACAGCAAATCTTTTAAAGTCTGCTTGTAACTCACCCAGCCACAGGGGCAACATATAATTACAGCCTGTGTTCCACATGGACAGAAATCTCTCCAGGGTGTCTGGCCGCAGGGGCACTCCACGACAACTTTAAGGAGGCCTCTCTGGTCTGCAGTTCATCCAAGGAGATACATAGTAGCCAGAGAACGGGATTTATAGATTTATGCAACTCCACCATGGCTGCATAAAATGATCTATTGTCTACTGTTTGCACGGGCATAATGCAGCCTATCCTGTGCTAACATGCTGTGCAAAAAAGTTGTACAAAATGGATATTGCAAGTCAGGAAGAACGTATTCCAGCTGACTGACGGACACACCAGGTCAGCCAGATAATAGGGTCTGTTTCAAAAAGGTTAAAAACCACATATTTAAACAATATACACATTAAGAATAAATTTGTAATTCTGCATTATGATCCACTGATTGTAAAATGAAGAAGTTTAAAAAAAACACCACCACCAAAACAACCATTTTTGAGTAACTGTAGATTTTCAGGTTCACTTTAGGCACCATAACAACTGTGCATCACTGCTAAGGTTACGATACACGCAGTCCACGTCACTGAGCACACACCCTGGGTCTCTAATGTCAAAAGATATTTTCTTGGATAGAAATTTCTCTCCTCCCTTTGGCAGCTTGAGTTTACTGTACACATCCCCAAAAAAGAATATTCTCTCTTTCTGCATGTTTACAAAAGTAGGTCATTGTTAAACTTCATAGAATACTACAGTGATCTGCCTGGAAAGAAGACTTTTTTTCTTAGTTCTATTGAATTTAACAAATACCATAACTTAATGTCACATGTGATTTTCATCTGAAAACCAGTTGAAAACCAACCAGAGTATGTCGGTGAAGATGATAAGTGAATGTAGTTTGGGTTTCTTGCAAACTAGTTATGTGCATATTTTTATGGTAAATTCACAGCGTCCCGTTCATGATGTATTAAAGTCAAGCAGGTTGCTTATGTCTCTCTTTTCGCCTTCCCTACCTTATACATAAAAACTGGTCGACCACTAAACCTACAACGGCAGACTCCGGGAATATTAAATGTAGGGGAATGTTTCCATAAAAAGGCACATTTTTCCCACAGCAGGGCTGGTCAGGGTCCTGATAAATCCAAGTAAAATCACCTGAAATGCGGATTATCCCCAGCTGGCATAGCATCGTGGGTGTTTTACGACAGATGAGGATTAATCTTTTGACCACCTTTGCAGTAGAGGGGGGCCCAAAGAAGATTTCTTGCTGCAGGTCCCTCTCTACATTAGTTCCGAAACTGTAACGCATCATGATGTGGTGGTTATGGAGGTAGGAGTACCCTGGCCTCATTCCCTGTCAACAGGGCAAAACATTTTGTAATGATTTGCCTTCTTACCTGGGGTTCACTGGGCTGCTACTCTTTAAACGCAGATTTATGACATACTGATTCTGCAGAGAAGCAGAAGCCAATTTTGCTGCTCACTGACTGGCTGAGAGCGCCAGCTGATTGCTCCCAGCCAATGAATGAGCACCTGTGCATCAGCACAGAATTAGCTTTGGCCAGCCTGTAACCCATGTTCCAGGCTGGCTAAAGACGCCCCAATGATGCTTCCAGAGGTGGAGTTACACCTCTGGCAGCAGAGGAGTTAAAACTCCATATGTTGCAGCGTTCAGCTTTGAATCAAATCACTAAAGTGGTCATGATGTCCGCTGTAACCCTTTCAATGTAAAAGCAGAACTGATGGAAATTTCGGCTATTTTGAATAAAAACTTTGCACTTTCATTATTTATATCTTGTATTCAGAATACAACATTACCATGCTGGTTTTACATTTTCTCCTAATGACTAACCATCCTAGACCCCAAATCTAACTTTACCAATGTCTCTGCCACTTTGCAGATGAGGAGGTGCACTAAATGTAATTGGTTATTTTATTGAGATGTTCAATCCTTGATTTATTCTACATTCCTCTCCCCATTCCATCTTCTCCATGACCTAAAACAGGGGAAGGCAAGCTTCGGCACTCCAGTTGTTGTGGACTACATCTCCCATAATGCTCTTACAGCCATAATGCTTGCAAAGCATCAAGGGAGATGTGGTCCCCAACATCTGGAGTGCCGAAGGTTCCCCTACCCCTGACCTAAAGCCACAAGTATAGGCGTCTAAACAAGGGAAGCAGGAAGAAGATACCAAGCTTTTGCCTTTAACTTTCAGCCATCCCTCTTCTAAACAGTTTGTAAAATATAACATCTAACAGGGGTAAGCAAACTTTGTCTACATCTTCCATAATGCTCATAAGGCAGAATGCTGGCAAAACATCAGGGGTGCTCAAGATTGCCTACCCCTGCTCTATGATGTCTTTTTTTTTTTTTTTTTTTAAATACCTGTATCCAGTTTTATTTGTTTGTTACCCCCTAAACACACAATACTTTTTTCATACTTAAAGGACCACTATAGTACCAGGAAAACAAACTTGTTTTCCTAGCTCTACAGGGTCTTTGGGTCCCCCCCATTCTCAGGGCCCCCCTCACGCCGGGATGAAGGGGGAGGGGGAGAGGGGTTAAATTCTTACCTTTCTCCAGCACCGGGCTCCCTCGGCACTGGAGACTCTCCTCGTCTTCTGACGTCATCCGCCGAATGCGCATGTGCGGCAAGAGCCGCGCGCATTCAATCAGTCCATAGGAAAGCATTTCTTAATGCTTTCCTATGGACGCTGGAGTCTTCTCACTGTTAAAAATCACAGTGAGAAGCGCGGAAGCTGGATTAACCATAATGTAAACATAGTTTCAGAGCTGCAGGGTTAACCCTAGATGGACCTGGCACTCATTGAGCTGAAGTGGTCTGGGTACCTATAGTGGTCCTTTAAATGGCTAAAAACTCTTGAGCCATGTGATCATTAACCATTAATAATTATACTCACAGGCTTGTACTCCGCATGGTCAAGGTCTGTTTTGCTTGAATCAGAGCTGAAGTCATCTTCATCAGAGCTGTTTATTATTTCTTCATCATCTGAGTGAATGATGCCCAGCTCATCATCAGGGTCCTCTTGTGATGGCTCACTTAAAAATACACACAAAGGAAGACAATAAATAGAACGCGTGCATTTAAAAATGGACAAGCAGAAGTTCACAGGTTCACCAGCAACAAGATTGTCATGGGTTTGAATGTGGTTGGAATTATTAAACTAATTCTATTCTTAGCGACCTTGAAACAATTTAACGTGGAACTAAAACATAAGCTGACCTCATATGGCCGAAGTATTTGAAAATCTAATTTTTTTTTTTAAACGCAGCTAAAAAGAGACAACCTTGGCTAATCCTGTGCACAAGTGGTTCGGAGGGCATGTGTTGTGAATACAAACACAGAGAAGCAAAGATATTTGATCTTTGTGGAATGAGCCATAAACTCCTTCTGCCTTACCACTCCAAATGTAAGATGATAGTGTTACTTTTAAAGAAAACACACACTTGCAAGACATTCTTTTACAACGCTTTCCAGTTACTATTCACAGGATGCGTTAAATGGATCATGGGGGGCAGTTAAGTGCCTGTCAGTAAAATATTCATATAAACAATCTCATACCATTAGAATTGTACATTATTCATAAGCATTCTCCTTTACTTAAAGGGGCACGCCAGGCACCAAAATAACCCTAAAGCATCAAATAATTAGTTGTATTTTGCACATGCTTGAGTTAATATCGTTTTTGCAAACCAATATTTAGAACGTCTTCAAGCATTCTTAACGAGCAGATGTGAGCAGAAGGTCATTTGCAGAGCAAAGGGAATAAAAAGTGGTATATTTGTTGAGTAAAGGGGAAATGGGGAGAGAATTGGGGTTATTGAGAACTTTGTAGGTTAGAGTTAGCAGTTTGAATTAAATCCTGAAGGGTACAGGAAGCCAATGTAATGACTGGCAAAGGGGTGAGGTGTAGGAGTAGTGGTCAGTCACGAAGATGAGACTTGTGGCAGCACTCATAGACTGAAGAGGGACAAGGCAGGTATTTGGAAGCCGATCAGATGAGTAGTGAGTTGCAATAGATAAAGTCGGGAAATGATGACTGCATGAACAAGTGCCTTAGGTGTATCTTGAGTTAGAAATGGACGAATGCAGGCAATATTTTTATTTAAAGTTACAGGATCTGGAGACAGATTGGATATGAGGAGACCTGAGTCGTACGGAATACCAAGGCAGCAGGCTTGTTTAGGTGAGAGAAACGGAAACTAAACTGTATTGTCACATATGTAGATACAGAAACCAGCAAGAAGGAAGTATTTTAAGAACAGATGGGGTGGGATGTATGCGCAAGCAAACCATAAATATATTGTTTGTTCACACAGAGGATTTTCCAAAAAACTGTTCATAAAATCTAAGAAAAAGAATTACAATCTATGTATCAAAGCAAAGACTAAATCGGGGCTGACTAAACGTCCCTTTTTTTTTTACTTTTTGTTTTTCAGAATTAAATTATATTGATCAAAGCTCAATTGATCGAGCTCTCATTTACAATATAATAATCACACACTGTTACACTAACAGATTACAGTAAACGAACACAGCATGCGCAGAACAGTTTTGTACATATTTATATTAACATTTTAGAAATGTGCATGCAGCAATAATTCAGCTGTAGATAATGATAAATACGTAAACCCTGGTCTGGTTTCAATAACATATCTAAACGCTTTATTTTTGACTCATTTAATTCAGAGGGTTGGATGCTGCACTGGAATTAAACCATTTGCAAGTCACGAATTGTTGCAGACTTGGAAAACTGCGTGTCATGAGACAAGATATGCGTGCTGATTCAGAGAACAACGCACAACATCAGAAAAAGGAAGTCATGGAAGTATGTAAAGTATCTTGTGATTCATTGTGCACTATTTTAGTATTTTTTGGTAAAATTGTAATTAAATACTCAGATTACTACATTACTTTTGCATAGTAAATCTAATGTCTGAAAAGGCTCTTTTAATAAATCCTGAACAAACACATGTGCAACACAAGTAACATGCAGTAACCTCTAATAGCAGCTACAGGCGATTAGACAAAAATAATAGTTTCATGTAACAATAGAGAAAGGATCACACATATAGTAACACTGTCCCATTCCACCACAGCCAACGGTTATAAAAGTTATAAAAAGCAGGACAGAGTTGGGTAGGCCATCAGGAAACCCCCTTTTGTGTCACAGGTGATGCAAAAAAAGGGGGGGGGGACATCACACTAGCCAACCCCACTTTGAGATGTCCAGCTCAGAGCCCATTAAATAGATCTGGTGAGCCCAATATATACTATATGGAGTGTGAGTGCGAATAATGGTGCGCTCGTTCAGCTCTTACTGTATATTTGGCCTGTGATATCTACAGATGTAGAGCAAACCTAGGAAAGTGGAATGGCATGGATCTGCTTTTTCACAGAGCAACAGTACCGTAAACCTATCAGGCTGTATTCAGTGTTCAAGAATCTTATTTCGTGTGTGTGTAATGTTTCCCCTTTTAACAATATGTAATGCGTCAAATTCTGAAGAATATTGCAAAGCCTATTACTAACAACATTTTCCTTCATTGAGTTCACATAAGGATTTCAACATATAATACATAATTTTAAAAAGTTGTCAAATCATTCTTACTGTTCACTGGGGACTCGTCACTTGATCTTCCCAAAAAAGGTACATTATAGCACCAATCCGCAGCATAATTACAGGTCTAAGAAAGTTACTGACCTGATGGATTCTAAACAATTGGAAGGTATATAACTACTACAACCTATCGTCTTGCTTATGGTTAAGGAGTCTGTGCAACAGATGCAATTCTTCCAGATTTAGGGGTCTGTAGTATAACCTTCAGAATCAATATCTGGAGTAATTAAATAATTTGGACACAGAGTAATTTCCGCTGCCCTGTAGATGGAGGATGCTGGTGTATTTGGCAAATTAGGTTTGCATCCTGTAACTAAGTTATACTGTGGAAGCACTCTGTTTGCATATCTAATAAAAAAAAATAAAAAATAAAAAAACTTATTAGGAGACCCAAAAATCATTTGTTTTACATCAGCACTAGCTTGCAACTGGGAAAATAGATGACAGAGTTTAATCAGCAGATGTTTCCCCTCGCAATTCACAGTAACTAAAACTGGTTTAGCTGAAGTCGCAGATTTGGTTTCTACAATAAAATCCTAATACCAGCTGTGTGTCACCCTCCGGATAATGACCATATTATGTCATCTAAACAGAACTAATGGTCAAGGTATTTTTAAAGAGGGATGGCTCTTCTATAAAATAAAACAGCACTCTGGCAAAGGGTCATTTCCTAATCCTTTTAATACATTGCACTTGAGACATTCCGTATATGGATTGCCATCAGCCTCCCACACTTCATGCAACCATGTCCATCTGCCCAGCTACAACTCCCATACTTCTTAGCCAGCCATTCCAAAACTAACAGTCTAGATGTCAGATTAACCAAAAACATAAATAATGGCTATAGTTTGTAAATTTAAACAAAATGACAAGAATATTAGCAAATATCACATAAGCATCTGATCAATCCACCTGCAGCTTTCCGGTTGTTGGACTATATCACTAAGGGTGATGGGAATTGTAGGCCAACACTTGCAAAGCCAGTGATTGACCGCCTTTCATTTCTATAACAAAAAACACCAAATCCCGCTTACTTAACATTTATACAGCTTTTACCAGCAGCATGTATTACCATGGTGGAAACAGACTTGTAAAGTTTTCTAGTCTGGGGAGAATACATACATAAACTACAGAACTTTTGAAATATCTTATAAACCACTCACAGCTTTAACATGGCCTTTCAGCTTATAGTAACTATTAGTTTCACTAAAAAAGTTACACTCAAACCTTAGAACATAGGGCACAACTCAAGGCACAGCTATAAAAAAAAAAAAAAAATTTTTAAAAATAAATTAATTAAGCTTCTGAAGCCAGTGTGACAAGATGAGCGCATTGCAGACCATAGTCAATGTATGTGTCTGCATGCCCATTGGCACAAGTTATATTTTATAATTTATATAGTTTAAAGGGATACTATAGTCACCAGAACAACTACAGCTTAATGTAATTGTTCTGAGGAGTATAATAGCTCCCTTCAGGGAAAATGCAGTGTTTACATTGCCCCCTAGGTACACCTCCAAGTGGCCACTCCTTAGATGGTCACTGGAGGTGCTTTCTGGGTCAGTGCTGACGAAAAAGCAGCACTGGCGTTCAGCGTCCCCACACTCTGCATGGAGATGCTGAATTTTCCTCATAGAGATTAATTGATTTAATGCATCTCTATGAGGAGGTCCTGATTGGCAATAACGGCATTTGGCCCCATCCCCGTGCTGATTTTAGCCAATCCAAGGCTTTCCTTATGGGACTTGCGCAGCGCTGGAAATAAGGAGAGCTTTAAACTTTTATATGGGGGCTAAAGGGGGGAGAGGGGCAAGCCACCTAAATGGTGGGTTAAACACTATAGGGTCAGGAATACTGGTTTGAGTTTCTGACACTATAGTGTTCCTTTAGAGTACAATTGGTTAGAACTTGGCAGTAAAAGTTAAAAGTTTAGGTCAATGTTTCCAAGTCAGTTATGGTTTAATTTGGACTATTTTGGTGCAAAATATGAAATTCACTTTGAAAATCGCTACAAGTTAGTGAATAAACTTTCGTCATTTAAAAAAAAGAACAAAAAAACAAAACAAAACAGCAGCCTTTTCAAATCATTAAAGTCTGTGTACTGACTGACAAAGCTCAAATGCTTTAAGAGTTTTAGGACCCACAATGTTTGCCTTGATCTTGGCAGATGAGCTTACACCTTAAAGGCCATTGGAGTGACACTAAAACCCTCTGTTATTTAAATGTGCATAGGGATTTGGGATAGTTTACATGCAACGTGTCTTGGTTTTATCTTGTGTCCCTTGTTTAAGAGAACATTTTAGTGACATTGAGGAATGTCTGTAAAATCATTTTTATACACTATAATAAAATAATGGCATTCTTGTCCAGTTATCTGCCCCACTTTTCTATCTTTGCCCTGATTTTGAAATAACAAAATAGTCAAATGCAGTGGTCAGTTAAAAAAAAATAAAAAATAATTAGTTTGACTTGGAACAATGTCAGCTGACTGAGCTTCCTGAATGGCAAGACCGAACGCAAGTTGGCAGAGATCTGGAAACCTAGAGAACATGCAGCCCACAGCTCATAGTCATAGTGTCTGCAGTCACACACAGGATGGAAGAGAAAGCATGAGGGGGAGATAAGGTCTCTGTGTGCCAAGTACCCATCTTGTGAGAAGGCAGAAGCATAAAACCTTGAAACTAAGAGGACCAATGCGATTATCTTACATTTATAACACACATGCTCTACATATACACAATTTGTATCAATGATAAGGAAGCAAACTGCAAAATGGCAAAACACGTGAAATAAAATAAATCTGAATACCCTGTTTTTGCCATAAGTTTAAATTAGCACTCTAAGCCTAATATAGTGTTGGTTATGGCACCAGCTGGTTCTGGACATAATTTCCTAGTTTCTGTGCCGAACCATTTGAGCAGTGTGACAATGGCCACAGTTAGAAGCCCGAGACTTACAGATGAGTCATGTGCAGCTCTCAAGGTGAGCGCTGCTCATAGCCCTTTAAATCCTTTTAAAGGCTGCAGTGCTACAATCAGAGTGCCCCCACTAGCAGGTCAGTCCCCCCCCCCCCCCCCCTCATTTGACCTAGGTTCGTTATAAAATGGTTAAACGAAAAGTGTCAAAATGATCTTTGTTACATAGCCAAGAAAGATGTACTTTCTACAAATGTATACAATTATGTCGTGGTTTTGGATTCTGCGGCTACAATTAAAGTTGTAATCTCAGCATGCCAAGTTTTGCAAAGTTTTAGTTTTAAAACCGTAATTCACTCCTTGCAGTATTTGTTTTATAACTTCTAAAAATTCATTGAAATCCTACACATATTGAGCATTTTAACAAATAGGACTAATAAGTGAATCTATTTTGAGTTCGTTTTCTTTACGTAGAAATTAGTGAATGTAAAGCTAAGAAGAAAAAAAAACATCTATTCCTATTTAAAGGATCACTATAGTGTCAGGAAAACAAACTCGTTCTCCTGACACTATATAACCCTTAGGTCCCCCCACCCTCAGAGTCCCCCTCCCGCTGGGCTGAAGGGGTTAAAACCCCTTCAGCCACTTACCTTAATCAAGCACCGGGCTCCCTCGATAGTTTCCTATGGACGTTCTGCACGCTGAATGCGATTTTGGCATCCAGCGTCACAGAAGCACCTCCTAGCGGCTCTCAGGAAGACCACCACTAGAGGCTGGATTAACCCTGCAATGTAAACATAGCCATTTCTCTGAAACTGCTATGTTTACATCTGAAGGGTTAAAACCTGAGGCACCTGGCATCCAGACCACTTCATTCAGCTGACTATAGTGTCCCTTTAATATTGCATTATGTATACATATGGGGTATCAAAAGAAAGCTATTTCTTCTTCAAATGATACACAATATGTATAAGTGCACTTAAACATAAAGTGAGAAATTGTGCATAAATTGAGAAAGCACATTGCAGCTCAAAAATCCTTGGTCCTTCACCTAGTTGGTGCACCACCCACTACTGGGCAATGTTTGTCTTTACTGTTTTTGATGCTTATGTTGACTATGTTTCCTCTGTGCATTGTACATTCTGCTTATCACCTCTCACCCTGACTCAGTCCATACAATGGGACTCCTCACACGCAGCAACACCACTACAAACTATTCTGACCTCCTCAAGTTATGATGCGACAAGACCACTAAGGCGGCCACACTGTGTCGCTTGGATCACACCCCTGGGGGATGGATACTCACTCTTGGGTTACACACCTCTCGCAGATAACTACTATATTGTTTGGATTTTCATTGCAGAAAGGGTAAAAAGCACAATCTAGCATAGGAACTCCCACTATGGGGTATTCAGCCTCTTAACATTGTGGCTGTATATTTTCAGAGACCTCCGCAAGGCCCATCCCACATAGTGTGTCTCCAGGAAACACACTTTAAACAAGCACAACCGCTAGTGCAAACATTGTACCCCTTCCAATACCACAGTACATCCGATTCTAAAACAAAAGGGGTATACATTCTTTTCACTTGAGACATCTCTTATAAACCAATTTACAATCTCATAGATGACATGGGGAGGTTTATTATTTTGGTTTGTGAAATCAACAATCTAGAGTATACAATTGGCAACCTATACGCTCCCAATACAGACCAGAGGAACTACTTACACAAAGTCCTTGCTAATGGGGAAGAACAACACTTTGCGGTGACTTCAACCATGTTCTTGACCCAGCAAAGGACTTTGCCACCCCCACGTGAGAATGCAAGCCGCTGGTGCACCTACTGCATGACCATGACCTTTATGACGCATGGAGAGTTTTCCATCGTGAAGAGAGGGGTTTCACCTTCTTTTCCCCTGTCCACAACACATACACGCACATTGGAACCTCAACAAACTATCATCATGCACGATAGGCACCATGTCCTGGTTGGACCATGCATCGCTGACTTTAGATCTAAAAGATACCTATCATTATAAGAACCGAAACCCGTGGAGATTGAATGAAAACCTATTGCACAATGCGGCGTTCTGCCAGGACCTCACTAAAGATCTAACTGAATACTTTACTAAAACCCAAACACCAGAGATCACCTCTGAAACCCTATAGACTGCCCATAAACCAGTCATTAGAAGGTTTTTGATATGGAAAGCCAGCACAGAAATCCCAGGCCAAAATGAGGGACATGCTAAAGCAATCGTATCACCTTAATAAGCAAAACCAACTATCCCCATCCCAGGTGTTGAAAGCTCAGATCATGGAGCATTTACCCACTAGAGAGCATGACAACACAAAGGTGGGATACGGCCACTGAAAGCTCAAGGCCACTCACTATATTCAGGGAACTAGAGCTAGCAAGCTACTAGCCAGACGTCTGGTGCAAAGGCAGACAAACACCAAACTCCCATACATTTTTACACAATCGGGAGAGAAGAGGATAACCCACAAGGACATCAGTGATGTCTTTGTGGAATTTTACGAGTCCTACTACAACTTAGGTAAAGACCCAGCAACACCCGAGCCATCACCCGCACAAATCAAGGAGTACCTGAGAAAGATGTCCCTACCAACCCTATCAAAGGAGCAAATTGACGCTCTACAAGCCCCTATAACAGAAGAGGAGGTGCTCCACACAAATAAAGCCCCAGGCCCGGACAGGCTCACCAATACTTACTACAAAAAAAATTGCACACATTCTGGCACCTCACTTGATCACACTATACAAGTACGCAACGACTAAGGCAACCATGCTTAAAGACATGCTAATGGCCCACATTGTCACACTCGCAGCATACCACAGAGCTGCCTTTCTCCCCAACATTGCACAACTCAACCACCCCTCCGCAGCACCCCAATGGGTTGGGGTGGAGTCCCACTGATCATCACTAAGGAGTTCAGATCACTGCTTTGGATGCTGAGGCGATCTAGACCACCCCTCTCCCACTTATTGCCCAATAAACAGACCCCATTTCAAGTGTGGGACACGGAGAGAGATAGCTTGGTGTTGGAACCTCAAATACCACTAGTCACGTCAATGCAGACAATGGGGTGCCTGGTCCCAACATTTAACTGGGAAACATGGGCAGAGAGAGGAGTTCATCATGTATACCAAGTCTTTGATAGACTTGGTTGCTGTCCTTCCCTGTGGTTCAGGCCCAATACGCCCTCCGCCACAGGGCCCTTTTCTCATACCTCTAACTAAAGTCATACTTGATAGACAACCTACGTACGCCGTCGGACTGTATAAATCCAAAGCATACGTCTAGTGTCTATGATAGTAGACATTTTAGTCTTTAGTACAGCAAGGACTTTTCTTTGGGTAGGGCAGCAGTCTTTATATTATTGTTGATGTATATAGAAATATATACAAATTCCCCTTCAATATGGCCGTTGCTATTAGCCTTTATTTCCCCACTATGATGGCCGTTTAGCGTTTTTTTCACTATTTGTTTCTACTTAGTTCTTACTTTGCCGATGTCCATTATTTGGGCTAAAATGCTGTGCTCATATGTTACCGCCCCCTGGGGTGTTGGAGAGAGTCGTTACTCTGCCGACACCCACTGCAAGGATGCACATTCCCTAAGACTACAGCCTCCATAAGGGTATGCGCCTTATGGTCTTTTCCAAAAGAAAAAAAGTTTTAAAAAAGTGTTTTTGGTTTGTTAACTGCTATTTGTTCCAATGCTCGTTTTTAATAACAAATTATATATCTGGGCCCCTTTTACTATTATTAATACATACATATATATTTCATTCTGTTTAATCTATGTTTAGACTATGCTTACAGCTGATTGGCCAACTTGTTACACTGTGTTTTTTACGAAAATTGTAAGTGGTTTTATGCCACTATAAACCCTCTCTAGCCAGGTATATGTTTTTACTCCATTTGAAAAAGCCATACTGGTGAAAACGCGTTACTGGATGTTACTACTTTGAATTTTACCTATTAAAGGATTTTGGTCACTACACGTGTGTGCTGTACCAATGACCTTTTTTATTTAGTTTTAATACGGTTTTCATACTTCCTGGCATCTTTTATCTCTTCTCCAAAGCAATCCTAGGTGGGGTCAAACCACCAACACTGTCATCATGGAGCAGTTAGTCTGCTCCATATTTGTAAGTATATTTTAACAATTTATTTTTTTTCTCTTTATCTTTGCAATGGCAGATCGCATGGTTAAGTAACATTGTTAGGCTTGTGCAAAAGCCATATCATAGTACATATGTCGACAATGTATTACAGGAAGAAAAAGAAAGTCGAGAGTTATTTTGTTAAGGCTTTTCTTCATGTTGGGGTGATCGACTTGGTTGCAATCCGCCAGAGTTTAGTTTTTTTATAGTTAAAGAAGAACAATAACAGAAAACAAATAACCTTAGAAAGTATTGTATTTAACATACTATGTAGGATTTTAACTATTTTTATCATATACATCACTTGTTTTATTGAGAGCACTATCTGTCACCTTATTCATTTCTCCCTTGGTTCCTGTCATCGTGAGCCAAACGGACACCTCCAATACATCTTATAAGTGGGGATTATACCACTGCATGCTATATACGCTAGAGCTGGCAAAGGCTCTATAAAATGTGAGTGGGATACTGTTTTTTTTTTTTTTTACATAACTATATTTGACGTATTACACTATTTCCACCCTTGCTTTTGTCTTTCTATATACATCAACAAGAAAATGAAGACAGCTGTCCTACCCAAAAGAAAAGTCCTTGCTGTACTAAAGACTAAAACGTCTGCTATCAAGAGATTATTACTTGTTAGGACTATCACATTGACTTATTTCTTGTTTGTTCCAAAAATCTATTTATTTTTTTATATTGTCTATTGGCACAGCCCTTTTATACCTTTTTTATTTATATTCCCTAAAGGGTTTAGAGGGATTCCTCCTTTAGGGTTGCTGCCTTTTTCTATTGCTTAGCGCTTAACCATTTTGTGTATTCTACCCAACAGTAGAAGACCTCATTAGACAGGTAGATCTAAATTGGTCATACAAACTCATGATCGTTCAACAGTTTGGCAAGCACAAGACAACCCAAAAAGCAAGTAGCGAAAATGGGTAGCGAAAATAAAAGACACAATTAAAAAAAAATGTAAAAAAAAAAAACTACCTAAATCAACCACTCAGAAATAAGGCCTCTGTCTCCACAAAGGTTCCACGTAGACAGAGACACTTCCACTAGCGACATAACCACTCGGTTGATGAAACTTTGCTGTATAAATGATGACTTGTCTGTATATATAATTCAACATATTAGGATGTTCTGTTGTGTCATATTATGTTTGGACAGTAAAATTGATATAACTGTCCCCCACTGCATTCCTTCTTGCTTTCTGTAACCCCCTTTGATGTTTTTAAATCCAATAAACTTCAAATTGAAAAAAAATCCTTGGTCCTTAAATGGTCAATATAAAATCCTTTTCATACACATACTGCTGAACAGATTTAATAATGAACAACACAAGACTATAGCTGATGACCTTGTCACATAAAATTTTGGCAAACGAAAGAAAGGGGCATACCTGTGATAAACATGAGAATTAATTGCAGAAGAAACTTCATTTGGATCTTCTACCTCATAAATTGTGGCATCACAGTCACTTTGATCTGAAAGCAAAGTGAAAGGTAGATTTTCATATTCTGGGATTTCTTCATAGTGACAAATATTTTCATATCCAGGAAGGTCCTCGTGGGTCAGATCCGTTGACGTTGTTTGCATTGGCATCTGCTTGGTAGCAAAGCCATCATCTTTTGAGGTAGATGCTACATTGACATCAATCCCCTGCTTCTGCCATTTCTTCTGAGGAGGACTAGAACAATCTGCAGAATGCGCCTTTGTTGGTTTTGATTTCTTATCCATTACCGGTGACGATGCATTCTCCTTGTAAGAAACAATATCACATGAGGTACTGTCGGAGGACTGACAGCTTCGAGACAAAAATTTCTGAAAGTCACTTTTTATAATGCAGACAGACAATTTCATATTGAGAAGCTTCTTTAATGGGCTTCTTTTAGTATTCTCTTTTGCAGGTTTGTTTATGATATCCATGTCAACAGACGACAAGGACTTGGCCCTAGGTTTAGTGACAGGGCTCACAGTTTCACTGTTTGAGTAACCCTTCAACGACTCTGGACTCCCTGAGAATGGTAAAATTGGATGAGGTAACTTCCATGCAGGTTTTTCTGAAGGCAACCTTGGAATATTGAGAGAAGATGATAAGCCTTCTCCATTGGCTAACAAATGTCTATGATAGGTGCTTTGAAACTCAGAATTGGCACGTGAAGGTTTCTCATCATTACAGTCTTGAAGGTTCTCCTCAGATGCGGCTTTTTTAAGTAAAACAGACGGTGGTAAACTGTGCCTTTGTGGCTTTTTTGGAGCAACCTTTGGAGAATTTTCTGCTTGGACATTTGTTTTCTCAGTGGCAATATCACAAGTTTTCTTTACAGGTAACTGCTGTTCATAAATTAATCGCAATTGTTTTGGTAAACTCATTGACAGAGAACTACATCTCCTAAAGATATTTTCCTCTTCAAGGTCAGGCTTGCTTGAATTGTTACTCATGGTTTCGTGTGGCATTTCTGACTCCAGGCATGATTTCTCACAAAGTTCTCCATTTTCCATTTCACAATTCTCACTTGGTTGGCTTGGGCCATTGATGTTATTCTGGGAGTCTGAGCCGGTTTTCTCAAGTTCAAGGTGTTTTTTGGGGCAATCAAGACCATTTAAGCCACGTTTTGTAGATTCTGTCGACTCATCGCGTGATGGAATGTAGGCCTCATTCCCTTCAGTTGATCGCTCAAAACAATCTTGGCGCACCAGACAAGGTGTCTTCAGTCTTCTTGGTTTTGGAACTGGAAGTACCTTCTGCGGAGGAAGAGATCGCTGCTGTAGGACTATCTTTTTATGACCTTCTCTAGTTAATTTGGTATTAGGTGGTAGAATACCATTATTTTTTCTTTCATTATCCATTTTTTCTGAATCTGAATGATATACAAAACCGCCATGAGGAACTGGTGGGGGAGACATGTCAGCATTTAGGTTGTTCTGTTGGTTCACACTGCATGTATATCCATCGGAGAAGGATCCTTCAGAACAATTAGACTGCATTTTATCTTTACTAGGTCGATGAGTCACCGCCTTAACATTTTCAGAGTTTTCATGTTTAAAGGCAGAGCCATTAGAAGTTAAAACATGGTTAATCTTATCTTCTAAATTGCTGGATCTCAAAGTAATTTGGTTATCTTTCCCCAGTTTTACCTGTTGGCTGCACGCTTTTCTCCTAGTTCTTGCAGATGGAGCTGGCTGTCCACACATTTTTTTGTTTTCTAAATTTCCTAGCATTTCAATAACTTTTTGTGGATTTTTACAATGCTCACCATTTCCAAGTTTATGAGTGCAGTCACATGTGCATGAACATATCGAAATTATATAGGAAGAACTCTCCGTATCATTCGACGTTTCGTTTTTGCATCGCAAGGTTCCAGGACAATTTCCTTTATTTTCTTCTGTACTTTTACTACAGTATTTGACAGTGCGCTGTAATCTGTCTTCAGGAACTGAAGAACCTCGTAAAACCTTCGGCTTTGGTGCAATTGTTGGTTTTGACTTTTTAGAAGCTTGAACATTGTTTGACACAACTAAATCTGGTTTGGGTGCGACAGGTGGTGGGCTAGGTTTCTGCCCAAATACATGTTTCGGTTTCGGAGCTACTGGAGGCTTCTTCATATCTACAACACACAAACAATAAAATATTAATCAATTTAGTACTGGTGGTTTAAATACAATGGCAATTTAAGTTACCAATTAAAAATAAACAAACTGTTGGAGTTTACTTTTTGAAAATATCATTGAATAAACATTTTCCTTATAACAAACTTATGTTGAATTTGAAGTCCTGTTAAGTGGACATGTGGTCAAAATTGTATCTTTGATTAAAGTAGGTATTTAAAAAAAAAAAAAGGGTCTGTGGGTTTTATCCTACATTTGTCCTATATTTCTATATTTGCATGTATATTTCCATACATTTTTATGATTAAATGTAAGTTTCCATAAGTTAATAACTAATATGGCTTTAATTAGGTCTGTTGAAGTCGTATCTGCAACAAGTGGTTAGATTAAGTGAACAGTATGTAGTTCTGGTTAAGCAGCAATGCAGTCCATTAACTGTGGAACTACATGACACATGGTAACCATCACTAGTAAAAAGAGATCAGCGTCACAGGAGTTGTAGGGTTACAGTGATATGTACAATATTTGAGTAAAGTGGCAATGTTATTTTGCAGGTTTGGCTGTTAAAATAATCTTTTTTTTTTAGTCCCTTTTTTATTTTCATTTTAAATTGACCTTAATTTTTTCAGTTACACACAACAAAGAATAGAAGTACGTGTTCTTATGGAGAGCGTGGTCCTCTGGCAATCTTTGGCAACGAGTAGAGCTTAAGCAAAGTTCCATTTCAATTGTCAAGTTAAAGCAGTTCTGTCATGGCTAGACCAATTTTGGGGTATTTTTTTTATGTCTCCCCCCCATAAATAATATTACACACGTTAGTGTCGCCCCAATGTGTGGAATATTATTAACCCAATTTTAATCTATAATGTTTCAAATTTCCCAGCACTGGAACATTTTCTAATTGGCCGCCACCTTCTATTGTACTGGCAGTAATGAACTGCCTTTTCCCTCGTCTGCCCATATTCCGCTACGCTTTCTGCGCATACCCAGAAACAGGAAGGAAAACAATCTTCTATTAAGCATGTGCGATGTTGTTGGAAGTAGAAGAGGAATGACAATACAATGCAACATGGGATACGAAAGGTCAGGTGAGCACTATGAGACTATTCAGCTTGACAAAGGAAGTGGAGTTTGTTTAAGTTCAACCCTTGGTCAAGAAGAACAAAAATGGTGGTGCCTGGTATTGTGATCTGGTGAAAATAAGAACATATAATAAATATTATAAAGGAAACTGGTAAGAGTAGAGTATAAGCATTATGATACAAGGGGCATAACAAAAGGAATACTAAAACAAGAATAAAAACATTGCACTGTCACTTTAATTTGAATTTATTTGTTAAATACTTAATTTTAAACTTTAGGCTAAAATGTCAAGCACTGATTGTAGTAGAAACATAGAATGTGGCGGCAGATAAGAACCATTCAGCCTATTTGCCCAATTTTCAAAATACTTTCATTAGTCCCTGGCCTTATCTTATAGTTAGGATAGCCTTATGCCTATCCCACGCATGCTTAAACTCCTTTACTGTGTTATCCTCTGTCACTTCAGCTGGAAGGCTATTCCATGCATCCACTACCCTCTCAGTAAAGTAATACTTCCGGATATTATTTTTAAACCTTTGCCCCTCTAATTTAAGACTATGAGCACTTCCCTCTTTCTGCTGCTAATACCTCTCCCTACACAACCAAGCATTCTGCTAGCATTTCCTGCTGCTCTATTACATTGTCTGCCTACCTTTAACTCATCTGAAGTAATTACCCCTAAATCCCTTTCCTCAGATGTTGGGGTTAGGACTCGATCAAATATTCTGTACTTTGTCCTTGGGTTTTTACGTCCAAGATGCATTATCTTGCACTTATCCATATTAAATGTCAGCTGCCACAATTCTGACCATTTTTCTAGTTTACCTAAATCATTTGCCATTTGGCTTATCCCTCCTGGAACATCAACCCTGTTACATATCTTAGTATCATCAGCAAAAAGACACACCTTACCATCAAGACCTTCTGCAATATCACGAATAAAAATATTAAAGATAATGGGTCCAAGTACAGATCCCTGAGGTACCCTACCGGTGACAAGACCATGCTTATATACTACATTGAATATAATCCATTGACTACAACCCTCTGTTGCCTGTTACTCAGCCACTGCCTTACCCATTCAACAATATTGGAATCCAAACTCAAAGATTGCAGTTTATTGATGAGCCTTCTATGTGCAACAGTGTCGAAAGCCTTACTGAAATCTAGGTAAGCAATGTCTACTGCACCACCCTGATCTATTATTTTAGTTACCCAATCAAAAAACTCAATAACATTTGTTTGGCATGATCTCCCTAAAGCAGGCCAGGACTGGCCATTGGCATACCGGTGGGCCCGATGGCCATAGGCTGAGGCCGGCAGAGGAGATCACAGGATCTCCCCTGTCTGCCCATGCAGAGCCGGCGCTATCCGAGCACAGGCCCTGCTGTGTGCCTTCATGGGCGGTGGGAAGATCAAAGATCTCCCTCACCGGCCCACAGGCACTGATATGCGGCTGGAGGGAGGCAGGAGAGGACCCGGGACCTCTAGCCAGCAGCTCCACGTCTGGTTCCTCTCGCGAGGTTGGAACGTTGCCACGGCAACGCTTAGATCTCGCGAGGGTGCACTCTAGCCCTATAGGCTACAGTTCACTCTCACCACTAAGACCACGAGGGATGGCAGCACGGCTTCCCCCCCCGGCTAAAGGTAAGAAGGGAGGGTGGATATAACGTTATTTTTATTATTATTTTTTTACATATTTAAATAAACATTCACTCACACTAACAGCACCCTCACAAACACACATCACCCTCAGACACACACATATATAAATAGCACAAATATACATATATCTATATATACACACACACATATATATACACATACATATATATATATATATATATATATATATATATATACACACACACACACACACACACACATACACATATACATAGACATAAACATAAAGACAAGAAAGTCTATATATATTAACCCTCAGAGTTAACAGACAAAGACAATTAGAAACATATAATGTGACGGCAGATAAGAACACACACTGCACCCCTCACACACATACACAGCACAACCAACACACTGCGCCCCTCACACATACAATACGCCCAAACATATAAAATATACACTTTGAATCCTCTACACACACACACACACACACACACACACACAGTATATATATATATATATATTTCCTTCATTTTCATCTGTAAATACTGAACAAAAATATTGATTGAGGCAGTCAGCTAGACCTTTATCCTCCTCTATATACCTTCCTTCTTTAGTTTTTTATCTAACTAATCCTTGTTTTACTTTTCTTTTCTCATTTATGTATCTAAAACATTTTTGTCCCTTTCTTTTTTTACTGACTGTGCTATTTTCTTTTCGGTGTGTGCTTTGGAGGTTCTTATAGCTTGCTTAGCCTTTTTCGGCCTAATCTTATAGATCTGTCTATCTTCCTAACTCTGGGTTTATTTTATAATTACTAAATGCTAACTTTTTGTTTGTTACTATTTTGGCCACATCTGCGGAGTACCACAGTGGTTTCTTAATTTTTTTGCTTTTACGGACAAGCCTAATGCAATTTTCTGTTGCCTTCAGCAGTGCAACTTTTAAATAATCCCATTTCTATTGGACTCCATTTAGTGTTGGAGACGTTTTCCAAAATCAGCACTTTAATACTAAATTTGGGAATTTGTTTTCAATTTGAAAAAATCCTATTTGTTTCCATGCTTGTTGTTCCCATCCCAGTCTTCAGGGCATACCGAGAGTCCTGGAATTAGGCGGTTCCAATTCTATTCCAATATGGAAACAGACATAATCTGGATCAACTCTGTGTCTTGAGGACTGGTTTGGGAAACACTGTTCTGTGCTATCCCATTCTCTGCATACCTCTGTATTTAAAAATAAATAAATGAATGAATATTAAAATAAATAAATAAATGTCAAGTGAGGAGCTTCCACTAGCTTTCCTGAATTGAACCCTACAATGCAGAACTAGGTATCTGGCTCAGAGCATCAATAAACCAAGCCTCTCAGACAGAGCGTTTCCAATTCACATGGTGCGGCACATGGGGAGGGGGTAGCGCCATTGCACTCCTGGCACCATAAACACTACAGCAAGGTGTACTGCAAGCAAGCTGTAGTGTTTATGGTTCTTGGAGTGTGTTTCATTAATGCTTCTAGGTTTTATTGTGTTTTGTTTTAAAGGGTTACTCCAAGTACCATGACCACTTCACCTGCTATTGCCCGGTCAGTTCTCCATAACAAAAAATGCAAATAAAAAAACACAACTTCCCAATATTCCCAAAATGAGCAGAGAGAGAGGGATACTTTCATTTTAGGGCTGTAAGTGGGGGTATAGGGCTGTTCTATAAAGGTTTAGATAACGTAATATAAATGTATGCATCTAAAATGTAATTTAGCATAAGAACAATGTATCTTATTTACACAGACTGATTTCTAAATACATTTATTGTGGTTTAACCCCTTAAGGACACATGACATGTGTGACATGTCATGATTCCCTTTAATTCCAGAAGTTTGGTCCTTAAGGGGTTAAAGACACATTACTGTATTATTGCTGTGGAGCTTTGTTTTACAGCAACAACAAAAAAATATAAGAATGCATGCAATGATGAATCCGGTATATTAAAGGAATTATTTTAGTGTGCAGAAGCAGGAACTGTATAAATAAATCCCAAATCATTTGAAATCTTGGTACACAAAAAATTATCTTACATTACAGATGTTCAAGTGGTAAAAATTATGTACAAAAGGATGTGAGTCAATACATCCCAGAAGGGATAGCAATAAAAATAGCTGTTGAGCAACATAGATTTTCACGCCTGGAACTGTAATGGCAGGAGGCAGTGATTAACTCTTTTACGCTCCATACACTGAGCTAGCAATCATGTTTTATAGATTATTTATGACCTACAGACAGTGATAAGGCAATGATGCTGCTACATCTCCAACAGCATAACCCAGAATAATAAGAATAAACATACGGAATGGGAGTGTGGAAGGAAAGACAAAATAAAAAAAAGAAAGGTGAATTTGTAAAATGGAACAAGATTTGTATAAATATAGAATAATTATAATTAAGTGTTCATAAAATATTTTACCAGGTAAAATACCTTGAGATTTTTCTAGTTTTCAAGTATAAATTGAAGGATAATACCAATTATAAGAGAAGTTTAAGTAGAGTTAAAGGGTTACTCTAACCACCATGACCACTTCAGTGATTTGAAGTGTTCATGGTGGTAGGTGACAGAATGTGCAGTGTTTAAGCTTGAAAAAAAATGCATATCCAGAGATACAGCATACACTAAACAATATGATATAATAGGCATAACTGAAACATGGTGGGATGAGACACATGACTGGGCAGCTAACTTAAATGGGTACATGTTATTTAGGAAGGATAGGAAAAACAAGAAGGGTGGTGGGGTATGTTTGTATGTCAAACATGATTTAAAGCCAAATGTTAAGCAAATGGAATGCGAGGAGGATAATGTGGAAGCTTTATGGGTAAATATCTGCTTGGGGGAAAAGAAGGGAAACCAACTATTGGTTGGGATATGTTATAAACCACCTAATGTTAATATTGACGAGGAACAACAGCTGTTTGAGCAAATTGAGAAAGCTGCAAATCTGGGTAACACTTTAATTATTGGAGATTTTAATTACCCGGATATAAATTGGGACAGAGGGACTAGTGCCTCAGCAAAGGGAATTAGGTTTTTAAACTTGTTAAATGACACCTTCATGTCACAACTTGTACAAGCACCAACTAGAATGGATGCTTGTCTGGACCTGGTTTTAACAAACAACGTTGATCTTTTGACCAACATTCAAGTAGGTGAGCACTTGGGAAATAGTGATCACAATATAGTGTCCTTTGAAATAAACTCAAAAAAACAAAAGCACATGGGGAATACTAAAACATATAATTTTAAAAAGGCCAATTTCAATAAGTTAAGGGAAGCTTTACAATATATTGACTGGCATAAACTCTTTAGTGAAAAGAACACTGAGGATAAATGGATCATCTTCCAACAAATATTACAAAGGTACATTTCTCAGTATGTACCATTGGGAAATAAATATAAAAGAAACAAATTAAAACCAACATGGCTTAGTAGAGAAGTAAAACAAGAGATTACAACTAAGAGAAGGGCATTTAAAGCATTTAAATCGGACAAATCAGATGCATCTTATAAAAGATATAAGGATGCAAATAATGCGTGCAAAAAGGCAATTAGACTTGCTAAACTTCAAAATGAAATAATGATAGCTGAAGAGAGCAAAACCAACCCCAAAGCATTTTTTAAGTACATAAATTCTAAAAAAAAACAAAATGAAAGTGTAGGTACACTAAAAACTGAAACGGGGGTGTTAATTAATGAAGACCAGGAAAAGGCAGGAATTTTAAATAACTTTTCTCCTCCGTATATATTAAGGAAGAACCCATGGCAATAGATGTGCAAATGATTGCTACTAAAAACTTGCAGAATAATTGTAATTGGTTAACTCAAGACAAGGTGCTGCAGCAACTAAAGAAAGTTAATATAAACAAAGCTCCAGGGCCTGACGGTATCCATCCACGTGTACTTAAGGAACTAAGTGCAGAAATAAGTGAACCTCTGTTTTTAATCTTTCAAGATTCTTTTCTTTCAGGAAGTGTTCCGGAGGATTGGAGGAAGGCAGATGTGGTTCCTATATTCAAAAAGGGTTCAAAATCCTTGCCTGGAAATTATAGACCTGTGAGCTTAACTTCTGTGGCTGGTAAAATATTTGAAAGGTTATTAAGGGATAATATTCAAGAATTCCTTGAGAAGAACATGGTTATCAGCAAAAATCAGCATGGTTTTATGAAGCACAGGTCATGTCAAACTAACTTGATTGCGTTCTACGAAGAAGTAAGTAGAAGTATAGATCAGGGTGTTGCCGTGGATGTGATCTTTTTGGATTTTGCCAAGGCATTTGATACAGTTCCACACAATAGATTAGTGTTCAAACTCAAGGAAATCGGTCTAGATGAAAATGCTTGTTCTTGGGTAGAACATTGGCTTAAAAACAGAGTACAAAGAGTTGTCATTAATGGTAAATTTTCAAGCTGGACAGAGGTGGCAAGTGGTGTCCCTCAGGGGTCTGTTCTGGGACCCCTTCTATTTAACATGTTTATAAATGATCTTGAAGACGCATTGAAAGTCATGTTTCAGTGTTTGCAGATGACACAAAACTTTGTAAAACAATACAATGTGAGCAAGATATTACTTTGCTGCAGAGGGATTTAGATAGACTGGGAGACTGGGCACTCAAATGGCAGATGAAATTTAATGTTGAAAAATGCAAAGTTATGCACTTCGGCGTAAAGAATACACAAGCAACGTATACCCTTAATGGAAGCGAATTAGGGATAACAACACATGAAAAGGACTTGGGAATTGTTATAGACAACAAACTATGCAACAATGTGCAATGTCAATCAGCAGTGGCCAAGGCCAGTAAGGTATTGTCATGCATGAAAAAGGGCATTCATTCTCGGGACAAGAATATAATTTTGCCTCTTTATAAATCACTGGTAAGACCCCATATTGAATATGCTGTGCAATTTTGGGCACCTGTTCTAAAGAAGGATATTATGGCACTAGAAAAAGTGCAGAGGCGGGCTACAAAATTAATAAAAGGAATGGAACATATCGGCTATGAAGAAAGGTTAACAAATTTAAACCTATTTAGTTTAGAAAAACGTCGCCTGAGAGGGGATATGATAACATTATACAAATATATTCGGGGCCAATACAAACCATTGTGTGGAAATCTATTCACAAACCGGACTTTACATAGGACACGAGGCCATGCGTTTAGACTGGAAGAAAGAAGATTTCGTCTAAGGCAAAGGAAAGGTTTTTTTTACTGTAAGAACAATCAGGATGTGGAATTCTCTGCCTGAAGAAGTGGTTTTATCAGAGTCCATACAGATGTTCAAACGGCTACTAGATGCATACTTGCAAAAACAGAATATTCAAGGATATAATCTTTCAATGTAGGGTAATAACTGCTTGATCCAAGGATAAATCTGACTGCCATTCTGGGGTCAAGAAGGAATTTTTTTCCTAGCTTGTTGCAAAATTGTGCTTCAAACTGGGTTTTTTTGCCTTCTTTTGGATCAACAGCAAAAAACAAATGTGAGGAAGGCTGAACTTGATGGACGCAAGTCTCTTTTCAGCTATGTAACTATGTAACTATGTAACTATATTTGTAACTGTGTGTTGGGTGCTGGTTGCACCCCTAGCACACGCGACATTGGCAGTCCAGTCCGACCGATGTGAAAATCTTGCGCTTCCCTCCCATCCTCAATGTAGGTGCTCCTTATGTCACTCGTTTTTTTCCCTCTTCCCCTCTCCCACCCTCCCTTGCCGGCCCGGAGCAGACACATGCACCAGGAGCCGGCAAAATGGCCAATCAATCTATGAGAAGGCTGTGATTGGACCACGTTCGGCCCCAGTTACATCAGGAGGGGGCATGGATGGGAAGCGTGGGACCTTCATCCAGCGCTGTTTCCTGATAAGTAAAACCTTGAAACTCAATTTAGGTTTCACATCAAATTGAGTGAGGGAACCCCCAATAGGGGCATTTTACACCAGAAAGGTCTCCTCTCTCAAAAAAGTTATAGCAACCCTTTAATTGAGTGCCAACAGGAAATCTTTCCAAGGGAATTGAACGTTGTATATTGGAAAACTGAAATAGAAGAGAATATTGTGGGTTATCATTTTTAACCAAAAGCATGTAAATAGAAGGCATATCCCCCCCTGCCGCAGCACTGTCATCCCGTGAAGTGGGAATAACTGTGGGTGGGGTAAATAACATTGTTATTTTTAAAAATTATAGGTTCCCTTTAACAGTCATTTTTCCGAACACTTTCATAAATTTCCTCCTAGAGTTAGAGGTTGTGCATTTAACTGGGCTGCTGTAATAAACCATCTCATCTATTATGGGAAGAACTCCTGGGGGTTGATTAACAATATGTGTGCGTTCAACCAAAAAGGAAGCACTGAAACAGAATGGGGTTTGAGTTTTGGGGCTCGACCCAGATTTAATTTGCCAAAAGGGTCAATTATGTGTCGTCATTGTGTTACTCTAGAAATGAACATATTTTAATCCTAACCTAAAAGAGAGACTTTTCATAGCAACGTCAGATCTGCTGCCACAGTATCTCCACGTAGCTTTATTAACAATAAACAGACAAATTACTGCCTTTCGTATTATTATTAACGTCTGCTCTAACACAAAACATGCCAGGGGATGTCCAGATGGTAAAAAGTCATTCTATTTACAGTACATTCAATGGCAACTTGCAGAAACTCATCAGTCTATCTGCATGATTCAGCATCTAGTACAAAAATAAAACAACCAAGCCTGATTATTTAAAATATATTTAATGCATTCCAGGTCAGTAAATGCATAATTAGTTTATATTCATTGTTTTTACCCAACTCGAGACAGGTATTAAAGTTTTATATTATTTTTTTATATAATGTTTATTTGTTTTTACTGCCTGAGCAGCCATGTTGATCAAATTAAAAAGTTGTTTTTTTTCCCCCATCTCAATGCAGAACTGAGAGACAAAGAGAGCAAATTAGACCTTCCATAGGAGATCCCTCTGCTGTTTATTTAAGGAGCACTCCCTTAAGTAAATGCAATAAATAATGTCACAGTTAAAGGACCACTATAGTGCCAGGAAAACATACTCGTTTTCCTGGCACTATAGTGCCCTGAGGGTCCCCCTCCCGCCTGGCTCTGAGGAGAGGAAAGGGTTAAAACTTACCTTTTTTCCAGCGCCGGGCAGGGAGCTCTCCTCCTCCTCTTCGGCTGAATGCGCATGCGCGGCAGGAGCTGCGCGCGCATTCAGCCGTTCTCATAGGAAAGCATTTACAATGCTTTCCTATGGACGCTTGCGTGTTCTCACTGTGATTTTCACGGTGAGAATCACGCAAGCGCCTCTAGCGGCTGTCAATGAGACAGCCACTAGAGGATTTGGAGGCTGGATTAACCCTATTATAAACATAGCAGTTTCTCTGAAACTGCTATGTTTATTTTAAAAAAGGGTTAATCCTAGAGGGACCTGGCACCCAGACCACTTCATTAAGCTGAAGTGGTCTGGGTGCCTAGAGTGGTCCTTTAAGCAGATATACCTGAATGAAAACATGCATGCATTTCATTATGTATTTTTTTCCATTGGGAGCATATATAAAAACCAGCTTGCAACAGCTGCAGATCTCTTGTCTGCTGCCTTTGCAAGCCACCCCTCCTCCCCCACTTCTAACTCCCGCCCAGACTTTGTGGCTGTCCAATCACAGGCTTCCAAATGCAGTTCAATGAGAGGCCTTTGTTAAGCAGGTGCTCTGGATAACTGCCTGGCTCTTGAGTTTAGCTCCACTGAGCTAAACAACCAGGAAGTAACAGGATCAGTTGTCTGATTGATATACAAGGGGATGTGACAACTTTAAATTTATGAAAGTTCCAAATTGAACTGAAATCCTTTTTGTAAAATGGAAGGGAAAAAAAAGGGGACATACTCTTATCTTAAATCACTTATTTTTCTTAATTAGAACATGGTAATTTTCCATTACAGGGCATAAGCTGACCAAGCAACTCAGTCTAACTGCAGGTACAATGACTAAGAAGCTAGTCTATTGCTCAAACAAGCAGTGGATAAATTACCCTGAGGGATGATTGTGCTGAGTGACTCACAACAAAGACTCACTGTGCAACATGGCAAAACAGGCACTCCAACACAGGAAATCACTCTGCTTTTAACAACAGTTTCATATCTTTGTACATTCCTCATACATTACAGGATACAACATGAAGAAATCTCAGTGCCAGGAGCAGCTTTACATAAGACTATGTATTCACTGTCTGCTCCAAATACAGCGTTTAGAAAAAACTCAACTGTTGGGAAAATAAAAATAAAAACATTTACAAAATTAGGCTGTTAAAAAAACAAACAAAAAAAACGTTTACAATTCTAAGTTTATTTTAGTTTATATAATTTGGCTCACATTTTAAGCCAAATTTTCTAAACTGAGGGGGAAAAGAAACCTCTTCAGGCCACATATGTTTTCATTTCAGCTATTTTTTGGCCTAAAAAACTTAAAATTAGCACTTACAGGATTGTTAAATAAAGTGAGCAGTCAGGAAGTTTACGTAAATTTAAAATTTAAGCCATAAATAGCCAAAATCTTAAAATTATCCAAAGCCAGCTTTACTCCCAGTTCAGCTACTTTGTCCTTAAATTTTCAATTCACTTTAAATGCCTTAGAATTCTCACTTTAATGATTAACACTCATTGCATAATGTTTTTTTATCAGAAGATCCTCCTTGTTTAACCCCTTAAGGACCAAACATCTGGAATAAAAGGGAATCATTACATGTCACACATGTCATGTGTCCTTAAGGGGTTAAAGGGACATTATAGTCAACAGAACAACTACAGCTTAATGTAGTTGTTCTGGTGAGTATAATAGTTCCCTTTGGGCTTTTTTCATGCAAACACTGCCTTTTCAGAGAAAAGGCAGTGTTTACATTGCCTATAGGGACACCTACAAATGGCCACTCCTTAGATGGCCACTGGAGGTGCTACCTGGGTCAGTGCTGCCGAAAAAGCAGCCCTGACGTTCAGCGTCCTCACGCTCTACATGGAGATGCTGAACTTTCCTCATAGAGATGCTTTAATTCAATGTATCTCTATGAGGAGGTCCTGATTGGCCAAAATGGCATTTGGCCCTGCCCCCATGCCGATTTTAGCCAATCCAATGCTTTCCCTCTGGCTAAAAATCAGCCATTTTGATGATGTCACAAAGGAGGCAGAGTCAGCGGAACCCGTGCGGCGCTGGAAATAAGGTGAGTTTGAAACTTTTATAGGGGGGGCAAGCCACCCAAATGGTGGGTTAAACACTATAGGATCAGGAATACATTTTTGTGTTCCTTTAATATGAATATGTGATTCATTTGACCAACACCAGTATAACAATGAAATATACACCAGAGTGACTAAGGGCCTAATGCTACTGCCTCTGCCACAGGTCATAAATAATTCCAGTTCCAAATTGGTCAACATTAGAATCAAAATTCTGCAACAAAATTAAATTACTATATTTGTTAACCAGAAAGATTACCAGGTGTTGGACTTCACACCACATCTTTCCATCAACTGGAACTGGACCTAACCTATCCCCAACAATAAATACACAGTAAACTATTCAAAATTCTTAAAAAGACATAAACGTGACAACCATTTAATCTTAATAAGGAGGTTTGTCCTTTTAACCCAGCCGAAATAGGGTTTCCATTCAGGGTTAAACATACCTATAGTGGCAGTCTTCCTGAAAGCTAGAGGCACTTTCATGTGAGAACTGAACCACACTCAGTTCTCAATCAAATGTTACTCCTAGAGCAGCATTTGTTTGGCGCAGTGCGACGATTTGCCGTACATACTCATTAACCTCCTAATAGTTACCTATTGGCTGAGATCATAAATCTTAATGAAGGCGAAGTATATCTACCATTTTAACTCATAAAGGGGGCAGAAAACTAAACAGCGTGCAGGCCACTATGGCATTCGGAATACATGTTTGTATTTCTCAGCTATAGCCCTCCTTTAATTTGGAGAACCAAAGGCATGTACTAGCTGTTCATCTTCCCTACCCACTCTCAAACACACTAGAGAGAGGACACTACATAGGTTATAGGAGAGACTTTACCAATAATCGGTATACCAAAATGTAAACCTTTTCAATAAATGCTTTCATTTGTGAATCTTCATCCACAATATGAACTGATTAGATCTGTAAGCATGTTAAGGCCATGTTCCCAAATTACGGTTAAAGCTTAAAAACGCAATGTGAACATGTCAGCATCTTTTTATTTATTTTTTTAACTTCAAAAAGAAACTTAAAGATCATTCTAAATACTCGGTTAGATTTGTTTTCAAACCAAGGTGGTTTAGTTTGTAACCCTAGGATCGACCTGCATTCCCTGAGCTTACAACTAAAAGTAAAAATAGATTTTCTTAATTAAAGGATGAATACTGTAAAATATACCCTGAAGGTATATTTTTTTGCTCGTCAGTGATTGACCTGATTGATAAATAACATTGAAATATTTGACCAATTAAATTGTGCACTTCAAAAAGCCATCTGCCCGTGGATCCCTGGCTAGGCTGCTATTTATAGGATTTTAGGAAGTAATTTATTAGTTTGTCAAAAGACAGCCTGACCCTGTATTTTCATACAGAGCATCTAATGAACCCAACATCCAAGCACAATAGGTTCTTTTCTTCCAACAGATACAATAGATTCAAAGACTGTGTTTGATGCCAGTGATAAAGAGTTTTCCCCTAGGTCATTGACTTAATAAGTAGAAGAAATGTGAATCACTAGCAATGTGTACACAAAATTAACCCCTTAGATGTGTACAAGGCTCAGATGAAAGGGACAATATAAGCAACAAAATAATTTAGCTTAATGGAGTAGTTTTAGTCTATAGATCATGCCCTCTGAAGTCTAACTGCTAAATTCTCTGCCATTTAGGAATTAAATCACTTTGTTTATTCTACCCTAGTCACACCTCCTCTGTATGTGACCTATACAATCTCCCTACCTAGTACCTGTAAAGAGAGATGTAAAGTTTAAACTTCCCTCATTGCACAGTATGTTTAATTTAGATTTTCTTTTTATCTCCTGCTCTCTTAATAGTCTTTTAGAGCCTTTAGGAATCTCCTGTGTGTGACTAAGCAAGAGCTAAGAACTTCTAAAGTTAACACACTGTGCAGTCATATCTGATTTTTTTCATGTAGTCTGTGTGAGTCACAGGCGGAGGAGGTGTAGCAAGGACATGAACATAGACAAAAGTGATTTAACTCCTAAATGGCAGAGAATTGAACAGTGAGACTGCATGGGCATGATCTATAACACTAAAAACGCTTTATTCTAAAGTTGTTGTTGGGCTTAGAGTATCCCCTTAAACTAAAGTTGTTTTGGTGCCTAGTGTATGCCTTGAATGAGATGTACTTTCAAAACGTTCTTCAGCTAAACCATCAACTTGAAAATTTGGAGATACTTGGTCATAACAGGTTGCTGCAAAGGGTTACAATAGAAATGCTACGTATATAAGTCAGATTAAAACCTAGTTTCCAAAATATTAAAGGGTAAATCTAAGCACCAAAATCATTTCACGGTTATGTAATGGCCTCCCGTTGCAGCCTGTCAAATTAAAATATTAGTTTCAGAGAATAGTTTTTACTTACATTGCCTAGTGCAGGAGTAGGCAACCGTCCACACTCCAAATGTTGTGGACTACATTTCCCACAATGCTCTTACACCCATAATGCTGGCAAAGCATCATGGAAGGTGTAGTCCAAAACATCTGGAGTGCCGAAGGTTGCCCTTTCCCTGGCCTAATGGATGGCAGTCAGAGAGGCTCTTCACCCTTGCACAGCTTAATTTTCTGCATGTTCTTTGGGACGTGTTTGGGGAGGGGTGGGTGGGTGTGCATTGAAAATTTTGAAGAACTGTTGTGTCTATCTTTCTCACTTACACTGTTAGACAGTAGATTTTGCACATTTGGTTGGGTTGTCAGCTTTTTTCCAAAAGGGGGATTTTGAAAACCAGCAGCCAGTTGCAAAAACAATGAACATTGGGTCAGATAAATGACAGTCTGACTGACAGTGCATAAAGATGATTGCATGATTTCGTCAAATAATTCAATGTACATGAATCAAACAGAATGATATGGTAGAGTTAGATAGATAGACATATAGACAGACTTTTCAAAAATGCCACCGGCCGCTGGTGAAAATTTAGCCCTGGCAA